AACGCTAGGCCCTATGACGACATCGTAGTAGCTTTTGTCGTCGTGCATTATATCTTATACTGCCACACTCATTAGTGACTTGTTGTACTGAGAAAATACACACTGAAAGACTTTTCAACATAAACTTCGAACAAGTATTTTTTGTTTCGTTTATAATATAACTTAATACACCATATATATATATAAATAAATAAATAAATAAATAAATAAATATATATATATATATATATATATATATATATTGTATATATATATATATATATATATATATATATATATATATATATATATATATATATATATATATATATATATATATATATACATACATACATACATATACATATATATATATATATATATATGTATATATATATATATATATATATATATATATATATATATATATATATATATATATATATATATATATATACATACATACATATATACATACATATATACATACATACAAACATATATATATATGTATATATATAATGGTCCATTTAATTATATATATTTGTAATTAGAAAAGTATCATAACCACAATGATCAGTGATGAAATGAACGTACTTGGCATCAAATACACCGACAAGGTAAATATTTCTTAATTTAAATGTTAAAACAACAGAAGCAACATACACAGATAGAAATACACAACGGAATTTGCGATTGGCTGAACTGGAAAAAATCCTCCCCACCCACATCCCCAAAAATACCATTTCCTTGTAGCAGTAATGTATATAAACTAATGTATTGTTAAACAAGTGTCTATTTTATGTAAACATTTAAAGATATCAGGGGCGTAGCGAGGGGGGGGGGGCGGGGGGTGCGGACCGCACCGGGTGACACCATTTAGGGGGTTGACACCAAGGCAAAAAGTAACAAAATATGTAGAGAAAAACTTGAGGGGGGGGGTGCAAATCGAAAGTTTGAGGGGGGGGGGGTGCAAATCGAAAACTTGAAAGTTTGTCCCCAGGAAGGGTCGCAACGCCTCTGGGGGGTGACACCATTAAGTGCCGCCCCTGGTGACACCCGACCTCGCTACGCCACTGAAAGATATATATATACATTTAACTTAATGACCCGGTTAGTATGTCTCCTTACAGTAAGACAAATGTCAATATTAAAATATAACATTTTTTTTGTACACCTAACGTCTAAGAAATAAAAAATCCACCCGTTGAATCAAAATAATGCGCGAACTTGTGAACAGCAAAGATGGTATTGTTTTCTAAATGTGTATAAAAACGGAGTAGGTTTGCCAGTGTTTATGGCAATTTTATAGAGTTAACAAATTTATTTTGTGTAAGTTTCGTTAGTTTTTTAGTTCTTTAGGTCAGTTCCCAATGAAAGAAGTTCATGGAAACATCGTGGATTACCACAGTTGAAATAATTGTAATTTAATTTGGGTACTCTTGATAAAATGATACTGTTTAAAACTCATTGATCAATCATTATAACTTAATTATATCAAACTACAGACAGACTAAACCGATGATCGTATGAGATTTATTGAGAGGCGTCGCGAGGCGTGGGCGGGGGTTGCGAACCGCACCGTGTGACACCATTTAGGGGGTGACACCATGGCGGAACTTTGCAAAATATATAGAAGAGATGCTTCTTGCCAGTTTAATTATAACTGACTATAGATTATCTTTACTATTAACTGTACACACTTGAAAACTATCACCAAAGTTGGGGGGGGGGGTCTGACACCCACTGCAAAATTTAGAGAGGAAAAAAGGGTTGCTAAGTATTTTGAATAACAGATAAGAGAATCAACAGTAGAGGAGGTGACACCAAAATCTAAATACTTACGATGTAATATATGCTTTTTCTTCATGAATTAGAGGTGGATTGTGCGCACAGATTAACGCCGTTAGGCAAATAGGGAAGGAGATGTCATCAATTCCAACAATTTATAGGCTTACTTCGACCCTAATATATATATTAAAAATATATATTGGTAACACCAAGAGTTCTACACCGGATGACAACCCAACCTTGCGACGCCACTAGATTTATTATTTCCTTTTCTTGATTTGTCCCGCATTTCTTTATTTGTATGATTGTTACAGACGAACTAAAAGGTATAGCGGTCTGCATAGCATATTCTTCTCATTTAACTTTTGAAACTGTGGATTGATATTTCTACACTATAATTTGCATTTAAATAAATTTTCAACGTATTTCGAAAAATCGGTCCCCAAGCAAAACTGTCCTATACTTGTATTTTCAAATAATTATAAGATTTTTTAAAATTTAGAAAGTAGAGACGTTAATGGAGAAAATAAAGGACTTAAAAGCCATAACAGAAAAGGTGAGTACTATTCACGATTTTAGATTTTAGTATAACTTACTATTTTTCCTTTGTTTGAGAATACAGTAATATTGTTTACCTTTTTCAAGACAACTTAGTTACATGTATGTTTATTATACGTGATTGTATAAATTATATATATATATATATATATATATATATATATATATATATATATATATATATATATATACCTATATGTGTATAAATATATTCTATTATAATATAATATAATTAACTTTATTATTATTTTAGGAGATTTTGCATCTTAAGGAAATAATACATTCAAAATTAAAGCTATTATCTGCTAAAATAGGACAAGTTGATTTTACCTTTCCTGCAAAGGTAAACACGATCTTTTCGATACGTTTCTAGATACTGCATAATTTCTAGAGATATGGGCACGAGCACGAGTTTTTTTTATATGTAACCAATGAGTATTTCTTTTTGCCAGAATATAAACGGATTAACTGATAGACCGATTTATGTATGGATGGATGCAGGGATTAATATATAGGTGTGCTGATGTATGGCTGAAAGGATGGAAAATACGGGTAGAAAGATGGATAAATGGTTAGATCGACAATGAATGAAACATTATCATAAGTTATCCTAGCAAAAAAAAATTCGAATATGAAGTTCAAATGAATTCTTTTGTAACATTTCCTTTTCGATAATCTTAGGAAAAAAAAGCAATCATTGAAGTTTTAAGAGCAAAAATTGCCAAGTTGGAAACAACCGAAGATATAGTAAGTTTTACGTAAAGTAAATTCTTAGAAAAAAATTACTTGTTTTCTTTATTCATATACAATCATATACAGTTTTATAAAAATCTGTATTAAAAAAAACCTAAAAGTAATATATTTCTATATTTCATGAATTAAGAAAATTAAAAATAAAATACACATACAAACACACACACACATATATATATATATATATATATATATATATATATATATATATATATATATATATATATATATATATACGACTTCGTTTATTTAGAAAAAGAGAATAACCGAAATAATCACCAATGGAATTATGTCACTCAACTTAAAAGATGACTATCAGGTAAATATTATATTTAAGTGTAATCACATTTAATGTACATTATACACAACTACACTTTGTATCAAGGTTATTAACTCAAGGGTTTCAGTATATTTGCGCTCCCACTGTCTTTTAAATACTCCAAAATGACAGGCGTCTCAAATCTCAAACAACTGGCTCGCTGAAGTGGTTTAGGTTCTAAACCCGGCAAAACTTATGTTACTGACTGGCGTCTAAAAAACTTGGAGCTTCAGTAGATAAAAAGGTCAATGTTGGTCAGTACATCTAAGAGAGAGTTGTAATGCTCCTGGAATAAACCTCGAAAAAAAAAAGCTCTGGGATGGATTATGATGCACGGCAACTCAGGATCTCTTCTCAAGTATGCGTAGCGGAGAGCATTTTCTGATGCTGACTCTAGCACCTATTGTATACGATTGACCAGCAGGGCTAAATTAGCCATACATAGAAATACATACACACTTAGCCGCTAATACATATTGGTGCGGACTTTGCACTAATTATATGTATTTTCCTTTAGAAAGTTGATGCAATAATGAAGGAAATAAACGACCTGAAAGCCATCTCTGAAGAGGTCAGTGCTAACAAAGAAACATAAAAACATACACACCGTTACCTACATATACATATACATATACATATATATATATATATATATATATATATATATATATATATATATATATATATATATATATATATATATATATATATATATATATATATATATATATATACTATTATACAATTATACATCTAAAACAAGCAGTGGTTGAAGGCAAATTTTTTTAAAAATGTCTCAGGAAATGCTGCAGCTCAAGAAAAGATTGCTATCTGAAATAAATAAGTTATCCGATAAACAAGGAAAAGTTGCTTTTGCATATCCTGCTCAGGTAAAATTATTTTTATATTAATTAAATTAAAGTATATGAAAGTAACCAATTAAACTTATCTTGGAATGCGTTTGTTAAAATATTTTTATACCTTTTGTTTCAATATCAATATGTTAAAATACGAAACATTAAATATATACATTTTCAAGACAACCCAAAATAAGCTTTTCAATTTTAAAGTATCTTAAAAACACTACAAATTTTCCTTCAAAATATTCTTACTAAAAGAGTGAAAGAAATGTTTACATGCGAAATTCAAAATATTTTTTATCCCAGACATAAAATGTAAATTTTATTTGAATAATTTGGTGCATAATTTAAAAGGATGAAGTAACATTTTTAATTCAAATTCATTTATTTTATATAAGCTTACATCGATTTTTCATTTTTGTTTTTTTGTAAATGCCAAAAACTCAAGGCTGCCTCTAGAGGTGGTCTAGTGGCTTAGCAAACGACGAATATTCGCCAGAAATTGTCGAGTTTAAGTGCAGGGTTTGTGAGTTGTGATAGCTTAAGAAAGTTGGCCATAGTGCTGACCATACAATCCCATGATAAATTCAAAAGAAACAGATTTTTAAAACTCTCAGCCTTTGACCTTCAGGGTCTTGGCAGGAACTTTACTTCTTGTGGACTCAACTTCCATTGTCCGAAATGACTAGGAAAATATAAACCTTTTCTTGTCATCAATGGACGCAGCCTTGAATAGTCCCAATTTTTCCGAATGGTGTAGAAAATAGTTAAAACTCATGTGCAGTGTTAGAAAAATAAATGATCTCTTTAAAAACTTAACTGTGGGGTTTTTGTCAGACATTACAAGATTGTATTAGGTCTTTTAGTAGTCGTCCATGAATGTCGACACACTTTTTGCCACAACACCTGCGGCTGACAAGTCACAAGAGACAAATCGATTTGTGTCTTATTTCTCATCCCAACATCCCCCCTTCCCCCTTACACACCTATCAACAATAACAATAACTTTAAATAATATTGTTATGTTTTTGTCATTTTTATGGTCATTAAATCATGGTACAATACGTATTGTTATTAACAGTATATGAACTTTTTATTAATTGAAATCCAATATGGATTGTTTATGTTAATTTATAAAACAATTAATGGTAAATGCCATTATTTTCGGTTCCAATTTTAGAAAACTGAAAGACATAAAATAAACTTTTAAATCACTTGCAGCATGACAAAATATCTGTCCTGTTGATTGATGTACTTGATAAAAAAGTAAAATTTAAAGAGAATTATCAGCTTAAAGACAATGATGTCACGTTCATTAAGGAGATGATTGGTGGACCACTGGAAATAACTGGCTCTCAGGTAAGACTTCTTCTGGTGTATTTTATGCAGCATGTACCAAATGTAAAACACGCTAAAGCACATAGTGTATAATATATGTGTATTATTAAGCCTATTGAACTGAAGAGTTAATCTGCTACAACAATAGGCTACTGCAGTACACAATTCGCTTCGACGAATATGCATCGTCGTTCAGTACTAAAACGTTCAATATAATTTGAAGTTCTTTGAAACGAAATGGAGAAGAGCTACTAGTTTTACGTTATTAATAGTGCCGCGAATGAAAGCCATGAGGTGTATTATTACTACCAATATAGAAAATTATATAAATAAAATTATTCAAAATTAGGGTTTCTGCTTGTGTTTTTAAGTACACAGATTTGTGGATTATTATTTATTAAAGATTAGTAAAATACATGTAAGTTATGTTGAAATAGTGGTAGTAGATGGATTAAAGCAAACATTTAATTGTTTTAGAAATGGCCATATGAAGGGAGAAAGGAAAATAAATCATTTCTTTATGAGGTAATTCATTCGTCAATACTTACGTGTTGTTGTTTTATGCATAGCCCAAAAATTAAACACCAATTCACTTTTTTTTACAATATATTTGAATAAAAAAAGACAATAACTTGTGGACCCTCACACATATTTCTAAACGTATTTTTAAGTTTATAATTAATCACACAATAATAAAGAAAATCTAGAAAACACAAAAACAATTTTTCAAAACAAACATCGTATTCGTATTTCAAATGTTTAATCGTTACTATTCTATGAATGTGTAAATAATAGTATATTTGTCTGTCTGCCTGTGTGTCTGTTTGTTTGCATTACTACACCTTTTATACGATCGTCATGAAAATTTGGGAAGTTGTTGGGGATACTCTTGTGATAAAAATCTTCCGGAGACGCGGTATCCTGAGAGTTGGGTGCCATTTGACGTCAAGAGCTCCCCAGCAGTTACCTTTGCACCTGAGATCCGTTGACGGGCGCCCTGCACAGAGGGTCAGGTGTACTACTTAGTTTAAAGGTCTAACTACATTAGGTGCGCCCCGAGTTCTCCCGTGAACAATATAGCACCTACTATCGTTCTAAAGAGTGCTGTATACTATGTTGACTATAATAGTTGACTAAGTCGACTCTGGCTCGTCCACCGCCCGGGGGTCGGGATGACCTTGAGCTCCACGGGCTCACCTGTTAAAAAAATAAAAGTATGGCTGTGTGTGTGTGTGTGTGTGTGCGTGTGTGCATTACTACACCTTTCTTTAAGTCTTAAAGATACTTATGGAAGGTGTTGATGATACGCCTGGGGAGGTTTCTTGGGAAACAAAAATTAAATTTCTGCACGGTGCTATTTGGTGCCCCGGGCTCTCCCGTGAACATTATTGCGACTATGACCTTTTCAGCCAATTTTCTATCTAACATCTAAGATTGTGTGCAACAAACGAAACAGCAACGACGTAAATGTGTGGGATTATTTAGCCCGAGACTGCCACCATCTTGGTTTTTACAACAACTTTGACTACAGCCGTTTTATGAAGTTTGCCAGGGTTATTGATGAGGATGGAGAGAAGCAGATCTGTATTAGAGACAAGGTGAGACTAAATACTAAAACCGCAATGAGCCAAAATAGGACAACTCCACAGAGGCGTAGCGACCTTTCCCGGCGCCCGGGGACAAACTTTCAATTTTTGATTTGCACCCCCCTCAAACTTTTGATTTGCACCCCCCCGCCCCCGCTCATATATTTTAAATATATATATATAAAGCAAAAATGCAGCTAAATTGAGATTTTAATATTAAAAGGTCTTAGCTAACAAAAAAGTAAATGTTTTTACCATTTTAAGAAAGAATGTAATTTAATTAGCAAATGCAAATAACTTGGAAATAATGTTTTTTTTCTATAGATATTGCTGCTATTTATCTATTTCCCTTTGTACAATTACTTTAAATTTTGTTTGAGTTATCTAAAATTTAACGTTTACATCGATTTTTTACAATACCCATTATCAAGTTTATATGATCATTTTGCTATCACGTGATTTAAAACGCCGAGAACGAGTTTTAATAATATAATCTGACTACATTAAGAAACCATGTCAGCGATCCACAACTACCAGGTAACCGTAGCCATACTTGCATTTAAATGGTAGGGGTGGGGGGGGGCAGCATGGTCGGACGTTAGAGCCCATGATTGCAACCCCCATAAGTACAGCGTTCGGACCCCCGGACAGACGAGTCATAATACCTGGGAAAGGCAACCCATCTAGGTGAATAATCTCCAAAATCAAACAACTTTTGTCTTCCAAATGGAAGTAAATAAGGCTGTGTTTATACTAGTAACTAATATTATTTTGGTAAAAAAGATCTATATTTTATGGGATTCAATTGGACAGGAGATGCGCCAAGATACGTAGTTTTAGCCAAATATTAAAATTAGCTGACGCGTTGTAATTGAATCTACAGGAGATCGCCAACCTGTACAACATGTTCTACACCCGCTACACACTGCACAAGTACGCTTATCAGCACAAGGTCAACCGTGGATTGGAAATGATGTAATGCATTGTATTGTTTATCTCAGATTTAAACAAATGCCTCTCGGTATTATATGATATCAATTTAAAAGTTGATTTTTGAAACCTCTCTTCCCTGATGAATTCCTGTCTACGGCATTGGATGCAAAGTTTAAATCCTTTATTTAAAAAGGGTTGTATTTTAGCCTTAAAAAAATCGTATGACTTGTTATACCGTAGGTGTGCATTTGCTAAAATACAGTTTTGCACGCATTCATAAATAAGGATGAAGAATATGTGAGACAGAATATATATAAAAAAATCTTTTTTCATAAATCAATTAATTAGGTATAGAAGTAAATGAATAGAAGTAAAATATTTTAATTTGTTTTGTTTTTGTTGACATAGGGTAAAAGATGTGCTCAAGTATGCAAATGATGTTGTCCTTTTAGAAGGAGAAAAGTAAGTGATGGGAATATTCTATTTTGATCAACCAAACTGTTTTTTTTTAATTTGTTTCTTGAAATATACGTTTATACAATGGTAACATTGATACTTGATCATATTTTTATTTTACTTCAAATGATAACTACAATTTAAGATATTTTCATTCCTATTTTAAGTGGATCCATGGTGAAAATTTCTGATTGCATGAAAGAAGAAGGATTGAAGGCTTTCATATCACTTAACGATAACATTCTCTTCAAGATATTTAACTTCAGTGAAAATGGTCTCCTAGAAAAGGAAAAAAAGAAGCTTAGAAAAGCCAAGGAGATCATTGATAGAATCTTTAAGCGTAAACTTTATACCTGTCACTGGGAAAGTCAACCATTGTTTCCAAAGAGTTTTGAGGTATACAATTAGTGTGAAAACAAACTAGGATACCACAAAAAAATCTCAGTTTAAAAATATCAAGATTATCCATTATTATAAGATTATAACCATTTACACAGATGATCATATTTAAGCACAATATTACTAATAAGCTCTGCAATATTTTAAAAAAAATAATGTACTGTTCATTCAGTCCGGCTAAGTTAAACTTTATATTGCTACAAACCGTATTTTAAATTATTATGAAATGTGTACAAAAATTATTCTTTTTTATCAATTATAGTACAAGAATGAGCCAATATACGATCTTGATAAGAAACTGAAGCCTTTGTTTACTGATAACCCTAAAGGTTACATCATTAAGGTAAATACGTATTTTTAAAAGCATATACGTTTGCTGTTTTCTAAACTTAACTTTAAAATAACAGTTGAATGAAAAAGAATACTTTTAAAATTATTTTCTTACCTTGAAATTATATTACACATTTTAAGAAAACTGAAATAAAAAGCGTGTTTGCAATATATTATGACAAAATTACAAGAACCATGTTGAGATGTTTACTGTTTTGATTTCATAGTTGTAGAAATCTGTGATTTTCATTGTGTTTAGTGTTAAACAATTTTGTATTATAGGGCTTTAAAATAAACATAAATTAATCTTTAAAAGATAGCAGAATTTAAAAAGATAAAAACTGTACAGGGTGGACCATCAAGGAGTAAAATGAACATAATTCATAATTGCTTTAATTTTAATTATTTTTACTAGCTTACACACTTTGATTTCGGAATGAAAGAAGAAAATCCCGTTGAAAGATTAAAAGTCTATTCCAAGAAATCACCAGATAAGGCCAGATTTTTTACCAAAGCTGAAGTATGGTTTATTTTGTGCCATTTCTGTTTAATATTATTATTATTTAAAATTTTTAAATACAAAATATACTCTAAAATACATTTAAAACTACTATTAGACTATTCGCTTTTTAATCCTAGTATTTGCATACATATGTCACAAGTAGGCTAACATCATTAGTTTTTTATTATCATATAAAAAGGCCTATCTCTGTAAGGAAAATATTGCTGTCACAAATCACGACTCAGCGCATACAATTGAAACGCATGTGCCTAATAAATATATATTATAATTTTAGTTCATGTAATCTTGACTAAACTAAAAATGCAGTTCTTTGTTAACTATTTATGTTTTTTTTTCTTCTCGCTAACATCATTGACAAGGGTTTATAAAAATGATGGATTGGCCAAAAGCCACAATAATAAACTGCAGAAATGTAATAAAGGATATGTGCTTATTTTCTGCCTTGATTTATTTTAGAGCAGCATAATTTTGGGTCCAGCAAAGTTCAATGAAACAATTCTAAGAGTTTACCTGAAGGAATCTGTTGATATTAATGGTATACGCGGGACGGCGCTGGTGGAAACTTGCAACAACTGGTATAAGGAATGGGTGGCAACAAAACAGGTTCATCTTATTAATAAATATGATTGTTTTATTTTGTCAAGTTTCTCTCAATTCGATCATTTAGAGTTCATCAGTTAACAAAATGACAAAGGAGGTGAAAAACAAACATTGTTTTATAAATTAGATATAATGAAAATAATTCTGTATCTTAAAGCCATTACCACAGTTTTGGAATCTCATAGGTATTTTGACACTCACTTGCAAATACAAACAGCGTAAAGAGATGAATCTAAATATAATGCATGTTTAAAATAGATCAGGAAACACGTAAAGCAATTTTAGTGAGAGCAAATTAAAAAAAAAATACAACTTTAAATTTACTGTTACAATTTTCAGAAGCAGAAGGAAGAAGGAGAAGTGGAAAGTTTAAAAGATACAATTAAAAGCATATTTAATGAAAAAACCAACATGTTCACAGAACTAGCAACAGATATTACAAAGGTGAGCTTGAAAAACAAAAATGTACTGTAAAGCTAAGTTGTGATCAGTGTCAAAACTGCTTTAGTAGTTCATAAAATATATTATTTTGATATAGCTTCCACAAATATTTTTCATGCACTAAAACTAGATTATTTATGTATAACTTAATTCAACTCTTTATATGAGTTATATATTGTAATAATGTCAGTTTCGTAAATGCATTTTAAGCAGTTTTAAAATCATTCTTCTGCAGCTCAACTTGCAGGAAATAACTGCCGACGGTTTGAAAGAAAAAATAAGTCGTACGATGAAGAGTGATGGAATCACTAAAGATTTAGCTTCTGGAATTTTAAAACAGCAAAACCATTAAACACGATAAACTGATCACTTACTTATTAAAGCTTTATTATACTTTATTTTAATCAACTTTTAAACCAATTTACATGCCTTGATTTATACATTTTATTTTATTGTATTAGTTTTGTAAGTAATTTCTCAACTAAATATAATGTAATTAAAAAGAGATGGATGAACCGCATCATATTCTTTACGATTTTCACAAACGAAAATTCTTAACATTATTTTTATGTATTAGTATATGCATTTTAGATTATAAGTATTTCTTTCTTTTTTTCTAACTTTTGTTTTCAAACTTGAACTTAACAAAAACAAAATATACGGAAATAAACATTGCTTACCCATTACCAAACATTTTTATTTGTGCATGGTCAATAGAGTTTTTGGTTTTATTTAGTCACGTTAATTTAATATGTATATACATACTAAAATGGTAAAATAATATATAAGAGTTACATCTATTTTCAAAATAGTGAAATGAGTCCACAATAACATTTTCAAATCATAAACAGACAGAGTTTCCACAAAGATCATAAAATTAGAGTAGTTGTAAATGATCATAAGTCATTTAGAGAGTGGCGCATATATAACATATTTGAACAGTTTATCTATAATTTAAAATATTTCTCGTAATAAATGGGCGAATATTTTTTTAATTGCAATGATTTAATTTACAATTAACTGTTACACAATCGGCAAAAATCATTAAATTTACCAAGGGTTCAAAATTTAAGATGCGACCTACGCTTTTCTTTACAAGATAGTAATGTACTATTGTATATTTTTAAAAAGGCGTTTAATTTCTCCCTTTTAGTGCATTTTTAATTAAAGCTTGTTATTAAAGCGTTTCAATACATGTTTTACATTGCGCAAGCGAATTTTGATTTAATTTTAGACAAAGGAACCTTCTAGTGTCAGAGTTTATTAGTGTCCACATTTAATACGTTCGCGCAGTATAAAACTTAAAAATTTTGGTTGTCTATTCGGTTAAGAAATAATTGATTGATTTTCAGTCTTGTTCTCTGGATACGGAGCTATCATCTTCATTGTATGCCATTTTTATCAAACAGTTTCTAACACAGCAACTTATGAAACAAATGAAAACCATTAGTGCAAAATAAATAATTGAGTACTGTTTCAGTTAGGTAGTCGACATTTCATATATAAGTACAAGAAGGCAGAGGCGTAGCGAGAAGGGGGGGGGAGAGGCCTAAGAGTGTGTAAGTAAAAGCCTACGAGTTTGTAAGTGTGTGTATTTGTACGTGTGTTTGTGTGTGTAAGACCAATAGAACGAACAATAGCTGTACATATGTGCTAAAAGAATTTCGCCATGTCTCGACGTTCTTACTTTTTTCTACTTATTTTATCGTATCTATGATTTATGATATGTTTAATGGGTTATTTTTCTATTCCCATTAAAAGATGTGTGATATTTGGCAAAAATCAGTTTGATCTTTACATTTTGTATATTTCGGTTATCGGAAATCGCTGAAAAGTTGACACAGTTTTACAAATTTGATATACTTATATTTAAAATTTCATATCAACCTAGCTGTAACGGTACTCAAGTTAGCGTGTTGACAGACACACATACACACACACACACACACAAACACACACGCACACAGAAATAGGGACACAATTGCAAAACTATGTTTTTCCGACTCAAGGAGGTGTAAAACGTTGAGATTTGTTAAAATCTCGATTTCGATTTTTTGCACGATTACAATACGTCCTCTATACTTCGTATACGAGAAAGTAAAAAAAAAAATTAATGATTCCCGTTTTATTTTGTATGTCAAGCAATTTCTGCTTCTGGGTATTAACTAAATTTAGACAGACAAGTATTTTTCAACTGGCTGAAAACAACTGAAGAGATTTGATTACTAGACTGTTTCTGACATTTTCTGATATTTTAATTATATAACAAACACATTTTCAAAATTATTACAAAATCGGGATACTAATATAAAAAATAATATCAAATGGGAAATTGAAATGATTGAAAAGAGAATTATAAAAACTTTACAAAGATTTTAAAATCAACAGTAACATGTGAGAGCTACTGCGATGTTGATAATTTAGCTACAGTTTCAGGTTTAGCATAAACTAGCCTTGAAGGCGAAAATTAATAAATAACCATACGCACATTGCTACTAAGATAAATAAAATGGTCTACTGTGGACAGCAGCATGGTCATGTCTTGCTTGTCTAGTTAATTCAGCCCCGTGTCCAAACAGGTTTAAACACCGTTAGATTTCCCCTAACTCCTACATACATTAAGTCTGACATATTTGACGCTTGTATCAGCACTAACTGACGGCGTTGTGTTATTGAATCATGCCAACTCAGCCATGCGTCTCGATGACATGGCAATGTTACTACACACACACACATACTATAGCCTACACACCCGATCCTTGTGACACGGTGTCAAGGCTTATCGATAACGATCACAGCAAACATTGAAAGGCTAGCAGATCGATTTGTTGAGGTTATGTCTAGGAAGTTTTTCTTGTTTTATTGATAGACATTACAGCCAGGTTGTGTAGGAAAGGTAATATGTCTTTTACTTTCTTATAAAATATTTTATATTATTATTTGAAATGTCTAAACAATATGCTTTATAACAATATATTGATACGTTGAATCTAGCTTCCCGTAAATTTCAAAAGAATTGTCATTGAAAACCCGTTTTTTACACTACTTGTATATACGCTATACTGTTATAAATCAAGCCAATGTGTTTAAATATTGTTTAAACAATTGTTCTCATATGAACATATTGCATTATTATTTATTTTAAGAATAAAATCAAGTATAACAAACTATTATTATGGAAATAATAATAATTTTAAATCGTTCCAAATATATTGTACACATTTGTTAATAAAAAAACATTACATTTATATAAAATCAATCAATTTATACTTACATTTATTTAAAGCAGTTTTAAATTATTTATAAATTTGAAGGAATGCAACACTATAATAAATCGATTTGAAATTTGACGGACACTATATAAAATATGATGCTAATAATGATGACATTTATATTTTCTAAAAACTAATTACTCTTTTATAAACAGCAAAAGCAGATGGATGATTCTACTCATGAAAAGAGTTTGGATAACTCTGCAGATCAAGTAGACCTACACACAAGTACGCCTGATCGGAAGGAGCCCAATGACGCACAAAAAGAAGGTAAGCTGGCCATTGAAGCCTAATTATCGGAACCTAAACGTTGCGCTGCATCACACAATTTTAAGTTTGGTTTATTTTCATGTTGATTATGTAACGTCGAGACATATCCTTAAACCAAAACATTTATTGATAGCCATATAGGCCTATCAATTTTCAAAAACATATACGATACAGCCCCACATATTGGATCACTTATTTTTTTTTTCAAAACAGCCCCAAATAGCCCTTCAAACGTTGAACTGGATTTTAAATTCCCAAAACCAGAAGCAATACTAAAGAAAAAGTAAGTCGTATTATGTGTCATTTGGAGGTTAGATTAGAATAAGTTAGAATAGTCTAGAACTTAGGGGAAAGTGCGTGTGTGAGTTGAGTTAACCCCGGTGTGTGTATCTATTGTTATCCTAAGGTCGAGGGCTTGGTGTGTAATGATCCAGTTGTTACGATCAACCTTTTGTTTAACTCCAAGCATGATTTATTTAGCTTGTCATATTTATCATTACACCACAAGCCCTCGTCCCTAGCTGCTAGCAACCAACCCCTTACAATCATTCACTTCAGCTTTTAAACCCGCACTCGACATTAGGATAACAATACATAAACACACCGGGGTTAACTACACCCCAGGGTTAATTCAACTCACACACGTCTCTTCCCTAATTTCTAGACTATTCTAATATAACCTCAAAATGACCCGTAACAAGTGCAACTTTTTAATAAATAAAAAATAAATTGTGGGTATTTTGTGTAGGGCAATAAAGTGTGAAATGTGTTAACCTAATTTTTGTAATAAGGCCATACAATGCTTTGGTTGAAATAATTCACGATTTCAGCATTACAATTGGAAAATACCTCAACGAAGTTAAGGTCAAGAGAACTGAGATCTCATTTAAAGATATAGATTTGAAGGTAACAATTCTTTATCCATGTGATTTTTCAAAAAACTTTCCATATACAATTTACCGTCTTTTCTTGCATTCAAGAAGTGTATTATCATAGACCTTCAAACGTTTTATAAACTTGGTTAAACCTATGTTAGGTGTACAACGACCCAGTCCACGGACACATTCAGACCAACAAGGCATGTCAGGCCATAGTGGACACGCCCCAGTTCCAGAGGCTGCGGTTCTTAAGAAAACTTGGCATGGTCTACTTCGTCTTTCCTGGGGCAGCACATAACCGATTTGAGCACTCATTGGGGTCAGTTGACTTTAGCACTTATTTTTGTTGATAAAACTTAGTTCTTGGAATAATTTAGTTGCATTTAAAACATTAAAAACTAAAAGTTGTAAGCAGCAGATTTTTTAAAAAGTTGATACCTTTATCATTTTTGTCAACAGGACTTGCCATCTTGCTGGTATGTTTGTACGGGCTCTACAATCCAACCAGCCGTTTCTTGGTATAACAGAGAGGGACATTCTGTGTGTTGAGATAGCTGCTTTATGTCATGATCTGGGTGGGTATCTATTTACAGAAGAAAAGTAATACGTTAGTATACTTTTAAGCTAGTAATTATAAAAAAACAACAACTTAAAAATAGTCGAAACCAATGTAATTATTATGATGTATATTATAATCATTAAATAATGCTACATCAAAGTTACTATTTATTGAAGAATGGTACTGGTAAGTTTATCAGGGACATTCTGGTAGTTAATTGTGTTTAGCCATATTAGTGGGCCATAGTGATGTCTAGAAAACTTCTGCGGCTTAACTTTGAGAGGAAATTTCAAATGTTTTGTTAGGAGTAGTCATGTTACTAACGTTGTGTGGTTGTCATTAGAAAGCGTTAAGCTTTTGTTTTTCAAACCATTATGGCTTAATCTTTTTTGGGGGGAAAATTTTAATGATTATAGACCCTCTGATGTAACACATCATCAAGGTAAGCTGCTTAAGAGTGATGACGTTTGTGTCGTCTCTCACGAATATTGCAAAATGGCAAGTCTTTATCGTCACAGGTAACCACTTTCAATTATAGGTCACGGAATACTCTCTGACTTTTACCTTCAACAGTTCATGCCGAAATACAGACAAAACAAGTCACCAATTAAGGTTATATTTTAAACTTAGAAGTTAAAATAATTGTTTATTTTACAATGTCTGTTTTACCCTAAGCATTTCAGTCAACATTACTATCGATCTTTATAACGCAATTAAAAATCATAATATTGAAACAAATCAACTACCTAACATAATTAATCATGTTTTAATTGTCCTAGAATTAAAACGAGAATAGGCTTGAAAAGTCTGTGTATTTATGCTAAAAAATAATTTTTAAAAATATGGCAAGCGATAAAGTTATTGTACATTTCTAAAATATAAAGCCGTTTCTGAAGCATCGATTGAACTCATGTTCATATTTTTGTATTGAATATACGCCTTTGAAAAGCCGTTCAGAATTATTTTATCAATTCAAATATTTAAAAAAAAACGCACTTAATCCCTCCTTGAAGTCAACCAGAACGGCCATGGAAACTAAAAGAATGAAAGTCACGACATTTGTTTTCCATGGTAAAATTCACAATAGCGGTAAATATGGTATAGCCTTGTAGTTTCTTTATATTGTATAATATCACACCCCCAATCACCACAACACCCTGACTCTACTAATCCAAATAAAAAATATATGTTAGCTAAATTACTGTTATATAACTAGTAATTATTTGTTTTAATAGTTCAATCCTTATTAAAACCGGAATTCATTTTTTACTTATTTTACAACTTTTATAAAATAGTCAATTTCGGTTGAAAAATAAGCTTTCTGTCAACAACCATTTGAAACAAGTTTTTAAGCCTATTCTCGTTGACATTTAAAAAAAAATATTTGAATACATTTTGGTTCGAAATAAATGTTTGATAACCAACTATTACAAATACTTTTATCTTCTAGCACTTATCTCTATATTGTTGTTAACATCATTTTATAGCATGAAAATATGAAAAACATTTTAAAATCTTCTAAATTTTATTATTAGTTTAAACCTTGTAAGTCATTTTGGCTAAATATTGTAAGTAAGCTTCACATTACACGATTGTATGTTTTGAAAGATTTTTTAAACACACTCTCATGATCAGTAACATTTATATTTGATTTTCCTCACCTCACAAGTTTGAAAAAAGTTGCTCGTCCGTTACAAGCGTAAGGATCATCGTTACAATTTGTGATTAATGTCTTTAGAATGCCTCTACTTCAAACTTGCCGTTTAAACAATGACAGAATGTTTTTTGGTTGGACGATTGCCAAAATAAATATTCTTACAACGTTGCCCCTCAGCGTGAGAAACTATCGGTGAAAATGTTTGAGGCTCTGTTGGAGGAAAACGGCTTGTACACCAAAGAAGGGGGAGGGCGGCTCAGAGATGATTTTGGTCTAGACAATGATGACATTGAGTTTATAAAAGAACAGATTTTGGGTGAAGAAAAGTATAAGGATGGGGTAACGTTGTTTTCTTAATGTTTATAATAAGATACACGTAATCTTAAGCTAGAATTTTTACAAAACATGTTTATGTAATATTTTTTTTTCTTTTTTAATAGCAACATTTAAATTAAACACAATGCATATTTATTCCATGTTGATTTTTCTTAGGATAAATAAAAACGATAATTAACATAAAATCCTAAAATGATTTACGATTATAAAAAAATTGTGCCTAATAGTTTGATATTTAATGACTGGTTTTAATATTTGTCTACATTATATTCATAATCTATATAAATGTTATTTTGGTATCAATAACGGTTGTTTTTAACGCTACTATTAGACGTGGATCTTAAAAGGGCGTGGGAAGGAGAAAGAATACTTATACGAGGTAAAGCTGTTTTGTGTACTAAACAAACCATATCCAAATGCTACATTTCAAAAAATCTCCATGTAATTGTACACGGTTTGAATGGTTATTAGCTCGTGGTCATTCTGTTTTTGCTCCAGATAGTTTCCAATAAACGAACTGGCATTGACGTTGATGAGTTCGACTGTCTCGCTCGAGACTGTCACCACATCGGCATCAAGAACAACTTTGACTATGCTCGTTACATCAAGTTCGCCAGGGTGATCGAAGTTGATGGAAAGATGCAGATTTGTATTCGTCACAAAGTGTGTTGCTTTACAGTGTAGTCTAGTGTTCAGATGTTTTGCTGATTAACAATATTATACTTTTTTTTTCAAATGTATGAATAATTTCTAAAATGATGTAGTAATTTGTAGTTACTTAAATCACTGCACACTTTTTTTGTAAATTACATAATATATGCATATTTTCCAGGAATCCACCAACCTGTACAACATGTTCTACACCAAATACACTTTACACAGATCAGCGTATCAGCACAAAGTGAAGTGTGCAATCGAAGCCATGTAAGTTAAATTGTATCTCGCCCTATATTATGTAAGGCGCTACTTAATACTTCTAGAAGACAATTATGTAGATTTTCATGCTGTATACATTCTTCTAAAATGTAAACCCGTTATGATTATCTGCCACATTTGTAACTTATTTTTAATAAAACTATTTGTTTTCAAGCATTTTGTTCTAAAATATAACAACTTCCAAATTGACATACAATCCTTTAACATAGTATTTGCATCAGTTTAAATACATGCACGGTTGATGGGCTAACACCAAGCAATACTTTCTGAAGCACGAGATTTTGCAATTCACGTTAGGCCTACTTAAAAATAGAATACGTCCTCTACCGGTTTTTAAAATGCCGAACCACATACAACGTAATTTTTTTTAATTAAAATAAACTGAAAAGCTAGTGAAAACAAAAGCATTTAATGGATACTATATTGTGTATTCCAATGGTTCAGCTTTTGTCTCCATATTGGTTTCCACGGCGCTGCTTTTGTCTTCTTATCTAAATTAATTCTTATATTTGAATGTTCATAACACTGTATTGTATTACAAATATACAGGGTGAACAATGCCCTGGACAAAGCAAACCCACACATGAATCTGTCTAAATGGCACAAGGACACCAAAGAATTTTTAAAACTGACGGACAATGTCCTCTTCGAGATACTGTACAGCAACGAGGAGAACCTAAAAGAGTCCAAGAAGTTAATTGAAAGAATATTCAGTCGAGAACTGTATGTGACGGCATACGAAAGCAGGCTGATGTCTCCGGAAGCTTTGGAACATGTATGTCTGATATTTTAAGCATAGTGCCACCTGTAATGGAAAAAAATTGTATTGTAAAATTGTAATTAACCTTATTGTTAGTCTAAAGAGCTATTTAGCTTTCAAATAGATGTATTATAGTATATTAAACATAATTATAGTATGTTTAATAAAACTGATCACATTTAATACGTATTATTACAAATTATTTACCACGTTGGAATTGATTTTTTCAACACGTTGATACATCTGTTACATTTAGTTATTTATAAATTTTGTCTACGTAATTCAACAGAGACGTTATTAATATTACTTTGTATGTTTAATAAAATTTCGTATACATTTACAAAGAAAGTCGTATTTCAAATAATCGCCATCGTTCCACGTTTTTCTGATGTTGTCTGTCCCAATACAACGTAAGTCAGTTATAGTATTGCTGCTGAATTATCAGTTGTTTGTTTTAATGCTTTAACATCTTCACGCTAGTATGGTGGAGGAAACGATGAAAGCATTAGCCAAAAAATTCTGCAATTGGCCAAAGAAATAGGGGTACCGCTATCCAATGAGGATTTTATTGTAGACGTAAGTTTCTTACTTTTAATCATTCTAGCTTTATAACATTACTACTACCACTACTACAACTACTACTACTAGTACTAATAATAATAATAGCGTTTTTAAACGCTCAAATGGTTGTCCAATGGTAATACATTCAAAATTATATCTAAAAACATTTAGAGGAGAAGAATTAATATTTATTTATATGTAGTAGCATTAAATAATGTCGTTGTCACAATATTTCCTAACTGTCTTACATAACAAGGCCTTAATCAAAACAGTTATGTACCAAATACACATCACAATAAGTGTACAATAATTCCTTAGTTTAGCATTATATCTAAAAATATGTATTAAATACAATAATTTCTAGGTATATTAAAAATGCATAGGTAAATGTTTATTACCATTTTGTGCTATAGAAAAGTGTGGCACTGGGATTGCGTTTGGTTACCTTAGCTATAGTCAGACTTTAACATCTCTTGTTTCATTATTTACTTTAAAACAACAGGTTGCTCGTATTAACTTTGGCATGAACAACAGCAATCCCCTGGCGAAGCTTATGGTGTATAGAAAGAATGACGTTGACGCAGCTTCACCACTGAACCCAGAAGAGGCAAGTTAACTTCGCATGTTTGTGATACTGTTCCTATAACAATACATAAAAAACATAACAAAAGTTCAAAATTAGTTCCATCAAACACGCTATTAAAATAAGGTTTAAATAAATAAAACAAAGCAAAACTTTAAAAGGTTTACCGGAGTTTATCTGCGTCATTTATATTCAAATAAAGAGTACTTTCGAGTGGTTTAAATAACTGCTTTTTAAAAGCTTATATTCTAACTTAAATAGTCGATGTTTTTTCTTATCATTCTCTCTTTTATAAAATTGTATTGTTAAGATTATAATGTGTACATTTTTTGACATTCAAAATATGTATGCATTTTCATGAGCTAAATTTACATTTTCAGTTGAGCCAAATCTTAGCTCCAAGTAAATTTAAAGAAATCATTGTCAGAGTTTACAGCACAAAATCGGATAAAGATGAATCGATCAGGAAAGTTTGTGAGAAAATGTTCAATGTAAATGTAAGTTAATTTTAAAGATCTACATTACAATGTTGGGCACATTTTTCTCGATGATTTTTCCCTACTCAGCTAACCTCATTAAAATTATAAATGTTATTTTTCACTTAAATACATTATGAGATACTTATCAATGAATATGAATAAAACATTTTCAAATCCTAAAATAATATTATGTCAGTATAAAGAGAATTGAACTATAATGCAACTTGATCTGTCAGCAGCATATGTTGCATGTGTGTAATGATAATAATCACAATGTAAGCTATAAATGCGATGTTGCTTGATTTGTTAAACCTATTTTATTTAGGTACAATCCAGTGGTCATCTTGAGGATCAATGCAGCCCACAACAACCGTTTTGTGTGGTCAAGGATGTGTTACATTCTGTAGTTAGTATTAAACTGGGCTGAGTTTCATACAGAAATACGAAAAAGGAGCATACACAATTCTGAGTTTATATCTCAACGTTTAAAAAGTATATTTTATAATTGCAAAGACAAAACTTAAACACTATTATCACAACCAACTGGAGTGATACTACAACATTGTGTTTTTTATTTTTTGTGGAACTTTTTTTTATATATGTTCATTAAAAACTGTATAGTTCATAATTTGCTTTAGTGTTTCTGGTAGTTTTATAGATATATACTTTCAAATAATACTCATGTAGGCCTATATTATACAATATCTCAAAACATTTGATATTAGTTATTTAACAAAATCGTGCTTTGCCCATATAGTATTTAATATAATAAATATCAATAACCAATTCGATGGATGTTTACATGGCTTTTTTATTTTACTTTTAGCTATAGTTAAATAAGTGTCATTAATCTTGGAACACATGAATGGGTTGCATGTGTAAAACCTATAACTCAGCAGCAATACATCATTTACGCTGTCACAATTTCGTCTACGCCAGATCATTGTCTTCATATAAATCCTGTACTTGCTTTCCCAGATATGACACGATTTTTTTCTGGCACCCATCGGCCATTGTCTACAATCTCACAAAATATCCGGGGGGGGGGGGGTCGTCGAGAAGTAATTTATTTTCGATGAATAGCTAATAAAGGGTGCTGGTCAGTTGGTGTCAGTTTTAACCCACTCGCTGCGTGAACTTTGTGGCATATCGGCATTTTTCCTCTCATATACCCAAGTCATTGTATACCGCTACTCCATTGTAAAGGTCGACTATAGGCCTACCTCTAAAACATTGTTTACTTCTACCTGTGTAACGCGTGGCTACGCTTGGTTGCCTCCAGTATAGTGTGTACCTATCACGGGCTTTACGAATAATATGTGTTTTGTGTTGTCTCTCAGGGTCAGCCTCTATAAGCACTAAACCTCAGTGGCTGACCATCACACCCTATCCCCACTGAGGTAGTGTTACATGTGTGGTAATGGTTGGATCATGTGACCTTTCTCTGGTATAAACACAACGCGAGTTGCTATTTATGGCACAGCAGACATGTTGGCACCATGTTGATTTACTATCTCGAATGTCAGTGTACGTGTAACAATGAACTATCAGCGATTTGTTCTCCTGGAGGTAACTTTTATTTTACATTCGGTCTAATATAAATAGTATTCTACAATGGGTAGGGACGGGGGCTGGGTAGTAAGAGCGGGAGGTTGTGTGTGTGTACGGGGTGGGGGGGGGGGAGTAGCTCCTATCGTTTCAAATAAATAGGGGTTTGGTACAGTTTGGTGCAATAAACAACCATCAAACGTATTTATTTGAACAGAAGAGAAATCCGCTGCATGCACATAGGCTTCCATTCAATGCACTATTTTTGTGCTCAATATACGGATAAAAAGGTCATGTTTATTTACCTGCTTGGAAGTCTAATATCTATGTTGGAAGTGGGAAGGTTTACAGAAAAAAGCCCCATCCCCCCCCCCCCCCCCCAGCAAAAAAAAATATGTTCGGCCCCCACCCCCATTTCTATTTATCTCTATATACATACACACGCACACGCACACGCACACGCACACAAACACACACACACACACACACACACACACACATATATATATATATATATATATATATATATATATATATATATATATATATATATATACATACATATTGGACTGTCTGACTAAATTTTAAACTGATTATTTAAACACTGTCCTAATTATTTAATTTACCCTATTTCATTGTATAGTTATCCATCGTGAGTCAACATATAACACCAACATTTGCTATAACTCATTTCGGACCTGCTATAATCGTGTTTTAAAAACGTTTATATTTCATTATGTAATTGTCAAAAGTGTGACGTCTTGGTCAAAAGTATTTAAACTTAGAGGTTTGGTATGTGATGGTTTCTGTGTTTATTTTAATTTTTATGTTTTTTTTTAAATTTATATTTTGAACACATTCCTTATATTGAATAGGGGCAATAATTCACGGAAGTGGTATGAAGGTTTGCCTATCTTTCGCAATACAGCTCATGTAGTTTCTGTAAATTGCTGGAGAACAGTCACTGCTGTTCATTGTTTTACAAAGCCACTTGTTTCTTAAGGTACAACAAAATTGTTTTATTTTTGGTCGGATTGGGGCCTCTAATGACCTGCTACGCCCCCCCCCCCCAAGCGGGGTCAGGTGGTGTGGTAGTGCCGCCACTGTATATAGGTAACACGCCGTCTTTTTTAGATAATGCGACAGCTACACATGCATAGATATATAGGAAAATTCCAGCATTATCTAGGTTCTGCTTATCTTGTAAATGGAAATGCTTCATGCCTTATTCACCCGTTACAGTAGTGCCGACAATAAAAACTGCACAGCTTTTTGCTCTACAGAACCAGGATTATTTTAGCAAGACCAAGCATGACATAGCATTGCCGCGAAGTTGCAGATTTGTCAAGTGGGTTCATGTAAATTCTATTGCCAGGTAAGGGCCAGTATGACAATATACTGCCAGCTAGTATAACATAAATCAACATTTAATCACAATTTAAAGTCCGTAACATCGGGTCTTTCAAGCTCAAAGTCTATGTTGTACTAAACGTGTCGAGAAATTCAATCTATCCAGACCTCCCTACCTGAATTCACATGACATGGTTAATTCGTTCAGAAGGGCAGACAAAAGCAGTAGCTATTGCCGTTAACAAACTGGACCCACAGGGCCCGCAATCCAATCAGATTATGCAAACGTCCCTTAGCTGGTAACACCCTATGATGTGTAGGCCTAACTCACAAATCAGCTTAAAACATTGTGGCAACTTGTTGAGGAAAGTGTGTAAAGAAGCATTGCTCGTTATTATTAGTTTGAATGTGTAAAGTCGTGCGCTGTGTGCTGACTATATAAAACTATTTAATGAAAAGAAATATTGCAAAGGCAAGTTTTTGTTCAACCAGGAAGCTCTTTGTTTATTTATAGCTTATCCTCCAGTCTATGAAATTGGGAAGTAAATAATTTTTTTTAAAACTTAGAAATAAATAAAATCTTTTAAATCTACTGTCATTTTAAAACAAAAATAAAACAAACTTGTTTTACCTTAATACAACATGTCATGTCACTTAATGTAAATAGAATTTCGGTTGAGGACTGATTTACCCATTAGTATCTGAACATTCAATAAGGGCGAAAATTAAGGAGTAACGTGTAACTCTGATTTTTTTTCTGACAATCAGATCATAGATTAAAACATTATTAGCACTGTTAGAAAATAAAGTTTATTATTACTATTATGTTTTTTATTTTTTTTATTTTTTCGGCTGCGCTATATTCCCTTAAGTATTTTGAGTACTTCCAGTTCAAGATCTTCAACAGCTATTACAAAAGGATAGGCCTAATTTTAATCAGACACCTGCTAACCATGCTCTTGCTACAAAAGATTGTTACGCGATGATGGTATTATCTAGTCGAGCATACACATGACAAACAAAATATTGCTATGCAAGCAAATCTATCCAGTCGTAAATTTAAAAAAAAAAAACACTGTCAACCTTGCAGACATTCATTAGAGATTAAAACATTTCCCTGAAAAAAAAATTGTCCCGGTTGACTAAACACGTGACATAAACAACGGTAAACACGTGACGTTAACCACGGTAACACGTGACCAAAACGTCAATTCGTGTTTAGCGAGATTGGCTTTAATTAACGGGTGTTTGCTCGCTTGAATTCAATCGTTTATTGTGAAAAAAAAACTTTTATAAAACATGTATACACAGGACTTTAATTCAAACTATTCTCTGGTATGACTTTACAATTGCAAGTGTATAAATGTATGTAACAATTAGTAAATATCTATTTTTCTGTTATGTATAGCGAACTTCTTGATAGAGTAAGAAAATGTTCTGTCTCTCCCGACTGAACGTCACCACACAAACATAAATTACCTGCTTAATGCTTTTCTAAGGCAGTAGATTACACAATCTCATTACATTTAAACATGTATAATTAAGTATTAAATGCCTTTCAGTGACCGTTCTTTAAAAAAAAATGATGACTAAAATACAAAAGAAGTATAAATAGGGCATTACTTGAGAGCGTCTAAAACACAAGTGACCTCGTAAGAATTATCTCTATTATACGAAATAGCACGTTTGAATCTAACATAAGAATAAAGCCAAAAATAAATACTATAACCCCATTCTTTACATCGACATGTCATATAGCGTTGAGGGCATACCATCATAAAAATAATATACGGGAACAGAACGCATATTTGATATACTATATAACTAAACAGGGATTATCATGACATGTTATTAAATCTAGATGTTTTCATATATCAAGAGCAGCGATCAGTAGAGAAGAACTAGCATGAGTTATTTATATCTGCTGCTACACACGTGTAAGGTTACACCGACACACCAACACACCTAGGCGACACAAACCAAACAGTGTACAGTGAACGGGTTAACAGAATACATTTTCCCAGAACGTCAACACTTGGCTATGTCAGCACAGAATTTAAATCAATAAGGCCTTACGCCTGAGTGCGTGGTGTGGAAAGAAACTGTAACGCAACTCGATTTACTTGCAGAGGTGTAGCGACCCCTCCCTCCTGACAGTTTTTAATTCGTAGTTTCAGTAGTGTGTGTTGTTGTTGTTGTGTGTATGTGTGTGTGTATGTGTTGCGGAACTTGTTTTAAATTTTATTTTATTATTCTCCAAAAAAAGGGGCCACTATCCTTAACCCCCCCCCCCCCCCCGCTCCCCTTGCGAACGCTAATGATTGGTTTATATTTTAAGTGTTAAGCGACTTATCTACTCGGCAATCCGGTGTAAATCCTCCCCATTTACCTTGGTGATAAGGCGCCCCCACCCACCACCTTTTCGCTAATGTTTCTGTTACACAATACGCTGTAATACACTTGGTTTTTTTCTAAGTGTTAAAAGAGTTATCTACTTACCAATCCAGTACGAATCAGTGCGATTTTAATCGGCGAAAAAGCACCCCACCCCCACATCTAGGAAAAGCTGGAAAGGGTTTTTTTTCGGTCACCGTTTTCCTAATGGTATTTGCTTTGCAATTACACAATCAAGGTAAACAAAAAAAGATAAATCAGAATGCAAAGGCTCGTAGCCGTTAGATCACAAATTTAACTATTTATAATTCAAAACTGAAGTTAAAATGAGTTTTAAAACAATTAAACCCGTTTTGGCGCCCCTAGGGTCGGCACCCGGGGACATATGTACCCTCTGCCCCCCCCCCCCCTCCACTCCCCACCCCGCCCTCTCGCTACACTTCTGAACACTTGCCTTATCTCAAGGGCGGGTAGTTTTAGATTTGTATCTGGAACGTAAATCGATGAGAAATATCTCCACTTTTAGCAACTTAGTTTATATTTCACTTGTATTTTTTTCTTTGTCTTGTAATAATTAGTCGAATTTCAAAACGATTAGTCACCAATACAAAACACAATATTAGCACTGATTTGGATAGTCAGGTTTCTTGTATATTCTAATGGTATTCGATTTGTTTTAAAAAGGTGTAGACATTAAACATGGCCACTCACTACCGGCAAAGTAGTAGCCTGTCATCACAAAAAACGGCTGAAGAGAAAATTCCAGAACTCAAAGGCATCCTAGGTAAAATACTTCTAAGTTGTGTAAGATTTCTTGAACTAGTTTAAACATGTAGGCATATATATATATATATATATATATATATATATATATATATATATATATATATGTAGTGTTTAATTATGTTATTATGTAAGTGTAAAACTCGGCATTCTATTGAAGATTGTATTAACTAATGTATAAAATGTTCAAACAGAAGAGCTAAAGCAATCTGGAAAATTAAGTAAAAGATTCAGGTAAGATACCTGTCATATAATATTATATATATATATATATATATATATATATATATATATATAGCCTATATATATATATATATACATTTATATATATATATATATATATATATATATATATATATATATATATATATATATATATATTATGTATATGTGTGTTTGCGTGTGCATTTAATGTACACAAAGGTGTCTGTATTAGGTGTGGATGTTTATGTATTGTTAGTGCAAGTGTTAGCTTGGTGTAACAAGTTACATGTAGAGTAAAGAATATACTTGTTGGTGTATTCGATTTTCTATATTAAGATTCTTTTTATTGTTAGTACATTCTCAATGTGTAAAAAGTTCTTTTTTTTTTAGGAACGCCACAGAGAAATATTTGCAAGAACTAAATGAGATTGAATGCAAGACACCATTAGAGGTAAATAAATGCGGTTTATTAATATAGAATATTATACTGTTTATGTTAATCTCAGTTTATTCAATTTTTTTTCTAAATCGAGTATCTTAAAATTCTTTTAAAGCTTTTTAGGTTGTCACTTTTATAAGATTGAATGTCTCATTAAGCTTATGGGTTTACACATATATTTCATACTTTTAAGAAAAGCTATTTTTGTTTTAGACTAGTGAAGAAGAGACAGATGAAGTGAATTATGGATTAGACTATAACACAATTAAAATAATTCACGATTGGAAAAACGAGAAAAATAGAAAGGAGAGTGTCGATGAATGGCTACAAAAATGCGGCGTTTCTCAAGAAACGGTTAATATTCTTAGAGGTATAATTACTTAAGCGTCCGTAATTAGCAAGTTAATTAGAACGTACTATTTTATGCTGTAATAAACACCGAAGACTAGTAAAGATCACGTGTTTTAATATTTGCAATGTATAACTGGAACGAAATAATCCTTTATCACTATTTAGACAAAATATATTCTTAACCTGTAAATTACATATGTACTAGTTTAAGATTGTAGAAAGTAAACTGTAACTGCACACAATCTCACTGTTTAAACAAAATCTCTCTAACAAACGGTCTACCAAAATGTTATAGAAAATCTTAACGGAACCAAAGTCTAGTTTCTTTCTTTTTACAAATTTAGATGAAGAAATTGAGGAGGAGCACATTCCAGATTTAACGATGGCCAGTTTAATGAAGAAAGGCGTAAGGTTAGAATAGTGTGAGAAGTAAATTAAGTAGGCTACAATGTCCTGTCTTTTTACTATTGCACGGTCGTCCAATTTTAATACATAGAGGTGTCAGTAAATTGGATCTTATATCTTTAAATACGTATGGCACCCTAATGTTATTTAATAAAGAAATATTTTACCTAGTATTATTTGTAATTAATTAGCTTAGATAATAAGAAAAATATATTTAAATGCTTATCAATTTTTGCAATCGTTTTGAACAGTTACAGTGAGTGCCTTAAACTGCAAGCAATTTTTGAAGAATACCAGAGCACAGATATAAAATTACCGTATGTCGTTTTTATCGCTAATATTTACAGTCTTGTTGGAACAAAAAATGAGAATACAAACGATACGTCTTAATGAATCTTAATTTGCAACGACTGAATATTTTTAACTATAATAAATATTACAGAAAAAACGAAGGTCTTGACCCTGAATCTAGTGCAGGAGAATGTGAAAGCCTTGTCAATAAATCACGGGTGATGAAGGTATGTCTTTAAATGATACAGAATGCTTTGATCTTTAAGTATTAAATGAATGTCAATATTGAGATCTTCACATTTAAGATTTATACTTTATAATTAACCAAGTTTTTTGACTAGGTCTACAACGACCCAATCCACGGCCATATTGAGGTGAACCCAGCATGCCAGGCCATCATAGACACGCCCATCTTCCAGCGTCTCAGGTTCATCAAACAGCTGGGCATGGTCTACTATGTCTATCCTGGGGCGGGACACAACAGATTCGAACATTCGCTGGGGTGAGTAACAGAAGAATTTACTGGAATATATTCAATTTTAAAAAAAAACGAAAGTTTAAACCATTGTCTACTATTTACAACCGATATATGATGAATGAACCACTAGTTGGTTAAAAGATTTTTATTGGATAATCTTTAGTTTGTGTAACAAGTCCTGGTTCTAGTATTTAAAATGTCACTCATTGTTACAGAGTCTACCACTTGGCTGGCCAGTTTGTTAGAAATTTGAGGCAAAACCAACCAGAGCTAGACATAACAGAAAATGACATTCTTTGTGTTGAGATTGCCGCTTTGTGTCATGATCTGGGTAGGTGATATTCTCCTGCACAAAACAATTGTGTTATTAATACTTAGGCTAGTTGTGCGTTAAAAAATTGCTGATTTCTTTTTAATTGCATAGCCTACTTTTTTAACGACTATACTTAGGATTTTAAATGATTTCCCTCAGATATTTTTGATCAAGATAATCCAGTCGGTTCAACAATTAGATTACACCTTTTAATGTCCTTTTAGTGTCTAAATAAATCATAAAAAAAACCTTACAATACTACTAACACACATGTATTTACAAAAATGTATTTATAGTTTAACATATCTACAAAACATGGAGATCTTTCATTTTTTAAAAATATGCTATAAAAATTGACAATGCTAAACAATGTTTGAAAATATTTAAAGACGGCAATTAAGATAAAAACTCAATTAAACATAAACTTAGTAAAATGTCTTAGCGTCTCACAAGAGCTTGGTAAGCGGTACTTGTGGATGCTCTTCACTAAAAACTTTTTCATTAAAGCAAAGTTAATTAACATGACTGTTCTTATTTTGGTGTTGTAGCTTCAACTAGATTTAGTAGTTCATATATTGCATTCAGTAGTTGTATTTACAAAAAAAAATCAAACTACAAACCATATTTTCAAAGCATAATTAGCTTCCTGCTGTATTACTATTTAGGATTTAATAAAGTTTACTTTTGAATTTCCGTAATCAAACTATTGAAAATAAAAGTTATGTTAATTTAATTAAATAAATTGAGAGGGAAATCTATGTTCATTTTTAATTAACCTTATCTAATAATAAATGGAAAAATATTCCTTGATTTAATATTGTCTATAAACATGGTCTTTGCTTATGGTTGACAAATCTTTCCCTTGATATACATTGTCTTATTGTGTACCATTTCATTAAAGTAAGTGTGCAAAATTAACTTTTTTTTAAATTTTAAATTTGTATAGGGCACGGACCATTTTCACACGTTTTCGACAATTTGTTTTTAACTGCCATTGCAGAAGAAAAGAAAAAAAAAGTATGTAGCATTGCAATAACAATCCAATATAGTAATAATACGTTTTAGATAATGAATGAATATATATATATATATATATATATATATATATATATATATATATATATATATATATATATATATGCATATACATGAAATATATATACTTTATATATATAGAGAGAGAGATTTATGTATATATAGAGAGATATATAATTATATACATTTGTGTATACATATATACACAAATATGAATATATGTATATATGTTTCTTATCTGTATGTGTATGGAAATGTAATTATTATTTATATTATTTAGGAAAAAGATATTCTTCAGAGGAAGCTAAATGAAGTGAATAAACAAATTGCAAAGTCAGAAGAAAAAGGAAACGTAAATATGCATTCAAAATATTTTTCAAACCCTTGATTGTAATATATTAACACACACACACACACATTTTTTCATACACATGTATTTGCGTATGCATATATAAATTGGTCTATATAAGTATAAAATCAATTGCATGTATAAACATACAGGTTTATATGTATTATTTACTATATACTTTTATTTTTACATAATAAAAATATTTCATATATTGATATATATATAAAGATGATATATATATATATATATATATATATATATATATATATATATATATATATATATATATATACATATATATATATATAATCTTTATATATATATCAATATATAAAATATTTATATAAATATATATATATATATATATATATATATATATATATATATTTATTTATATATATATATATACATTTATATTATATATTCATTTATTTATACAAAAAAGGATATATAGAGAATTGTTTTTGTATCTAAATATATACATTTACAAGTAAAATATACATTGTCACTTTTTTCCAGGAAAAGACAGTTCTACATGAAGAGTTGGAAGTTTTTAAAAAACGCATTCAAAAAATGGAAGCGGAAGAAATTGTAAATCTACTTATTATTTTTCTTTTGTTGTGGCACTTTCAAAACTAAAGCTCTTTTAAATTTAGTCACAAATATAAACTTTAGCTCAGATATTTTTGTATATATATATTTGTATTAATAATAAAAAAACCATGTTATTAAATTATAAACTTTAAAATTTTCTGATTTTACGTATTTTTTCCTTCATTGCTTTTATGAAGACGTTTCTGACCACTAAATACAGCAACAACCTATTTCTAATCATTCCAAATACTATACATATTTTGCCGTAAGATGCTTTGACCGAGATATTTTGTCTAAGATCAATTGTCCATGTAATTATTTGTCCTGATAAATTTTGCTATGATAACCTTTGCCCGTGAGATCATTTGTTCTTGAGATATTTTTTCTAGGGCATTTTGTCTGAGAACGTTTGTCTTGATAACATTCGCCATGGAATCTTATATATATATATATATATATATATATATATATATATATATATATATATATATATATATATATATTTATTTATTTATTTATTTATTTATTTATTTATTTATTTATTTATTTATTTATTTATTTATTTATTTATTTATTTATTTATTTATTTATTTATTTATTTATTTATTTATTTATTTATTTATTTATTTATTTATTTATTTATTTATTTAAGCATATTTTTTTGCAATAATTTTTTTTCTCAGGTAACTAAAGATTTACATGAAAAACTTGACAGTATGAAAACAGTCCTAAAAGCAGCTATACCGAATAGAAGTGTAAGAATGTGCAATTATGTAACAGCTTCAATTTTTTAAGTGTAGGCTTACTTATTAATATATACATTCATAGATCTACACGTAATTTGCTTATGGAAGTTCTTCGAAAACTGTTTTGTACTTACTACATAAGTTGTAGGGACTTCGGCAGGAAAAGCAAAATATTTTTAACCACGCATTTAAATTCATACAAATTTTTTTTATGTTGAAATTTAATTTTCCTTGCTAAATTATACTTTTAGAACATATATTCGTCAATAACACAGTTGTTAATTGAAAATTTAGCTACTCTATTTAAAAATCATATGGTTTAATATAAAAATAAATAAATTAATGTTATACGGCAATGCTTTATCGACATGCATCGACTACTGGATATCAAGACAATTTAAATATCAAATAAAATTTTATCTTGAAGTATAAATTGTTCAAGGGACAAACAAATGTTTGAAATATTTAGATTTTCAAATATATTTTTAAAAATAGTCTGCTTGCAATATACTTTGGTTTATCGACCAAATTATGCTCAGTCATAATTCCAGTCAGCTATATATATATATATATATATATATATATATATATATATATATATATATATATATATATATATATTAAATTACTTTTCCAATTTAATGTCTATATTTAAATATGGACGCATAACCCTAAACCTAACTGTAAACCTAACCCTAACTACAACCAATCACAAAAAAACTATAAAAAACACAAACGCAAAAGCAAAAACAAAAGCAAACGCAAACACAAAACGCAAACTAAAACACAATCACAAACGCAAACACAAAATCAAAAACAAATACAAACAGAAACACAAACAAAAACACAAACACAAATGCAAACACAAACACAAATTCAAACGCAAACACTAATGCAAACAAAAACAAATGCAAACACCAGCATTAAAACAAAGTTTTTAAAATGTGATTATATTTTGGTATTTTTAAAAATTCACACATGTGTTTGGTACAAAAGTACTTAAATTGTATCCTTTTATAAAACAAAATTAGATTTTTTTGTAAGGGTTAATATATTTATTTTAGTATTGTTCTTTTTACGCTATATCGATCAAAATGATAAGCAGAAAAATAAAAATATTTTTTGAAAATTATCAATTTTGAGTTTTTTAATAATAAATTTTGATTTTATTTTTAAAAAATCACTTTACGAATAATATACCATGGCGAACAAGTCAATTTTTTTACTATTTGCATTTGTGTCAGTCACGAGGCCGTTGGCCGCTACATACAGAACCACAGAGTCCATATATATATATATATATATATATATATATATATATATATATATATATATATATATATATATATAATACAACTAGGTGGAGCAGGATCAGTTATTAACAGAACAGAAGAAGTTAAATACACTACTTGAGACCTTAAAGGAAGTACATATCACAAAGGTAAAGCTGTATAGTATAAAGTTTGTAAAAATTCATAATTTAAGAAAAAAATGTAAAATGTATTTTAGTAAATTATTTTATTTTAAACGTTTGATTTCAAATCAATTCCAATTACATTATTTGCATTTGTGATATTTGTTACAAAGCGTATTTAAAAACGGCATTTTAGCATCATTTTTTCTCATTAAAGTCATTCTTAAGTTTTGTTACAATATGCTTTACATGTTGGAGATTTTTTAAATTTTTAAAATGTGCGCCTAAACTTATTGCAACCGCATTTTAAAAGTATTAAACATAAATACATTGTAAACTATTTTTTATATATCTGAAAACACATTTTCAGCATGACAAAAATGCCGTTGAACAATTTGATCATCTGTGTGAGTACGTAGCCTTTGAGAAATACGGACTTACTGAAGAGGACAAACTATTTATAAAGGAGATGATTGGTGGGCCTTTGGAGATAACTGGTACACAGGTTAAAGATTTTTTCAAGCTATATACAACATTACAATTAAAATCGTATTAAACGATATTTAAAACTGCTTAACAAGTATAGGGCTAATACATCTTACTTTGTCAGTTTTTTTTATGTATAAAACTAGCTAAGTCAAAAACAACATTTATAAACGTTAGATCTCGTCCGGCTTTTAACCTTTGCATACTACTTCTCTGTTTTTCTTCGTCATTTTTAAAATCGTTTTTAACATAAAGTTAATGTAACTTTTAGATACGTTTTTATTTTATTTGAGTATAACCAACTGATTTTCTAGGCATGGCCGTACGTAGGAAGACAAGAAAATAAGGCTTTCCTGTACGAGGTAAATAGATCAATGTTATGATAGCTTTTAGATCAATACTCTTGGCTGGAAAAATTAGCCTTACTGTAATAAAGTAGTCTACTTGTTAATTTTCAAACATTGTAGTTTTAGTTATTGTAGTATAATATGTTTTTAAAGCTTATTTAAAATAAATTTACATACATTTTGTTTTCCCGGCACCTTAACAACAGCGAGGGAGAAGTGAGATAGAAAAATACTTAGTTGCAAATTTTAAAGTTTTATTTTGAAATATTGCCTCACTTTATTTAAGATTGTCTGCAACAAACGCAACAGCAACGACGCCAACATCTGGGACTACTTAGCCCGAGACTGCCACCATCTTGGTTTTTACAACAACTTTGACTACAGCCGTTTTATGAAGTTTGCCAGGGTCCTTGATGAGGATGGGGAACTGCAGATCTGTATTAGAGATAAGGTAAGCTGCAATACGCTGATGACCAATACGAGAAATGAATGCTTATGATGATAATTTTAGTAAAATATAATTTAGCTAATTATAAACGTTTTGTTTTAATAATTTAACAATGTTTATTAGCCAATTATCATTGGTTCTAGTTGGCATTAAAATTTCTTATGTAATACTAAATAAGTAATAACACTTCAATATAAGCAATTACTGAATCTATACCTGGTCTAACTTTTTGTGTAGGAGATCGCCAACCTGTACAACATGTTCTACACCCGCTACACACTACACAAGTACGCCTATCAGCACAAGGTCAATCGTGGACTGGAAATTATGTAACTAAGTTTTGTCAAACAAAATAATAGACTAATTCATTGATAAATATTCATACAGGCTACATTTTAAAAGATATTTGTATTTCCAGAATGTTTACTTTTAGATGCGAAGTAAATTAAATTAATTGTTGGAATTAAAGGACAACACATTGTCCATTTTATGAATAGTACGGGATAGTTTCTTGTAAAAAGACCAGTTTCGAGATGTAAGTCTAAGCAGACATTATAACTGTCAAACTAAGGACAGTATTTCATTTTTTTTTTCAATATTGCGTTATAATCCATTATCACGTGTTATATTTCTTAGCTATTTTAAGCAATGTTAACCAACATTAAATTTCAAAACCGATAATTCCTTTGAATAAAACCAACCTCGAAAGTTTTTCTAAGTACATTACCTTTATTTAAAACAGGGTTACTGACGCCCTCAAGCTTGCCAATGATGTGGTTACATTTGACGGAAAAACGTAAGTCGTCTAGATTGATTTTTGTAAATATTGTTCAAAATAGTGCAGACATACTTTTAAATGTTGTTTTTATAAATTTTTATATATGAAAATTTAAATATTGTTTTGAAGCATTACAGTTTTTAGGGTAAAAGATAATTTCAAGTGGACAAACAAAATTAATCTTCGTAATTAATAAATATGACAGCGAAACACATTTTATGCTAACACATGATATTTTTTGTGTCGTAAATCAAAAGCAACGATAAATATAATTGTTTTGTGGTGTTTAAGGCGAAAGAAGTTACCCATTTCTGAATGCATCAATGACATGGTTGCTTTTACGCAACTGAACGACAATATTCTCTTCAAGATCCTCTACTTCAAGGGAGAAAGTAAAGAACAAACCGCTAATTTGAAAAAAGCTAAGAAACTTATTGAAAGGATTTTCAAACGCGATCTTTACACTTGTGTTTGGGAAAGCCTGCCCTTGTCTCCTAAAAGTTTTCAGGTAGATGAAACAAGTGTGGTTGATTATGTCAATTAAGCTTTCCAATCAATGCTGATGTAAACTACTATAGAAGCTTAAATTATATATATATATATATATATATATATATATATATATATATATATATATATATATATATATATATTCTAAATCTTTTAACAGTAAGTAAAATACTTAATATTCAAGATTTCTCGGTTATTTAAACATATTGTGAGTGAAATTTTTGAATACTGTTGTAAAAATCTTCACAGCAATATATACGAATCTTTTTAGAGCAAGACTGAACCCATTGAATCTTTGGAAAAGTGGTTGAAGCCTTTAGTTGATAAAAACGAAATTAGCGCAGATGGTTTTATGATTAAGGTAAACGACTTAAGGATATGTTTAAACAGTTGCAAATATAATATGCTTATTAAAACAAATGTCGCAATGTAAAAAAAAATAATATTCACTGTAGTTATATTATTTTGTTTGTTGTTGATTGTATCATGCGGTGTTTCTAATATGGTGCATCAAGATTTAAATTGCTTTGATATTAATTTTTAAAAATTTGAAACTAGGTGAGATGTTAGCCAAAAACTCGTTTTTTTTTTCTAGTGGTTAACATTAAAATATCTGTCTTAAAAAATCTGTTAATTTTTCCCATTTGATGTCTTACTGTCCATAACTACAACAGGAGAATTCTTCTGCCCTCTTGAATTGTCGTTAAAATAAGGGGTCTTAATTTTTAACGCAGCCTTTTGATCTGAAAGTACAAGACTGTGCTTTATGTGGCGTTGGGTTTGCTATAATACGGGGGATGTCTGAAATTTCCTACCATAAGAAACAATTAAATCAGAAACCATTGTATACGAATGTATTTGAAGTAATTCTTAATTTGTTTTAAATATCCCTTAAAGCTTACAAATTTTGATTTTGGAATGAAAGAAGAAAATCCTGTTGAGAGACTTAAGGTTTACTCCAAAAAATCGCCAAACAAGGCGAGATTTTTTACTAAAGCTGAGGTAGGTATCAACATTCTGAGATAGTTTCTGCAATAACATTTTACTGATATAGTATGTTTCTGAAGAACAACTGTACACACATACACACACAAGCATACACACACACACACACACATATATATATATATATATATATATATATATATATATATATATATATAAGAATGTCTATACACAGGAATATCCATTTATTATGTACTTAGAATTAATATTTGAATCCATATATATCACATATTAGAGCAGTATAATCATGGGACCAGCTAAATTCAATGAAATAATCTTGCGAGTTTACCTGGTGAATCATGACGAACAAAAGAGCAAGAAGCTGCAGGATCAATGCATTCTGTGGTATGACGACTGGACCACAAAGCAATTAGTAAGTTGCAAATACTTGCATTCTGGATACAATAGGTTCTGTCATATACACATATATTATATTATATTACAAGTTGAGAGATTGCTTGAGAATATAGATAAACGCACAGCAACGCTCTAAGATAGTCATTAAAATATTGCGATACTTCACTCTAAACGATAATGATTTTGGCAACTGATCTATGCACTTATCACTCAGGGCAAGATATATTTTCAACTTTCTTTTAACGCTAGCTTTGAATAATTAGTCGCACACTCCTCCTATCGTTACAGCGTTACATTTTTGTATATAATAAAATAAATCGCTGGTATCGCATCATTAAAACAATTTTAAAAAATAATTTTAAAATAAACATCGTAAAGCCATATAGGCTTCTAAAATGTGATAGAAAATTAAGTAATGATTTTGTTACATCGTTGTTACTTTCTCGTATACGAAGTTAAAAGGAAGTATTGTAATCGGACGAATATTCGAAATCAGATTTTCAAAAATCTCGAAGTTTTACACCTGCCTGAATCGGAAAAACATAGTTTCGCAATTTGAAATATTGTCTGTGTGTGTGTTTGTGCGTGTGTGTGTGTGTATGTGTGTGTTTCTGTGAGTGTATCTGTGAACAGGATAACTTGAGTACTGTTTTAGATGGATATACGAAACTTCGTAATATAAGTGAAAGATTAATTTCTACCTACAGTCAAATGTTGAATGAATTCCGTATACCGGAAGTAGTACTTTACGCTATTTCCAATTTTTCAAAAAATGCATATGATTTTATAAAGTACTAATAATCCGCACCATTATACACACATTGTTCGCTGTTCACTTGATGCGCGACGCTTTTTTCTACGAGATTCTATTCTATTTTTAAAAGTTTAAATAATTAAAATTTGATTAAAATCATGCCTAAATCCTGAGTTGCCATCTCACGTAGTTTTATATAAGTATGTTCGAGAAAGTTTAGGCCAGATCATCCCCGCTTTATTGATTGCTTAATTTGTTGGTGCTTTAGTTGTGTTAAAGTTTTGTTAATTTTCTAGTGTTAACTATAATTGATCTATGCCACGTCATATCCCAAAATTATAACACATTATAAGGAAATTAATTAACCAATCTTTCTCTCCTTCACGTTGTATAATACGTGCATGATCTGTTGCTACATAGCGCCTTCCTTTAAAATAAGTTTTTAAATTCGATTGAAAATTTTCATGAGTAGGAATTAGAAAACTTCCAATGATTACAACCATTTTAATCGGTATCTTTTTTCCAACAGGCGAGCCTTCAGGATGAGAAGATTAGCGATTTCCGAAGTACCCTGGAAAGTGTGTTGAAAGGGAACCAGGAAACGTTAAAACAGCTGGCCGCTGCTTTTTATAAGAACAATTAGGCTAATGAAACCGTTAAATTAAATTTGTCATGGAAATTTTGAATAGCTTCTACCTTGAACACAGAAATATAAACTCAATGTTGCCATTATTTTATTATTAAACGTGTATTTTGCTATAAAGTTTTAAAGTTGAAATTTGCTCAGCCCGTGCATGCAATGTCATTATGTTAGCCGTAACTAGTAAAAGCAAATCTTTCTAGCCAAACAAAATATTTACTCTACATTAGCACTACTGTAACACTGATTTATCATGGCTACTGTCTTGTTTATGTCAAAAGTCTTAATTTATGTATTATACTGCAATTGTTTGTTACCTCTCACTGATTTTGAACTATATTATCAATGTTAAACAAAATTCGAATCCTCTAATATTCTAAAGTCGTACAATGCCAAGATTTTCGGTTTGTGCTTTTGATGTTTTACTTATTTCTTGATCATTCAAACTTGTGAATATTTCTGTTGCTAGTAGTGTTTATATAAAGACTTGTGAAGTGGTTTGATAACTCTTCGTGTTTTGTTTTGTTTTAAGTTCTTTTGTAAAATTTAGTACAAATACATTTAAAACAAGACTAAAAAACAACAATTATTTCACAATCTCTTAACAGACTCTCGCCTCATTTTAAATTTATCTGTTCTATTATCATTCCACGAATGTTTTTTTTTGTTCCATATTTTACTACTGTATCTTTAATATTGTATTAAAATGTCTTTGATATTTTTTTTCTTTAATAACGACTTTGTGTAAAAAGGCCTTCGTTGTAACCGATTCAAAATAAAGTTGTTTATTATTATTATTAATATTAATTTTTTGAAATATTTGACATGTGTATTTAATAACAGCATCAAAATAACTTTGTAATTAAATGGCCCAAGTGATTTAAAATGATATCAAATAATTACTTTGTCACGCGAGAGCATTTAAAACAAGTTCGGAAATAACGATTTTACATAGGCCTACACGTTTTACATTAAGACCAATGTTGTAATATCTAGCCCTGAATATATATATATATATATATATATATATATATATATATATATATATATATATATATATATATAGTTTGAACAAATGTAGTTTACAGTAGCCACGCTCAAATTCTAAAATATGTTTCGATTGTATTTGCCTCAGTGATTTAACAACTTCGTGATCAATGATTGTACTGGCAATTGTGAACATTTGCAAGCAAGAGGATGAGAAAGTATTCTTGGTTATGATAATTGTGTTAATTTTTTTTTTAAAGAATGGATTAGATTAAAATAAAATAATTAAAAAGCAATACACAATTGGACTATAAATGTGTTGTTGTTTTTTACGATGGGATCTGGATACAAGCAAACACCAACAAACATGGACAATATGTTGACACGGAAAATTGCAGAAATTGACAAAACTTGGACACGGACGAAAGTGTGACATTGACAAAAGATCAACTTACGAAAAGGTCTGCTATAAATAAGGTCGAAAGAGGCTGGTGTTCAAAAAGCCCATCAGGCATAAAGCTACCCGACAAAATTCTGCAATTGAGACAATCAGAAAGATTACTTGATCGCGTTTTAGGAAAATGTTAATAATTGTCAATTCTTTATATTGACATTCCCAACGTGTTTCCCAATGTCCTGGCATTATTTTGTTAAACTACTATAACTAGAAATCAACATTACATCAATATTATACAGAAACGAAAAGTTTCATTCAACGATATTTTGTGTAATCAAATTAAAGATACGTATTATCATATTGGAAAATGTTTAAACAAATTGTACAGCGTTGACTTAGGTGCAGGCGAGCGCTGACGTCGGTTGTCTCAACTTGTCGTCATCTGATGGCCTATCCATCCTACCCCAAACAGTAGTCACCCATATCTTCTTTGCTTGCTATGCGGTCTAACGGTCTTATGTTTAGTCGGCAAATTTATTTTTTAAAATGACAACTGGCAGTGGATTCTTTACAGCATATACATAAATATAATATAAGCTATACAATTTTTGAAAAATATTTTTTTTAAAAATCTATGTATAACATTTTTAACGTGATAACATTTTTAAAGTGTCTTACCGATACTTTTTAAAAACATAGGGATTCGACAATAAATGCTATCTCTCTCTTTATATATATATATATATATATATATATATATATATATATATATATATATATATATATATATATATATATATATATATATCAGATACAGACACGATCAGCGAAGCTTTATTTTTAGCCGACTGGAACATTCCCAAGCAGCTTATGCTGTGTTGTGTAACCTTCTAGTGCCGCTTCGTGTCACTCGTGAACTGATCGATTGCCAAACAAATAGCTAGACAACTATATGGCAGTGTGTGCAAGAGATTACGTTGTTTTCTGAGGTAAAGAAAGAAATGTGTTGCAATGATTGAGTTTATGCATACATTAAGTTAATTATATTAATTTTAAATTATTAGGCATCACACGTATCTATACACGGGTGAGAAAAATATTTTATTCTTTAAAAAAAACGTTGATATGTATAAAAAAGTACATATATATACATACATAATGTGTATTTACGTTTGTACTTATATATATATATATATATATATATATATATATATATATATATATATATATATATATATATATATATATATATATATATATATATATATATATATACTTACATACATATCTATATGTATGAAAAGCATATATCTATAAAATATATGTATATATATATATGTTTATATATATATAATTATTAATACTCTATTCTTCACGGTGTATCTGTACATACAATTACTTTTGCCTCTTCTGGTCAGTTTTCTGAGCATCTTGTTAAGTTGACGTGTTGAGGTGTTTAACCATGTTGTGGCGACTTTTAACATTGAACATGGGCGCTTTAGTTTTATTACCAAGTGAATGGAGTTTTTTTATTTAAGTATTTCTATTGAATAGTTTTTTAGTTGCTTATATTTTATTAATTTTTTTTTCTGTGAAGGTCGTAATCACAACGGTTGATTTAATTCCAGATGGCTGAGAATACAGTATTTCACACTTTACGTGACAAAGGGAGACTTGATTTCTCAGAGGCGAAAAATGAAAAAGGTATTTAAAAAAATAGAGAAAATAAATGTGATATTTGATTGCAAACATGCTTTATACATTATTTTTCTGCTATATCGTTTTTTAAACTAATTATTAGCATTATGACCACAGAATCAAAGTTTATATTTTCAACAATACTTGAGATTGATTAACCAAGTACTTTCACGTTAAACCTGTTTACTTAATTTTTATGTTGTAAAATATTTACAATTGTCTGGAAATAATCAGTCTTAGGGCTATTCTTTGAGCTATTACTGTCATGATTCTATTTAACTTCATTAGACAATATTGTAAGAAAACAACAAATTTTGCTTTATTTACCTTTCATTAGTCATCATTATTTTAATATATGTAGTTTTGTTGAAAATAAACTATATTTGTCTTCTTGATTATATATATATATATATATATATATATATATATATATATATATATATATATATATATATATATATATATATGTATGTATATATGTATATATATATATATATATATATATATATATATATATATATATATATATATATATATATATATATATATATATGGACAGAAAACGAAGAAACGCATTTACCATCTCCGTCAACATCTCGAAAAGTGTGAGTCTATTTAAATTTGTAATTTGCTTCTAACGGGAAATTAATTAATAACACATACGTTTATACACATAATTGCACCAACATATTTTAAAAACTATTATACAATAAACGATACCTGTTGAGATATTTTTAGCTCCCATTTAAACCACTGTGTATATATTTAGTTAAAATGGCACAATGTTTGTAAACTATTCATGACCTAACTAATGTTTTATTTATTAGAAAGACATTAGGAGAATCACTTAACAAAGGCAAAGGAAAGGAAGAAATAGTTTCATTTAAAGATATAGATTTAAAGGTAATTCTTAGTAACGTAAAATCACCATTCTTTAATTAAAAAATAAAATAAAATAAAATAGCGAAATATGAGAGTATTATGTATAGTAAATCTAAGAAGTCATGTTTATATCTCGGTCTTTATAAACCATACATTTGTGATTTTGATATTGGCGATTTTAGGATTGAGATGGCACTTGGCCTAAGAACTCGATTTTTGTTCATGTTTAACTTCCCTAGGCGTCCTTCGTTGCATTTTGGGCTACTACCTATTTATTCTTTCCTTGTTGATTTCAACAAATAGTCATGTTTTGATGGATCTGCCCTACGTATCTCAACAAGTAGTCAGACTTTAATGGTCTGCCCTATCTATCCAACTCTCTTTAGAATTTTTCCTTTGCCAAGTGTGGTTGATTGATAGCCTTCAATGTGTGATATCCATTTTGATATCATGGTTGTTGTTATTTTTATCTTATTAACATTATTATTATTAATAATATAATAAGTTCTGAGGCTTTATTCACTTGATGTATGTACATATTTTGCCATTAGTGTGTTCCATATCTAGTCAATTTCCAGTAAAACATCAATGGTGTGAGCAAACATCCTTGTCTCACACCTGTTTGTTGTACTTCAAAATTTGATATTGTTTCCATCGATATTTTGAGTTACGATATAGCTGTTGGATCAGAGAAATAACAATATCGGATACTCCTTAGTATTTCATTAGATTCCATTTGACTGCGCTGTCTGTTTTCCAAATATGATTTTTTTTTAAAAACGTATATCGGTATGTCTGTTATTTTATATGGTGGTGGTCTATTTAGGTTGTATTCGAAATACTACAAATTCTTTGGTTTAATTATAATTTTTAAGTTTAAATTAAAATTAAACGAAAATGAATATTTACGAAGTTGTTATAATTTGAGCCGCGTGTGTAATGTTAAGTGATGTCTTTAAGGTGTACAACGACCCAGTCCATGGCCACATTCAGACCAACAAAGTCTGTCAGCTGATAGTGGACACGCCCCAGTTCCAGAGGCTGCGGTTTTTGAGACAACTGGGCATGGGCTACTTCGTCTTTCCTGGGGCTGCACATAACCGATTTGAGCACTCATTGGGGTATGTTGCACTTAAAATTAAATAATATTCGTTCTTATACAATTGTTTACAGAAAAACTTATACTCTATGCTATATATTTCATTCATTTTTTATACTGTGTAATATTGAACCTAGATGATTAATATGTTTGAATATGTTGCTATTCTTGAGTAAAGTGAGGTTTACAAATAATTAAAACATATTAGCAAATAAAATATTTCACTTCCATCTTGCATTACTTAAACGGCTAGTATTATGTTTGTTTTGATCTACCTAGTACCTGCTACCTGGCCGGTATATTTGTGCGGACACTCCGATCAAATCAGCCCTTCCTTGGGATTACAGAGAGAGATATCCTATGTGTTGAGATAGCTGCTCTCTGTCATGATCTGGGTAAGAAGTTTTTCTATCGCAATCTCTATGTCAATATGAGTGAACGGCTTATCTATTATATTTATATTAGACAATTGTGAAATCATTTTCTTCTAGATTCAACTAAGTATGTATAGTCATGTAACTTCGACTACTTGTGGTTTTGTGAACGTATGTATATAGTATCTCGTAGGGAACATTACCAACTAAAAACCCTTCCCCCCCCCCCCAGATCACCCACCTGTCGACCTTTCTCTAGGTCGATTAGCAGGGGTAATGACCTCGATTCATAGTATCGAACATAACATTTAACCAATAACAAATACGGTATAGGCCGACTACAGCATAATATGTATATTTTATTTTACATAAGTTGCCTTCTGTTTAATTAATATCTAAATTATTTTTAGGTCATGGAATTCTATCCCATTTTTATGATCAACACTTTATGCGTAAATACAAAGAGGAATGTATCGAGGTAAAAATATATTAGGTTTAATTAATTAAGATAAAAAATACAACATACGCCAACGTATTGCTTGCTGCTATTAATTCACAACAATCTGTTTTGATTTAACTTTAAGGTTACACCACAGGATTTTAAAGAAATTTTCTTTACCTTTTTGGTGTTTAATTGTGATGTTGGACGTAGTTCTCTCCAACACTATCATATAGACTATAACGTGTCAACCTTTCATGCACCATATCGGCCATTGACTCAGATTTGAGCCTACTTTTTCTTTTGATTTTCTTTCATAGCTTTTGTCCTACCAAGAACTTCAACAAGGTATCCGTTGCTTTCTTTTAGAGTTTTCTCTTATAGATGGGTTACTGTCCCAGCTATCGAACCTATGCTGCCCGCTGGTTCGAACGTGGGACGTATAGGTTTAGCAACGATGTGCTTTACAGACCCGACAACGCCTATCCCAACGCCATTATTACATGGCCCAAATGGTCGATAATAAATACAATTGTGGTGTAAAGATTATAAACAAACTGACATATTTAAGTTGTGAATAGCGTGATTCTAATAATAAATAATGTTGCCATTTCACAACGAAACCTCTAGACTCGCGAGGAGCGCTCTGTCATGATGTTTGAGTACCTTTTGAGCAGCAACAACCTGTATAGGGAGGACGGTAGCGGGATTTTATCAACCACCTACAAATTTCGCGACAAAGACATCGAATTTATAAAGGAACAGATCTTGGGAAAGAAAAAGTACAATGATAACGGGGTGAACATAACTTCTATCTATACAATAAATTGAAATGTGTGACAAATGTTTTTAGTCATAATATGTATGCTTTTATTATAAGTCGTAGAAAAATATACCATTTAAAATACTTTGTTTGATCGTTGAGTTAGTAACTTTATCTAAAAATACGATATCGTTTTCTGCTCAGAAATGGGCTTTAACAGGACGCGGAAAGGAAAAAGAATATTTGTATGAGGTATGCGTATTGATCAATAGCTTGAATTGTTTAATTTTTGTTTCCATTAGGAATATTTGTCTATTTAAATACGACTCTGTCTACTTTATGGTGAAACAGTGGTTTATCATTACTGATACAGATAGTCTCAAACAAACGTAACGGCATTGACGTGGATAAATTCGACTGTATCGCCAGAGACTGCCACCATCTGGGTATTAAAAACAACTTCGACTATTTCCGTTACATGAAGTTTGCCAGAGTTATAGAAGTTGATGGCCAGATGCAAATCTGTTCGCGAGAAAAAGTAAGTTATCAATTTATTTTCCAATTTTGAAATTAATTTAAAGATGCTTTAGTAATGTCAATGGAAAATGTTTGTACAAAAATGTGAAAATTGTACAAACCATTTTTTAACTTACTGATCTCCTATTGACGTACTTTACTTTAACAGTGTTTTATATTAGACTTAAGGTATTCAGCATTGTTAAATCAATTTATTTTGGAAAAAACGTTTACAATTACGTTTACATTGCATTTGGCTTCATATAATCACAAAATCATTTTTAAAATTCTGTATTTCACCTGAAATATTGCTTTAAATTATTTTTGACGTGTAAAATTATGACAGCCATGATTAAAAATGTACACAAATCTTCCAGGAGCTGAACAACCTGTACAACATGTTCTATACACGGTACACACTTTACAAGCTGGCCTACCAGCACAAGGTCAAAATTGCTATTGAGGCAATGTGAGTCAAACTGTCTCTTCATTTTGGCACACATCAGGGCTAGCTGTGCTACATTCTATCTAACTAGATTCTTTTCGGTAGCATTTCTCTGCTTCACTTGTAATCGACAAAACCCCGGAAAATAAATAGCACTTGAAATAAACTCGGATATTCTTAACATATCTGTATTCATTCAAAGTTTCGCAAGAATATGGCCCCCAAAACATAAATTTAAAATATGTCTAAATTAAAAAAAAATTGAATAAACAACACACCCAAAATTAAGAATTATTGTCTTTTCGAATTTAAGGAAGTCTACAAAAGAAATTTAGAAGCTGTGCGTGTAGCTTGTTTTTATGCCTTTCTTCTTATTCAAAGTCTGTTGAACTGATCGTATTTTTTCAGGGTGAACAAAGCTCTTGAAATAGCAGACCCACACATGGAACTGGAGGGATTCAGAAAAAAGTAGGTCCAGCATGCCAAGTAAGCAATACAACAGACAGACAGACAGACAGACAGACAGACAGACAGACAGACAGACAGACAGACAGACAGACAGACAGACAGACAGACAGACAGACAGACAGACAGACAGACAGACAGACAGACAGACAGACAGACAGACAGACAGACAGACAGACAGACAGACAGACAGACAGACAGACAGACAGACAGACAGACAGACAGACAGACAGACAGACAGACAGACAGACAGACAGACAGACAGACAGACAGACAGACAGACAGACAGACAGACAGACAGACAGACAGACAGACAGACAGACAGACAGACAGACAGACAGACAGACAGACAGACAGACAGACAGACAGACAGACAGACAGACAGACAGACAGACAGACAGACAGACAGACAGACAGACAGACAGACAGACAGACAGACAGACAGACAGACAGACAGACAGACAGACAGACAGACAGACAGACAGACAGACAGACAGACAGACAGACAGACAGACGGACAGACGGACGGACGGACGGACGGACGGACGGACGGACGGACGGACGGACGGACGGACGAACAGACAGACAGACAGACGGACGGACAGACAGACAGACAGACAGACAGACGACCAGCCCAGACCAGAATGAGACATATACAGAACCACAGACAGACAGACTGAAAGACACGCACACAAACACACACACACACACACACACACACATATATATATATATATATATATATATATATATATATATATATATATATATATATATATATATATATGTGTGTGTGTGTGTGTTTATATACCAAAAATGAAATGCAACATACTATCCATCTTAGAACATACCAATTGTCTGAGTGCCATAAAGACCCTGCAGCCTTAATGCGCCTGACGGACAATATTCTGTTCGAGATCTTATACAGCAATGATGCAAAACTTGCAGAATCGAAGAAGATGATTGAGAGAATATTCAGTCGGAAACTCTATCAAACGGCTTTTGAAAGCAAGATAATACTACCAGACGACTTAGAACAGGTATTGTAGTTTAATAGATGGAATAAATGACCACTACATTGGAAAAAAATATCGCATACAAAAGTTTATAATAACAAGTTTTTATGTAATAATGCACTAAAAAGTACAAAATATTTTTTTTAATTTATAATAATGCTCTACTATTAAAATAACTATAAAGAAAAGCGTGGGTCACTTTATAATTATATGGATACCTTTACTAATAATTATTTAGTAGTGCGGAGTAGTAACACTACGTCAGTGAGGGTAATGATCATTCACTGTGGCGTAGTGTGTTTACGGGCTGACCCTGAGAGGCATCAACACAACGCCGTTGCTGTTTGTGGATCATTATTTATTGCATACACACAATTACACAGAATAATACAATTGCAAGTACATAGATTGATAGATCTATAGCCCTAATGTAATAAAAACTAAAAATATATCACACTTTGAATACACAACCACGTGAAGGCTATATCAAACACACTGGTGCCGAGACTTACCAAACTAGCATTTTAATTAATTCATTAAAAAATAATTTGTCATCAAATTAAGTAAAGTTTAATGTCATGTTGCATTGTTATTGGGTCTTGACCCAAATGCTGAATTTCAGAGAAATTGATTGGTTTCGATCTAGACTGACAGGATTAAGACCGAGGAAATAAGTTAAATAAAAGCTTGCAAAACCTAGTTGAAACATTGATGAAGTTAAATCACTATAAAAATCAGTAGTGTATAAAATTTACAAAAAAAGGTTTCACCGAGCTTAATATTTGAACTTATTATATGTTTTGCTATGAAAAGTTTATAGACTTCAACGCTTTTAAAATACGTGGAATTTTTAATTGGAATTTAGACTCACGCGCTAAGATGGTTTAAAATTTGTCCAAAAGGCAACTTCGCAGTATGAGCGAGAAACAGTCTAGGTGGACTCTATAGAAATTTCAAATGGAAGATAATCTTTTCCAAGAATATCTTACATAAAGTTAAACAAAAAATTCTACCGTAATAAGTTTAGCACCTAAATTAAGATTTATTTTTATTTTACATTCTTTGAACATTTAAATCAAAATAAACATTGTAGTGTCCTCGTAGTATTTTAATTCTTATTAAAATATTTTCCCCGCCCTGTTCTAATGTTGTTGTTTTTTTTTAAATCTTAAATTTGTAAAAAAAAATCGATTTTATTTTTATTGTAAGTATGGCGGAGAAAATGAAGACGATATTAAAAACAGTATTATTAAAGAAGTATCAAATAAGCTCAAAGATAAGGACTTCATTGTGGACGTAAGTTCCTGAACATATTATTACTTGATTATTTCGGTGGGTTTTTTTTTAACAATTCAATAGTATTTATCTTAAAATTTCGAACCAGTTTGAACTTTAAAAAGTTTTAAACAGAAATTAGCAACTTGATTTTAAGTCTCATGTTAATTATCCATGTTTTTAATACACATGATGTACATTTTCAGATCGTTCGTCGAGACTTTGAGTTGAGTGAAAACTACTCACTTGATAGACTAAATGTGTATAGAAAGGGTAACGTCTATCAAGCTTCACAACTCAAGCCGAATGAGGCAAGTATAACGTTTTGTTTCACTTATTTAACTATGACCAACCAGTATAATCAGGGTAATATCTATAATTTTCATCTGTATTTTGTTTCGGATAGCCGAAATTCAATGCTCCGATGAAGTGCCTTATGCTTTACTGTTAAATTATACAGTCAATGCTATAAATAGTTCTAGGTAATGTCGAACGTATACGTATAATACAATGTATTAAGTAAATAAAATTCGCTTTCACTTTTTTAATAGGATTTAGTAGTCTACAAGAAAAACATAATGCATGCTACGTCTCTTTTTAAGCACCCATCCACCCTCACTACCTTCATCAAAAACATCATATTTCCATCTGCCTCCTAGGTGCGTGACTAATTTACGGAAGACACCTTGCATATATTTTTTGTTTGTCACAGATGAGCAAGATTCTGGCCCCTCTCTATGAGAGAGAAGTTGAAGTTACATATATTTTTTGTTTGTTTGTCACAGATGAGCAAGATTCTGGCCCCTCGCAATGAGAGAGAAGTTGAAGTTCGCGTGTACTGTACCAGCACGGATGAAGCCAAAGTAAATGTTATCAAAGATGCATGTCAACAAGTGTTACATGTAAGTTACATTCGACAACATAACTTTTTAAAATTGGTAGGTGAACACATTTTGCATTTGTATAAGATTTTATGTTTAAATTAAACTTAAAATGTTTACTTTGTTAATTATTTTTAAACAATACCGAATTTAAAATAACAAAATTAATAACGTTGATTCAAGATTTTAAATTTTCTCTCTTTTTTTTTAGCGAAACAGACTTGTTGCTAACCAATAAAATACAGTAGAAACAAAGACTTTGAGAGCTGTGTGTTCTCGTATATTCAGTTAAAAACAAATATCAATAAACATTTCTACTATAATAAAATTATGAAGTTGACAAATACTACACGCTGTCATTTTAAAGTACTACACACTGTCATTTTACAAGGCAAGCATGACCGGCCCGCCACACAGATAAGCTTTATTTTATGGATTTATAAGGCTATTTGTGTCGTAGTTGATATTGATTTGTTTTATGGTTCGATATTTTTTTTTTAAAAACTGTAATCGATTTTCACGCTCAAAACTATTTAAACTCATATTTGCAGCAGCTTAGACAACTATATTTATGAATTTATTTTATGTCTTACTGTAATTTGTACGCTTTACCTTAGATAGAAAAAATATGTTAATGAAACAGTTCTGAGGTATGGGCTTTCCATGTATTTACACTTTGGGTGTTGGTTTAATAATACTTCCTGGTGTGAATATATAACCTTTTTGTTATTTTTTCACTTTCTATTTTATTGACGCATGATTTAAAGTAAAGTATTTGTATGAAAACAATGTTTTGATTATATGTTTCGTTTATTACAATTATTTGTGTATTGAATTATGTTAATTTAAAATTTTAAAGATATTTATGTGTGTAGCTCGACATCACCTTTCCCATGACATTAAATGTCCTCATAGAATGATACATTAAAGATTCTTTTAGCACACGTGTGTTTAATGTGTGTACTGTCAGTAACACAAAATAGAAAGACACGTCTATTCACACGGTTGGCGCGCGATCATATTACAAGTTCAGTCTAGTCACTGTCAGGTCTAAACTAGCCAAGCTATTCAAGTATTTTCAGGTAAATCGTTAGCATATCGATCTTACACTTGTGCACCTTGATATTCCCAGTACACGTTTTAACAGGTAAAACTCGCTGGAATGTGTGTCATGGGTTTTCTACACGGTGCCAAAAAATACAACGGTTCTATATAAACTTTGACGATCGTTACATGAAAGAACTTAAACTAGAAATTATTCTAAATAATAGCAAAACGATTACTATTATAAAATCGTAACAAAATTCATAGGAGTGACCGTTTTTAAATAGACGGAATAATAGAGATATGAAAAGTCCATTACGAGTCTGCAAGTGTAATTTAAGTAACGGATAAACATAAATTAGTAATCATTATACTGCTGTGTTTACATTTGTATTGCAAGAACAGCAAATCGTCAGATTTTTCTATTGATTCTTTAAAATGACGATTACATAATGTGTTACTAAAAAATAAATCAGCTTTTAAATATTTCAAAAAAATGTTTCTAAATGCTAATACAACGCCGCATGTCGCTGCTATACATTCATATACGTGCTGGCCAAGGCCGATACAATTTCCAGGAAAACGAAAAGGTTTGGTCGGTGTGTCACGTAGACGCCAGAACATGAATGCACTAAAGGGAGACCAAGGTACGACACGGTCGATTGATATGAACGAACTGGTTTCAAGACGTAGGTTGTCATTGGGTGTTGACAGCATGCCCCAACTCGAAGTTCAGTTTGTCGCGGGTTGTCATTGGGTGGAGACAGCATGCCCCAACTCGAAGTTCAGTTTGTCGCGGGTTGTCATTGGGTGGAGACAGCATGCCCCAACTCGAAGTTCAGTTTGTCGCGGGTTGTCATTGGGTGGAGACAGCATGCCCCAACTCGAAGTTCAGTTTGTCGCGGGTTGTCATTGGGTGGAGACAGCATGCCCCAACTCGAAGTTCAGTTTGTCGCGGCAGATAAAACACGGTGTTTAGTGCGTTTATTTTTTTAATGTTAAGGTTTATTTATAGAATTTCTCTCTGGAAATTTGTAACACTATAAAGAACTGAAAAAAAAAATCATTTTTAAAAATTAGTTTATATATGCATTCAAAGTACAAAAATAAAAACAAACAACGCTTTTCTTCATCTTTTCTCGTATGCGCCCAAGACACAAGGGGAAGATGAAGTAGAATTCATATGTTTAAACGACCTCGGTATAGTATGTAATAGGATAGTATGATCAGCACTATGCCCATCCACTCTTGCTTATCTAACGTGAATTTGGTACCCATCAGAGCTGGGTGGGCTCAGGGACGTTCTATTGATATAAACCAAAGCAGTTGCATTAGAAGTGATTAGAATTTATTAGTTACACAACGTGACTCTAAAAATCAGCCATCTACACACATACAGAAAATGCAACTAAGTAAAAGCAAATAAAGCATAACACATAACGGTGCTGCAAACCGCTTATAAAGTATTTTTTTTTAAACTGTCGATGTATTTCAACGTACATTGTTTGCCAACTGTAGCTCAACTAAACATACAATAAATAACACAAACGCTAAAAGTAAATAGCATCGAGTTTTAAAACTGTTTAGTTTCAACGTGAACAACCGCAAAAGGTTGGAATTGCAATATATCTGTGCATAACTAGAAGGCTACAAAATATTGAACTTACTAACGTAACATAAATAAGTTTGAAATTATGTTAAGACAAATAAATATTACAGTTCTACTAATAACCATAACTCATTTTTACGCAATACATTTATTCGGTTGTTTCCCTCTGACCGTAAATAGGTAGGGACAGAACGTAATATCTGGATTTATAAAAACATCCGTGCAGAATATGTATTTAAATTAAGTGAAATATATTGAAAGAATAGTCATACCATTATCTTATCTCACACAGGTGTCCTAAGCTCTTCGAGTGAGTAGGCCTTTAATACATTACCCTGTGATTGCACTATTTAATGGATATACTAAACAGCCTTAAGTAGGTATTATGCTCGTGAGTAAAAATAAGTCGGAAATAACCTAACGCATATTTTATGTATGTCATTCATGTTAGTTACAAAATAGTTTGTTTACTTCTGATTGATTAGTGTTGACAATGATGATTCATAAAAGTATGTCATAACGTTTTTCACCTTACCACAGTAATATGTAATGAAGGTAAGGAGATAGCTTAAATATATATATATATATATATATGCAATAATTTAAACTTAAATAAATAAATGCAATAATTTAAACTTAAATTAATATATGCAATAATTTAAATTTATTATCGATACAGTTCAAGCACACAAAAAAACAAAAAAAACAATGGTATGCACTAAAGTTACAAAATTATGTTATTTTTATATCTTTTGCGTTTTTGAAGCTGCATCTTTATATTTCTGAAATTTACAATATGTTAAAAGTGTATAATTTAAACAGTAAAATAATTTAAGGGTAGTGCATATATCTTATGAAAGAAAGATATAGGCATAGAAAAGTCGTTCATCAGCGTCAATAAACATAAAAAAGCTTAACCACATTTTTTTCATGTGAAATCAAATTAATTTGGTTTTTCCTTAGAAAAAAAAATGGAGTTCTAATAAAGATTTAGAAAAAAACTAGAGATATAAAAATGATCTATACAATGAAAAAGTAATTTTAATAGATTGTTATTTCTAAATTATTTTCGAGCTTTAACGTTTTCCCTTTAAATTGACTAAAAAAAACATTGGGTTACATGTTAAGACTTGAAATGAAACAGCTCTCTCTTACTTTAGTAAAAGCTGTTGTAAAAATTATAATAATAAAAGACTAGTATGCCTTTATTATCTGCTTGACAGAACGTTTGATAATTGCAGTAACTTTATCGTTCTTTTTTCTTTCCGTAAAAACTCTAACAATCACTTCATCGTAGGAAGTTGGTTCAAATATCTTGGTTGTCTAGTTATATATATATATATATATATATATATATATATATATATATATATATATATATATATATATATATATATATAAGAGAGATAATTTTAACTCATTTGATTTTTAGATAGTAAGAGACACAAGAAAGAAATTACCTCATCTTTAGATAACTCTTTAGCTTCGTTTGGTTTTTCTTTAGTATACACTTTTAACCTAGTCACAGGGTTTTCTTCTTTCATCCCAAAGTCAATGTATGATATCTTATAAGGATTAGAAGGGTACGACCTTTAGAGAATATGACGATTGGCAACTCAAATAAACGCTGATATTGGTTTCCGTTCATATTACCTCAGCATAAATATCGTCATTATCTTGCTTATCTTCTATGTTAGGCTGGCATTCTTGTAATTCCTCTCTAATCTTATCTAGAATTTCTTTGCACATTTTTCTTGTATGTATTTTATCTTGTTGATCTTTAAACTAGAAAAAAGACGCACAAAACAATAGACTAAACATGTTTAAAATAATTTAAACAAAAGTGATTCTTGGTATCTGCTACGTGTCTACCCATTGATTAGAGCAAATGATAAGCCTTTATGTTGATGCATTACCTGTTTGGCTATTTTCGGTGTACAAGGCGGACTTTCATACACACATTTGAAAAGTTTCCTATTGAAAATATTATCAAGTATCTGTTTAGCTTTGGTGATTTCTCTATGTTTATCTGTTCCCTCGTCACTTTCTTCTAATTTGAAATACTTTATTCGGAACAAGACATGATCGGTCAACTGGGCAAATGCTTCCATGTCATGATGACATTCAGAAACTGTGTACATTTTCCTAGAATATATATATATATATATATATATATATATATATATATATATATATATATATATATATATATATATGCCTACTTAAAACTTTACAAGAAAAAACTTAGCCAATAAAAACAATGCTCTATCAACTTAACTAGTTTTTCGAGATTGCATCTCTTGTACTTACTTGTTTTTCCCCTCAAATAGTATGTGTTTGTTTGCAAGCTTAAGGGCTTTAAGTTATTACTAAAAGTTACTTTTTATTTTAAAGTATTGAACATTTTTGGTAACAATACATTTATGAAAAGAAATAGTTACACAAATTTAAAAAATGACTATTGTATTAAAGTTAAGTTAATTATTTTTTAAAATCCTACGGTTTTTATATTTTTCAAAGGGACATCACAATTTTATTTCAATTGTTATTATTTTAAAGTAGTTATAAAATTATCTGAGATTTAAAAAATAAAATTAAAAGCAAGAGAAAAACATACATGACATTCAAACAACAAGTAACCTGGTGTTGGTAAGCAAATTTCTGAAGGACGTAGCGGGTATGAAACATGTTGTACAGGTTTAAAGCTTCCTAGTTGAGTAAAAGCATTTGTATTACATTACCTATAAAAACAAAATATCGCAGTGAAATGTCACAATGACTGCTATGTTTTCATAAATACTAATTATAAAAATATATAAATAAATCGTTCTTGCCTTATCCCTCATGCAAATCTGCAGTTCCAAATCAACTTCAATGACTCGTGCAAACTTCATGTAACGATAGGGATCAAAGTTGTTTCTGATGCCCAGATGGTGGCAGTCTCTGGCCATGTAATCCCATTTATAGGCGTCAATGCCGTTACGTCTGTTCTCTACAATCTGTTGGTATAACAAATTCAAAGATTATATATATATATATATATATATATATATATATATATATTATTTAGAAAGAGAGAGAGATGGATAGAGAGAGAAAGAGCGAGAGTGGCCTATATATACAAACTCGCATACATACTCAAAAGAGTTTTAATAAAACATAATTTAGCAATAATTACCTCATACAGGTAAGATTGATCTTCAGTGCGACCTTGATACGGCCAATCCTTCAATTATAGTAAAAGAATTATATATATATATATATATATATATATATATATATATATATATATATATATATATATATATATATATATATATATATATATATAACGGTTTAATAAACTGACATAGCGAAGTTTAATTAAGAAATACGCATTATTTAACAATCGATGGATGTGTGATCAATTGCAAAATTCAATTAAAAAATTTGTAGTCACTGAAAATGCTACTCTTATTTCAACAAATGTTCACAACATAGTTGCAAAATTTGTATTAGGACTTTTTAATTACAGTTAGGCTATTACACATGCAATTTTTCGACCACAATTGTCTTTAATGAATTGTTATGCAATTTTAACAAAAAAATGTTCTTTTAATCTATTTAACATATGTAAAGACCGTTGATCCTGTAGGTTCTATCATGTCTATAACCTCCTTAATAAAAGTGATGTCTCTTTGATTCAACCCGAACTCTTTAAGGCTTATATTGTTTTTGTCTAGAAGATGTTGAAGCAAAGCAGATGACTTTTTCCTATGCTATTTAGATTGAAAATAATTTAACGTGTTATTTAGAAATGAAATATAATTATTTAATAGTTTTTACATAACATATTCATATATAAGAGCGGCCCTTGCTTAAAAAGAAAGACCTTATTAAAACTGTGATATTATAAATAATACTTTGCTTTTACTGTTTGTTTTCATCATTATTTATTTAAATAACAACATATACATTAATGTAATTCAAGAACTTACGCGTTTGTTCTGTTCAAATGAAGGCAAAAACATGTCAGTAAACATTCTGGACAGTGAGCCGTGACCTAAAACAACGTTATAAAACATTTCAGTAAACATTCTAGACGTTGTAAAATAAGTTTTTAAACTTATACGAATAAACGTTTATGAACCACTGTAGTTTTACTACAAAATTTGCCTAAAATTTTTCTTATAGAAATTTGAGATGTTTATAAATATTCCGATTTTTAAAAGGCTACCTTAACTTACTTTTCAAATACTTTAAACTTTATCAATTTATATAATATGAGGTTAAATAAGACGTTTAATATATTAAAACAAAGGATCCAACGATATCCTACATCACACTAAAAGATGGGCTTGTAATAATATTTTCAAAATATCATATTTAGCATAAGGAGACTTATTATTATTACTCGAACCTTCTTAGATTTTATATTGTGAAATTTCGTTAAACTTTTCTATCTTACACGGTGAAATTTTCAAAGAATGTTTTCTTCTTTGGTAGAAAGTAGGAAGGCAAAACAAATTTAGAAAAGATCGGATGTCACTGAAGCAAAAGCAGTCTGAAAGTTGTGGACCCAAATTGGAGGAACCGCCCATAATCGATAGCGGTGGAGAGGTGTGAATGTATCCCTAGGCCTCGGAAACTGTCCACATGAATGGTGATGATGATGGTGATGACTTTATCATAGTAAATCCTACCTATATTGTAACATAATCCAGCTATTTCTAGACACAAAATGTCGGCGTCTGTTATAACTATATGCTTGTTGTTTTGTCGAAGTACACGAGCATAGCTCCCTGCTAGATGACAGAGGCTAAAAAAATGCACAGACATGAATATTTTAAATTATAACTAACAACAAATAACAGGATTTACGTTTGCATGAATAAACACTTAAGTTTCACTCATTCAGGTCCGCCTAAAGACCTATTAATGTCTTTAGTCGCATTATTCAAGAATTTAAGTAAATAGTGAAAATAAAAGTAAAAGTGTCACTAACCCATGGGGCAGAAAATTTGGAGATGTGTAGGATTAAAAATTAACTTTTTAATACTTTTGGGTTACACATCAATTAAATCTAATTGAGCTCACAGTTCCCTTTCAAATGTTTTTATTACACAACAGCATATTTGGATCTAAGTACCTTTTTGTCATTTGAATAGGCCACACTTTCAGGAGATTTCCAGAACTTCAGATTTATGCCCCTAAAAAAATTCATTTTTGTCAATGTGTATTATATTTTTTAATTAAAATATGTAATAATGTAAATTTAAAAGCAATATTGCTTACATTACGCGAGAAATATATATATAGGCTCTCACAATATGAACAATCTATTAATTGATTATTCACTGCCTAATGATTTGCACTGTTTAAATAATTGATCATACTCAAATGAATTCAATAATCTGATACTGAACGAATAAATAATTAGAATTGCATAAGAAATGTTTTTGTTTTGTTTTTTGCAGTCTCTCTACATACATACAGATATGTTGTGTGATATGTAGTTTTCGTACTTCATCTAATGGGGTAAGAGGATTGAAGCGAAGCTTTAAACCAAATGTAACTAAGAGTATCAAGTACTGTTTTAATGCTGTCCACGTTTTTATTCTATACAAGAGCTTTTGCGAAACAGAAGCTCATGTTACAAAAAAATAGTTATGAGTAAAACTTAAAATCTTAAGAAATTAAGTATTTTGATATCCATTTTATCCTTTTTCTAAAGCACATTGTAAAAAAATCCAAAGCGTTTATTTAAAGATTAGATGTTACGCTTTTGAGCCATAATCACGACAATATTTCATTCTTTAACTTTCTTACAAAAAAATTATTGATTTTTTTAAAAAAGCTAATGATTTATAATGCATTTAAATATTTTTATAGTTAATTAGGACAATAGTATATTAAACACATTTAAACAAAGAAAACCTAAAACAGAATATGCTTAATGTTAATTACTGATTGTAATATGTTTATTGGTACTATTTAAAATGTTTCTAATTCGACTACACATTTGAAAAATAATATAAAAAAAGAACAGAAAACAGATGTCAAAACTTTTATAATTTATTTTAATTAATGTAACAGTAGATCTGTAAATGATGATTAAAATAACTGGCATCAAGACATTAGTATAAAAATGCTTTAAAACCTTACTCCTATATAGTTTTAGTACCAAAAACGTCTTTGTAATTGAAACAAAATGAACTAAATAAAGAAATTCCAGTAATGAAAAAAGAGAGTATGTAGTATTTGTAAATGGTTTGTGAAATAAACCTTTATGGTTTAACAAGTTTTTTAAACTTGATTTATTCGTCTTGATTCGTCTGTCATGGCTGGATGAAAACTAGCGACATAATTTCACCACATTTTACTAAATCGATTTTTTTCAAACTTTAGAGGTAGACCTAAAACCAATTATAATGCTTCATGACATGCGATACGATGTATTTGGATGTCAATTGGGTTTTAAAAAGTACTTAAAAATTAAAATTTTCCCATATAAAGTACAACATTGTCGCACTTTTAACCACACTTTACATGCATTTAATTTTTTCGCAATTTTTAACAATTAAAATATTAAAACCTTAATTTTATATGCACTTGAAAGTAGAAAATAAACCGATTATCTTTAGAAACTACAATCCAGTATTATGTATATAACTATATAAGTGTAGCTCGGTCAAAATTATTTTAGTTGTATCAAATAGCAAATATTTACGCCCATTAATACTATCCACTTGGAATATCGGTGTATTTTTATACTTTTATACTTAAAAAAACATCGGATATATTTATGGGAAAACAATGTTTACTCTTGTGAAATCTCCGCCTTATTATATACAACTGTTGCTTGTATGTTGTTTTCTGTGAATGAAATAAAACTTTCTTATGTGACAGATATATTATTAATTCAATATACCACACAAAAACAAAAAAATAAAGGCGAATCATGTTCTTTTGTGAATCAACCATCATTAAAAAAAAATAATAATGTTATGTAAAAAAAAAACTTTTCATTTGTAAATAAACCTAATCTACGTATACCTATTCCTAATCGTTTCTTTTTAATAAATGTGTATCCTATTATTTTTTGACAGTTACTAATTGTAACCAAACTCATGATTTTATAGTAAAAGTATTTGTGTTGTGTACTTGCCTGTTGTTGGATTTGTACAAATATCAGGTGAGCTCGGCTGATCCTTTTCCTAGAAGTCAAATAATTTGGTTACATTTCATACTATTTCCCATGCACTTTATATGTTTAATAAGTTTAATGAAATGATACAATAGTAAACAATAGTTTACAAAACGGTTAAACTAGCTCGTAAAAAGGTAATATATTCATGTATATAGTGCTACGTTTTGTAAAATGTTTTCTTTACGTATTAAAAATGGAAAACAAATAGATATTAAAAAGCTTAGGTTTAAAAGCATAACAATGCATTTTTAAGCATAAAATTGTCAAGATCATGAAATGTATAACAAATCAAAGATGGAAGTATATTCATGAAAAATTTAAAATACTTGATATGCCTACGTACTAGTCATTTCAAGAAAAATGTTAACTTTAATACGAAAGTATTACATTTCACAATAATGTTTAATACCTTCATATACAGCTTCCATTTTATAAAAGCATCATATATATTTTTCTCTAGATCTTTATTCCTTTCACGAATATAAATTCTAACGAATTCTTCGGAACATTCCACCAAAGTCAAAATTCTGCTTGTCTGAAAATATTGTTTAGCAAATATTAATAATGTCATTATTAAAAAGAATATGAATCTTAATATTAAATAGTGGTAAATATCAGAGGATGAACTGACCGTTAGTTCTTACGTTTAAACGAAGATGATATGTACGTTAAGACATTTGACTTTTCCGTGTTTTCCGTGGGGTTTCTTTTTAAAACAAATTAATTTTCTTGCATTTCAATATTTTAAATTACAGATATGTTCATAATCCCTTGAGATATGCACAAAAATCACGAGAAACTAAATCTTTAAAAAATTATCTTTACTGAACAAGTTTGATAAAACTAATAATACCTCTTGTTGTTTCAGAAGTCTTGGTTTATCGGGTTTTTGTTTCTTATATACATAAATAGATTTCAGTGGATCGTTTTTGTAGTTTCCAACGTCGAATGAGATTTTCTGTTTTATTCAAATGTTTAAGCAGTTGGGCATTATTCATCATTTTAAAAAAAACGTAAGTTTACCAGCCTAATATAATATTATATATATATATATATATATATATATATATATATATATATATATATATATATATATACATATATATATATATATATATATATATATATATATATATATATATATATATATATATATATATATAGCGAGAGAGAGATCGAGATCAGTGAGCGTCACTATATTTTGTTAATAATCATAATATAGGTAAGTTTTTATATTCTACAAAAAATCTTGTCATACCTTCACGATAATGTCAGATGACGTGAAATCTTTGCCAAGGCTTTGAATTTTGTCCGTTATTTCTTCGACGCTCTGTAAGTAATTGTATGTAACTGCAACAATTGCTGACTGATGGACTGTTATGACAGTGAAATACTGAAATACTAGTTGCCTATTATTTTTTATTATCTGATAACTTGGTGATTGTATTTTCTAGTGAAATGGATCTAGCTTTGGAGTAATTGCACAAGCATTACACTATAATAATACTAAAACATAATGCACACAATTTCCAATGTTTAAAAAAAACTTACATATTCTGATAAAAATACAATTTAACAGCCAAAATTAACAGAAATATGCTATTAAATCAATTATCGTCTATACACAATGTTATATAAAGTAAAATCGAAATCATTGTTTAAAAATGTGCCTGCTCATTTTACTATTTACTTCAAGTAAGTTACTTTATTTTACCTCAAGTTTCTCTTTATCAAGGGGCTGGCTTTCACAGACACAGTAATATAAATTCCTGCTTAATATCTTTCGCACTAACATTTTTGCTTCGTTCATATCCCTCCGTTTTTCTTCATTGTCGGTATTTTCGGGAATTTTGTAGTGCAAAATCAAATGCAGAATATTGTCATCGAGCTCAGTAAAAGCTTCCATATTATCTACACATTCTTCTATGGTACATCGTTTACCGGTTCTGTTTAGAAACATTCATATTGTTTAAAGCTTACATCTTAAATTGAAAGATTAAAATACTTTGCAGTTGCATTGCAAAAATTCACTAAGTTAAAAAATTAAACACACTTCTTTTTCAAACGTAAATTAAACAAATTAATTATATAAATTACGAACGTTACTGATTTGGGAAACAGCAAATGTTTGTTAGCTTTTTGCATTATTTCTGCCAACCTAAAAATAATAATAATTCGTTTTAGAAAAAGACAAAGCAGTATCAAAAGTAACAAAAACTATTGATTAGATTTTTGTTTAAAGTTTTTTTAAGCATAATGTATGTGTTATATTGTTTAAAACACAACGGTGGTATTAAAGTAAACCTTTTGTAACTTGCAGTCAGTCTAAATGTATTGTTTAGGGTTATTCTTCAATAATTTATAATTGTAACCCCTTATGTAGAGGGTTAGTGGAATATTTTTCTTCTATAGGTTTGATTATGTTAATCATACATGGCGCTATTCTGGTGCTTCATTTGATCAAGTAATGAATATCGTGATTAAATAACTCATCTCATAGTTGTAAAATCCTCTCGAAGAAGCATGTTATATTTTCAGTAAATGTGAAGTTACGTTTCAACCAAATAAAATAGACATCGTTTATGATTTTTAGACGATGGCTTTCATCCAAAAAAAACAACAACAACGGTTAACAAAGCTTTAACTTACATGAGTTGAACAGCAATGTTTACTTTATGCCTGTAAGCATACTTAGTCAGTGTATACTTGGTAAAATACAAGTTGTATAAATTCGTAATCTCCTAAAATGCAAATTATTATATAATTAGTGTATGCACTATTTTAAATGCGTCTTTAGTTTTCAAAAATAAATTGCAAACTTGGTTGAAACATTTCAACAACAGCATTTCGTAAACATATGCCAGATTTTGGGTTAAATAAATATGTCATACACGTCAAAAATAGTATACTATCGTTTTGATCGCTCTTACTGTTATTACACTTGTGAAAGTACTTATGAAACCTTATCTCTGACACACAGCTGTCCTACTCCATCCACGGGAATAACTCTGGCAAACTTCATGTAACGGAAGTGGTCAAAGACGTTACGAAAACCAAGATGGTGGCAGTCTCTTGCTAGAAAGTCAAACGTGTGCACCGCTATACCAGTTCTTTCGTTTGCAATGATCTAAATAAAATGAGTAAACAAACAAAAATTAATGTACACATTGTGTATATATATAGGCCTGAATACTGCTTCTGTATCAACACTTGATTACTGTGTAAATTAAATATAAACAGAAAATGTGATGAGTCTGTTGATTTTAATCAAAATCAAGCACATATAAATTACTTTCAAAACCCTGAAAAATATCACAAGTCAGCATTTCTAAATAAACCGGGAGTGATCTCCCCTAAACTTTCTCGAATATTCTTATATAAAATAACAGGGGATGGGAACTCGGGCTATAGACATGATTTTTAATCCATTTTAAATACTTAAAGTTTTAAAAATAGAATAAAATCTCGTAGACAAATTAATTGCACACCAAGTGAACGCCAAATAAAAAAGCGCATAATAGTGCACAATATTATTAGTACTTTTAAAATGTACATTAGTTTTTTGGGAAATCGGAAGTAGCGTAAATTACTACTTCCGGTCAACGGAAATTACTCAAAATTTAACAGAAGGTAGAGAATTAGATCTTTTACTTACATGTGAAATTTCGTTTATCTATCTGAAATAGTACTCAAGTTATAGGCTTTTGAAAAATTCAAAGTAGGAAAAGTACCACTTCCGGTTATCGGAAATCGCTCAAAAGTTGATACGGATCTACGATTTTGATAAAATACTTATATATGAAATTTCCTCAACCTAGCAGTAACGGTACTCAAGTTATCGTGTTTACACACGGACAGACAGACAGACATACAGACAGACACACAGACAGACACACAGACATACGGACAAGATTGCAAAATTATGTTTTTCCGTATCAGTGAGGTGTAAAACGTCGAGATTTGTAAAAAATCTCGATTATTTTTTTTTTTGCACGATTACAAGACTTTCTCTATACTTCGTATATACGAGAAAGTAAAAACAATAAAAATAATTTGAAATAAAGTTTTTACTTTTCGTAAATGCACACATTATTTTTACACTCTCGTTCAAGATGATGTTACCTCATATAAAAATGCTTTGTCTGCTCCCCTTCCTCTGTATATTGGTTTTCCTTTTTCGTCATATTTCTAAAATACATACATTTGAACAATGTGAAAAATTTTTAAAAACTTATTGCTCTTTTAAACCCAGGATTCTCATATATTGAAAAAAAAACAGCAGATATCTGCTATCTGATTCAGTTTTTAATTTGTTTAATTTTATATATTTGAACAGTGACAATAGTTGCCACATTCGCATGTTGACATAACATTTCTGATAGACACACTGACAATTGTGTCTTTACATGAGCTCATTGTAAGATAATTAATGCTTATAATATAGCCTATATATTAAACGTTTTAGTTACAAGAACCATTAGATAAATTGACTGCTAATAGCCTACATTTAAAACAATAAACATATTTTTTATACGTACATCAACGTAGATCATTTCTTTAATGAAACCAACGTCCGTATTGTCCTCATCGCTAGGGTCACCTAAACCGTATTTCTTAAACAGTTCTGCGACGTCTTTGTTCTTTTCAAGAATATGCTCAAACATTTTGCGCGACGTTTCTTTCAGCTGTATTAGAGAACTGGTTTATATTTATACATTTACCTTGAATTTAAGTTACTAAAACTATAACAATATACAATAAAATATTATTGATTGAATAAAATAATTAAATTCAAATACATTCCAATTCTTTTTCCCTGATTTTTCTGGCATAAACGTGTCCTCAAACATATGTGAATATGGTCCGTTCCCTGGAAAATAATTGTTTAAGTTATCCATTAATCGTAATTAAAGATATATATATATATATATATATATATATATATATATATATATATATATATATATATATATATATGATATATATATATGATATATAATTAACATGATTTAAGTTGTAATTGATAACTATCCTACCTAATCCACGACATAAACCAGCTATTTCCACACACAATATATCAGTTTCATTGATGTTCAAATCTGGTTGATTTCTTTGTAAAATTCTTGTGAACTTTCCTGCCAGGTAGCAAACTCTGCTTGACGTAGGATAATTTTAATTAATACAAAATTATAAAAGCGTTAAATAAGCTTCACAGTTTACTAGCCTAAAACATTATGTGGCCAGGCTAATAATAAAGGTACTGTGTAGTCCCCCTATACTATATGGCCAGACTTATAATAAAGTTACTGTGTAGTGTGTAGTCACCCTATACTATATGGCCAGACTTGTAATAAAGTTACTGTGTAGTGTGTAGTCACCCTATACTATATGGCCAGACTTATAATAAAGTTACTGTGTAGTGTGTAGTCACCCTATACTATATGGCCAGGCTTATAATAAAGTTACTGTGTAGTGTGTAGTCACCCTATACTATATGGCCAGACTTATAATAAAGTTACTGTGTAGTGTGTAATCACCCTATACTATATGGCCAGGCTTATAATAAAGTTACTGTGTAGTGTGTAGTCACCCTATATTATGTGGCCAGGCTTATAATAAAGTTACTGTGTAATGTGTAGTCACCCTATACTGTGTTCGAATCTGTTGTGAGCGGCTCCAGGGTTGACAAAATAGCATGTACCAAGTTGTTTGAGGTAGCGAAGTCTTTGGAACTGGGGCGTGTCGATGATGGCCCTGCAGAGAGGGTGTATGCTGATGTGGCCGTGAACAGGGTCGTTGAACAACTAGATAGATCGAATTAAATATATTAGCAAACAAACAATATAAGTGGAGATGAAGAAACACACACACACACACACACACACACACACATATATATATATATATATATATATATATATATATATATATATATATATATATATATATATATATATATATATATATATATATATATATATATATATATATATATATATATATATATATATATATATATATGTTAGTTAGTTAACTGAACTATGGTTTTGTAACACCACATATTTTTTTTAAACAGTACATTTAAATTATCAAATGTGTCCAGTCTAGGGCGGACTATTTCCTACGTGCCTACCTCTACATTCGCCTATTGTCTATATACATTATCTATTTCACATAAACAGCAAAGTGTTTTATTTGACAGAATATTTTTGGATGGTATACACAAATAGAATAACATTTTGATCTGAATACAAACCTTCATCCTGTCTTCCGACAACCTGGTGTACTGTGGGGCAGTTTCTTGTTCTTTGTCCCGGCTGAAATTTAGCAATCAACAAATACACTAAACAGTGATATATATTTCTAGTGAAATTAGAATTAGAATTACTAAAGTCGCATAATTGATTTCAATTCGAAAGTAAAGAATACCGATTGTTTCATTGCCAGAGTTCCTTCCAGGCATCTCTTCATTGCAAGTAAAATAATGCATTGAACTATTTCATTTTATGTATGTAGCACATACTAATTACTTACGTAGCAAAACGCCCGTACTTTTCTGGATTTCTAAAAGGAATACAAATAGAACTATAGGTTTATATTTAGCAAAAAGAAATTAACCAAACACTATACATGTTTTGTATAAGTGCTGTTTAAAATATATTCTTTACAGGAATAATGAATAGTACATAGTAAATACATTTATGAGTTTAATTTAGTTGCAAATATAGATTACATAGTAAAATTAACAGCCGTCATTAAAATTTGAACTTGGGAAAAGATACAAGATAAAATATGTATATTTAATCGACAACTAAAGGTGTATAAATGCATTGCGTTTGTTGCAGTTATTAATAGGAGTTGTTCCCTTCCCCCCCCCCCCCACACACACCTCCCGACAAAGGGATATAACTGATAGATAATGAAGCAATATTATTGCTGGCAACTGATTACTAGTATGGTTTCCATTGATGGAAGTCGATCAAAAAAAAAATTCTAATCCAAGGCATTTTGATTTATGTTCTGAAAATCATGCAAAAACTAAGTAAAGCGAAAATCAAAATCCTATTAGATAACAGCTATAAATATATTGGTCGGATGGACAACGTAGTAATTGTGTGGCTAGTTACACTAATATTAACAATATATGACTGGATGTCCGTTGTACTACAGCTCGCTGGCTATCAGTATATCAAATGCGCATGTTTATTCTGGCTATAAACAAAGCAAATAACTGTGGACAAATATAGCCTAGAAAAGCTTTTGTCTAACGAGGTGCAGGTGAAGCACGTTATTTTACAGCACGCTTTGATCACAAAGTGGACCAAGATTAGACGTGTTTTAGGTTCCATTAGGTCTAGTTTGCTCCATTAATTTTTACGTCATTGGTGAGTTCATACAATCGTATTGCTTCTTCACGTTCGTAGCATCGCTATCATATCCCAGTATGATTTTATTTTTCATTGTTATTATTCTTCAATAATAACCGTTGATGGTCAAATTTTTTAAAATGTGTTCTCAGAAGGTTCAGCTGCTATGGAAAATCGCTTTTTTGTGAGTTATTGAAAAGGGCTTGTAAACAAACTGTCTACATTTTAAAAGTATTGAAATGGTTTAACCAAAGAAGCAGATTAAAACTCACTCATGTTGAAGTGCTTTTAGCGCTAGATATAAGGCATCAAATGTCACAGACTGCGCATTTTCTTGTTGGATCTTCTTTAACTCTGATATTCATTGGAAACATTCAGAGGAGACATTTAAATGCTATGTATATAATAGAATATATATATATATATATATATATATATATATATATATATATATATATATATATATATATATATATATATGAAAGGTGGTGGGATTAATTATAATTTTAAAATCGTAATATCATATAAAACTACCATGCTAACAAATTATAATATCTGCTTACCATTAAAAATATCTTCAGCTGTTTCTTTTAATACTTTTTCTTTTTCATTAGAATCACTCATCTAAAAAAGTGTAATATATATATATATATATATATATATATATATATATATATATATATATATATATATATATATATACATACATACATACATATGGTGGCCGGAAAGAACCGCAACCGAAAAAAGCGCAACGGAAAAAAGCGCAAAACAAAAAGCGCAACGGAAATAAGCGCACACGGAAAAAAGCGCAAAGAGAAAAAAGCGCACACAGAAAAAAGCGCAAAGAGAAAAAAGCGCAAACAGAAAAAAGCGCAAAGAGAAAAAAGCGCACACAGAAAAAAGCGCAAACAGAAAAAAGCGCAAACGGAAAAAAACGCAAACGGAAAAAAGCGCAAACGGAAAAAAGCGCACACAGAAAAAAGCGCAAACGGAAAAAAGCGCAAACAGAAAAATTCGCAACCAGAAAAAACAACGAAAAATGTGCAAAAGAGAAATTTAGCACAAAGACCATATGGACTAGATGACACATTTATTCATGACTGTTAGGGCTGCTGTGAGAGTGTCGTGTTTGATCACGTGATCTACTACCATTTAAAGCGTACCACTACCATGTGCATTTCTATCACCATGATACAGGCGATAATCGCTTTACACAATGCCTATTATTTTCTTGGTCAATAATTATTCAACTATTATTCTCGTATAAATAAACATAAAACTATCGACATTACACGAAGTATCTTTCACATTTTCCCTAGTCCGAACTACCTAGCTTGCATACCATAACAACCCGTTCCTATGGCAAAACTTCACTCTCTTTCATCCGCGTCATCAAACATGCATTCGTCATATCTCTCGTAACAACATTCAATCGCACCATAATAACAATTATGTATTTAATATTTTTTTCACATCATGACGCACCTACCTACCTACCTACTACCCACCTACAAACTTACCTATCTACCCACCTACCCACCTACCTAACTACCTACCTACCCACCTACCCGCCTATCCACTTACCCACCTACCCACCAAAAAAGTATCGGCGAAGTTCGTAAGTTTCGTAAACTGTACTAGACATCTTTTTTTTTTAAATGAAAATTCAATGACATCATTGACATATGTTACAAATATGTTACATTTTGCGACAACCTTAATTAGTGCGTTGGGCTTGTATGAAAACTCACTTCGAGCTAACTCAATTACATGCTATTTATTTTAACATTACACGGTAAGCGTCAGCCAACTGTTGTGATGTGAGGTGAGGACAGGTTCGACAATTAACTAACACGAAAGTACGAAAGAGACATAGACTGCCTATTAGAGAATGGACCCCTTAACTTTCCTAACCCCACCATTTATTATACCTTACCTATCCTCTAAATTTCCTGCGCTAAATGTCACTTCCCTCCCAATCGTTCCTATTCTACAGAATTGTGTGTACTATTTATTTACATTCTTTAATTTCAATATAACTAAAATAGACTTTTGTTTGAAGGGTAGTGAAAACATGTAAACAAAAGGGACGCTACTCTAAAGCTATGCGAATACTTATTTGCAGTGGCGTAGGCAGGGGGGGTTAGGTGGGGGGGGTCATAACCCCCCATAGACCCCTCGGTATATATATATATATATATATATATATATATATATATATATATATATATATATAAAGTGTGAGGGGGGTGCAAATCGAAAGTTTGAGGGGGGGGATGTGCAAATCGAAAGTTTGAGGGGGGTGGAAAGTCTAGAAGAAACACTGCATTTAGCCTATATAACAGAAGAGCTATGGTTATTTATATCATTTTGCATTCGTCCGGTAAACATTTCAGTAAAATACATTAAAAAAACTTCCGTAACCTTTTTATAAAGAAACAAAGAGAGATGAAGTTTTATAATAACATCAGGCTTTGACTTACACCTACTCCAATGGCATCTTCATTGTTAAACTGATTAACTATGTAATGTAGGGTTCTACATGAGAGGGTCAACACTATCATTATATTCTGTCTAGCCATTCAGTAGTTCATCCCAAAGCACGACGACATCAAGGTATACAAATGATTCGACAGGATGACATTAATTTTACTATTTATTGCATTACAAAGGACGACTTGAACGAACAATACTAAGACTGGACTACATTACGACATCACTCTAACACAACAAGAACAAGTATACTTTTTTAACTTCTTTCCCCGACAACAACGAACCTACACTAAAACGTCTCATTCTTGCGAACCGCGTAACTATTCAATGCGTCATTAACTTTCGCACTAATACTCGTTCACACAAATCCTTGTTTAAACATACATCAAAAGTATATATATATATATATATATATATATATATATATATATATATATATATATATATATATATATATATATATATTAGTTCGGACTAGGGAAAATGTGAAAAATACTTCGTGTAATGTCGATAGAAATGCACATGGTAGTGGTACGCTTTAAATGGTAGTAGATCACGTGATCAAACACGACACTCTCACAGCAGCCCTAACAGTCATGAATAAATGTGTCATCTAGTCCATATGGTCTTTGTGCTAAATTTCTCTTTTGCACATTTTTCGTTGTTTTTTCTGGTTGCGAATTTTTCTGTTTGCGCTTTTTTTCTGTTTGCGCTTTTTTCCGTTTGCGCTTTTTTTCTGTGTGCGCTTTTTTCCGTTTGCGCTTTTTTCCGTTTGCGCTTTTTTCCGTTTGCGCTTTTTTCCGTGTGCGCTTTTTTCTCTTTGCGCTTTTTTCCGTTTGCACTTTTTTCTCTTTGCGCTTTTTTCCGTTTGCGCTTTTTCTGTTTGCGCTTTTTTCTGTGTGCGCTTTTTTCTCTTTGCGCTTTTTTCTGTGTGCGCTTTTTTCTCTTTGCGCTTTTTTCCGTTTGCGCTTTTTTCTGTTTGCGCTTTTTTCAGTTTGCGCTTTTTTCTCTTTGCGCTTTTTTCTGTGTGCGCTTTTTTCTCTTTGCGCTTTTTTCTGTTTGCGCTTTTTTCTCTTTGCGCTTTTTTCTGTGTGCGCTTTTTTCTCTTTGCGCTTTTTTCCGTGTGCGCTTATTTCCGTTGCGCTTTTTGTTTTGCGCTTTTTTCCGTTGCGCTTTTTTCCGTTGCGCTTCTTTCTGGGAACCACATACATACATATATATATATATATATATATATATATATATATATATATATATATATATATATATATATATATATATATATATATTTAAAACTAGACATAGATATGTAGGTCTATTACTTTAGTAAGCAAGTGAATCTAACTCTCTGTGATAACAGGATGCGGTGAGAACAAATATTGCTATCAATTTAGTCAGCAGTCACCGCATCTGCTAAACAGGCACGAAGCTATGGCTCTGGTCTTCATTTATTCTCATGCCTGAATGCCTTTCACTAGCCCGTACACTGGTTTGATATCGTTAGCCCCATACGTCGGGATACTTTTGTCTGCCGCTTTTTGTAAACCATTTGAATGAAGCCTCCGAATAATTACTATACTCAAGAGAGTTTTGATGTTTGGTGGGGCGTCACACCATTAAGCGGTAGACCTGTATTCTGACGTTACCGTGACTAATAGCTATTAGCGGCGAGTACAATGTATGGTATAATTGATCGTATGGAGCGAGTGAAATCAATAATGCGGTTTTAAAATGTATATATACCTCCTATTATTTCATGAAATTATGAAGGCATATTGAAAAAAATATATTTTTTGGTTCTGAGATATTTTAAAATATAATTTGCCCTTAACTAGAAAGGGCATATGGTGTGCAACTTTATTTATAATATTATGCTGTTTCGAGTTTTTTTCCAGTAATATATACCTACTATTAAAACCGTTTCAATTATAAACATAACAGGATTAATATTTACCTTCAGTTCTATACAGCCAATCGCATTTATTTACAGTATAATAAGCACAGTTGTACAATAAAGGTGAATGATTGACCGTGAAGCATTGCACACATGAAGTATCAATATCCTGTACACACTAGAGACCTGTACACAAAGGTCCCCAAATCTGATCAAAAATTGGGCTTTCGTGGAAGAGCTGGTGATAAGGAATCAGAGCGTGTCGCCGGTACAGCTATAACACGACAAGATAAGGCAAGCAACGTTTTGTTTCGTGACGCTAACTTCTGAGTGGTACAGGCGCGATTTGTAAAGTTAGAGATTATTCCAGATACAAGTAGTAGGGCATACGCTTCCAGCTACCACTGCTAAATTTAATTTCTAGTATAAGGTTTGCCCTTACTTTAATATTTATTTAACATGGGGACCTTTAAATTAATTATTTAATTGGTTTAATAACTTCCGCAAATTATTCCGCACATGTTTTCTTTACTTGTAATTAGTAAATCTGTTCGTTATAACCTTAATTCAAATTTAAAGCCAACTCACTATATTTTGATCGAAATAAAACATATATATTTGTCACTTGTTTTTATTGCATTTAAATATAAAAGCCCACCACTAAATAAGTTAAAGCTAAAAATAAATTTTAAAAATATTTTAAAAAGTGCATTTGAATGCCCTGTCGTTTTATGTCGTCTTTAACATTGCTTAACCTTGGGCAAACCAAAGTAATTTTACTGCACACCTCGGGGATACACATTTTGACTGAACACACAAGATGAAACACGGCCCATTACCGGGGTATACACATTTTGGCTGAACACACAAGATGAAACACGGCCCATTACCGGGGTATACACATTTTGACTGAACACACAAGATGAAACACGGCCCATTACCGGGGTATACACATTTTGGCTGAACACACAAGATGAAACACGAACCATTACCGAGTGATCGAACAGCTATCAAACGTGATGCGTCTATAAACAACGCCGCTACACTCAAGGGGATACACGGCGGTTACAACACAACACAGTGGATACACGGCATTTACAACACAACACAGTGGATACACCGTCCCCATTGTTTGGCCTAAATAGTTTCAGCTCCGTGACAAACCTTTATGCTATCAATGGTGCTCCAGTGTATTGTACAATGTTGTGTCAAGATTTGATTCCAGAGTTGCCAGTTTAAAGAAAGATGATCTGACTTGAATACGTTTGCCTTGAGGTTAGTGGCCGCAAACATACTGTTAACGGATACCCTCCACAATGTAAGTATATGAATATGTCATTGTGTCTGCTTTCATTTTGTTTTTAACTTGAAATATGTGGCCATAAAAAGCTAATTTAAAATCAGTATCTGTGGTTATATCTAGACCATTTAAAAGATTATAGGGTATCAATTTAATATTTTCATTTTTCGAAGCAAAACATTTGAATTAAAACTTTTTTAGTAAATGGTCTTCTATAAATTGCGAGACGTTTAGATGGGTAGAATTATAAGTGGTGTGTCGATTTGTAGCAAAGGGGAGAGGAGGGAGTTGTGAAACTGTGACTTCACATATATATCACATTTTTAAAATAATGTGTAATTTATAGTATATGCGTTAATCTTGTTATTTAACTTTACAGCTATAATTTATTTTAAATGCGACTGATAACATTGATTGATTGCAATGAACATGAAATAAAAGTAGTTAGCTGAGCATCTCTTACAAATGTTTAATGCTGGGGTGATACTTGTATTTTTCCTTCTCAAACCTTCGGTAGTTTTCACTGTAGCGTTGAAAACTTCCACAATTCAATATTCTTTACAAATGTATTTCATTCTTTGTCTTAATATTTCCAAATGGTTGGTATAACGCACATTGATTTTGGAAGTGACTACTTTTTCATTTCTAATTATTGTCTTCTGAAACTTCAATAAGGTTTAAGAAAAATGATGCAGCTGACCATTCCTCTTTCTAAAATTATCATTAACGCACAATTTCTTCAGCCCAATCCGGAAAGGGGGGGGGGGGGAGCATGTGTAATATGTTCCATTTTTCATGTCTCTTAGGGTTCGTTATTGATCACGATTTTATCGTGTCTGATCACATACAAAATATGCCATTATTATAGGTTGCTTTCAACCTAGCAAGGATTAAAATATTGTACGAACCAATTAGATTATGCTTGTGTACCAGGGATAGTCAGCTTATAACAAAACGCCGTCTACTCTTCACAATAGCAAAAATTGCCATTAGACAATTAGGCTTACCCGTTTAGCACTTCAATTTATAGCCAGTCTATTTTGACGTTTTGGATTTATTATATATCAAAACAAGATAGAAAATGCATTTCAAATAAAAGTATAAAACAACAGTAGCATTCTAAACTTTTTGTAAGTATTTATTTCTTTGTTCTACATTTTAAATATTATTATATTTATATTTCTCTGAAAAAAGCATTTGTTACAAAAAAACAATGTGAAAAAAAGGCTGACGTGTCTACTGTAGCCACCAATAAAAATAAAATGTTAGTATTATTTTATTGCTGACAATATTATTGTCTCAGCCACAATGTGGCCCATAAAAGAATCAATAACAAAGCCGGTGTGGTACATGAAATGTGTGGTGTGCGGAGTGCGATGCATCCTGGAATAGCCTTTTCCCGCAATACGAATTTTAAAATATCACTCTTTGGGGAAAAGTAGAATTTTCAGTAATAGTTTATCAAATTTGGCAAACAAGAAAAAAGGTAAAATACAAAGTGAAATAAACAAAATAAAGGTGATTCAAATAAAAAATACTTTACTAATTTAAAATCTGTGATCTTTCGCATACTTTAATGAATTGTAATTTGTCTATAAATATGTTCCCTACAGTAAAGAATTAAGTAAGTTTATTAAGCTCTATAGTAATACAATTTAAATGTAATGTTTGTCTTTTGTAAGCCAAGATTTTTCTGTATTTATATGTAAATACAATTTACATATAAAAATAAAAACTTGTTTATCTTCTTAAACTTGTTTCTGTGTCTTACGTCCGCTATTATCGAAGTTTACTACCGAACATATTTATTTTAAACTTTTCACGTAGGTCAAGACATAACATGCTACTGAATTAGATGATTAATTATCTCTTTGAACATTAATCAAAGTTTTCTTTATTAAGTACTAATGTTTCGGAAATAACGTAGAGTACTACTTCCGTCTACCGGAAATTACTCACAATTTGATGGAAAACAGAGGATTAGATATTTTACTTTTATGTTAAAGTGCGCCTATCAATCAGATACAGAACTTATAGGCTTTTGAAAAACCGAAAGTAGAATAAGTTCGACTTCCAGTAACCGAAAATCACTAAAAAGTAAAAAGTTTAATCAGAACTACACATTTGGTATAATACTTATATATGAAATTTCATTAAACTAGCTCTTATGGTACTCAAGTTCTCGTATTCTCACACGCGCACACACACAAGTATTTTAAAAATCGATTTGAAAAACAAGTCCATATCCCTACTACACTGGAGTTGCTATCCCCTTTAGTGTTATATAAGATTATTCGAGAAAGTTTAGGGGAGACTACTCCCGCTTTATTGTTGATAAAATAAAAATAATAGAACCTGGGTTGGCATCAAATGAAAAGAAAAATAAAGGTAATTATCAAATAGTGAAAGTGATCATTATCTACTTTAAAAATGTTTTGTAATACATTTATGTATAGAAAGCGACTTAAAAAAATTTAGTATTTTTGCGCCGCATTTGATCAAAAGCCAAATTGCGTTTCTACTAATTAAATGAAATTATATTTAAATTGCAAATATATAATCATAAAAATAACAGCTATAAATAAAATATATATAAATTATAATAAATATAAATATAAATACATACAGTTGAATGTATATATTCTGATAAGACACATTATGATTATTCTTACATATTGGTGCACAAATCAATCATAAAAGTATAAGCATTAAAAATGACATTTGAAGTTTATGAAACAAAGCCTTGAAAGTGCTTCGGTATCAAACATCAAGGATTAAATCAGTGAAACCAGTCGAATGCAAAAAAATACCAGTAGAACTATCTAGTTATATTCTATTTTATTGACAGTTTTTCTTCAAGAAGAACAAAAGGAATAAAAGTTAGAAATGTAATGTTCATTTAAAAATCTGAAGCAGCCGTTTCTACTTATGCGCAAAAAAATATCACTGAAATTCTGATTTTTCGTCATAATGGGTTTCTTGCACTTTTGGATTCTTGAACCAGTTCTTAATTCAGAAAATAAGAACATTAACGAGAAATAAAATTTAAGTTTAAAAACTATTTTTTATGATCCGATGCATGAATAAAGTAATCATACTTTTCCAATATTACACGTTCACTACGAAATGTTTGACATCAGCCATCATGTTGTCTGTGGCTCCATTGAAAGCTGGATTACTCCGGTATTCGTTAAATTGAATTTACATCAAATCGGAAACATCCATCAATGAAAACATGTTTAGGCAACGTATTAGTGTAGCTAAAAACTAGCCCAAGCTTTTTTCCTAGATTAGAAGTCAGCAGCATCTTTTCTATGGTTAGATATCCTCTTTTTAGTGACAACATTGTCTTTCAAATTATTCGTTTGTTCTTAAAATCAAATTAATTGCCCTGTGAGGTTATTGCAGCTTGGTTCAGTATCTAAAATAAATAAAGACGTTATGTGCAGCTGACTGGAATAATTTTTTTTTATCTTTTCAAAATTAAATTTCCCCAGCATATTAATGGTTGATATATTTTGCAACAAAGTATAACATCAGGCTAAAAATTAGTTTTATTGCATTATCTATTTTACATGAAAAAAAAATTGAGTTTGAATTATCTATTTGATAAATTAAATCTATGAATATAAACAACGAGAACGCCTTACTATGACAACTTTTTCCGCGTGTTTCTTTAAATCGCCTGTGTCGAGTTCCGGACTGAAAATACGAACGACAACTTCATCGTAGACTGATGGCTCCATGATCGTGCTAGTCTGTTAGGGGTATGACGTGCCAGTTAGTGGCAAGATTATTATCATATTTTTACTATACGAGTAATAATTTAAAATGTTAACAACTCCTTGTGAGATGTTTAATATTCGTTAAGCAGGGTAGAGTAAATAAATAAATGATACCGAAAATGATAAATTCAGTGCAAATTTTTCTGACATTTTTAGGCTTAAAACCGTTAATTTTCATCGGAAATCTCTAAATATTTTTTATTATCCATTGGTCGTGTATCTTGATGTTTGGTCAAGTGTCATTCAAACATATAGGCTACCTAATGCTACCCAAAAAATACTCCTCCCATTTAAATTTGTCCTCTCAGATTACAAAAATTGTGTTCATCAACATACCCCACCCATCCCACAAATGTCTAATACATTCAAGTTTTCTTGTATCTTTTATATTTGTGAGTGCTAGATTTTTACTTAGAGAACACGTATTTTAAAAATATTTTCCAACTGATGTACTTTGGTCCGTCCGTGCACCTATGGAGCACACTGCTTTTATTGTACCCGTTTGTTACCTCGTCTTTAGTTAACTGTCTGGCTGTGTGTGGGTCTTCTTTGCAATACACCTTAAGTCTAGTCAGTGGGTTTTCTTGCATCATGCCAAAATCGATGTAAGAAAGCTGGATGAAAATCAGATTTACATCAAGATCTGGCTTAAAATTATTTCATTTAGTCTAGCTAGGAAGCCCAAAACAAATACTAAAATTAATCAGCAAAGTAATTTCAACTCTATTATAAGTTAGGTTTTTTATAATTAACATCAGATAGTTGTTTTTAATATTGCAAGTTTACTTTTGTGATTCGATACAAATATTTTACTAAAATATTGTAGGTGAAATAAATTCAGCAAGTATCAAAATGAATTAAAACTTAAATGAAATGAATGTAAAATTTACCTCAACAAAGAATTCTGGGACACCAGTTCCTTCATATTGTTCTCTAATCATTTTTTCTATTTTTTCTTGAACCTGCGGCTTCTCAGCGAACTGTAACAGATATGCAACAACTAACATGAAAGGATAACACTAAATATTTACATTTCGTTCATTATTGACTTTGCTGTCGGCAAGAAGTTTTTTTTTTTTTTGCTGATGCACCCGTTTCTTTTTAATTATTATTATTATCTTTTATTTATAATGTCTACTAGTTTGTTTGTTTGTTTGTGGGTTTGTGGCGAATCTTGAAACCTAAGTTTAACCCACTTCTAATATTTTCCAGATATATTCGTCTCCGACGACAATTAATGAATATCTAATTAGTAATCTTATAAAACTTTTGTTTAGTAATTTAGATATAGTTAAAATATCAGTAATCTCTATAATAAGAGAATAGATAGGATCGAATGATTGGGATATCTCGATCAGCTAACCTACAACCAAAAAAGGGTCAGGTAATTTATCGGGTCTTAAAGCAACGATTTTAATGTAGTGATCGAATTTTTTTCGCATTCATCGTGAATTCTTATATAAGTGCAAACAGCTAAGTGTATCGTCTAAAAAGCGTTTAGTTGTGCTCTGTGTTTTGTTTCTTTCCGGTGTTGAGCTGATCTTCCGGACATGGTGATTAATAAACCAAGTCGCTTTATACCATTCAGCTGGATGCCCCAAAATTAAAAGGTCACATGGTCTAGATGTTATTACCTGCTCCGGCGCTACAATTGTAAGCATTCGGCGTGAACCACAGCTCACTAGACCGGTGGAAGTGGGGATGATAGCAATATAGTCTGTTGCGCATGGCTGGATAGCAAAGGAAGGGGCAGGAGGAGAGTGAGAATATAGATAGATGGTAGTGGTGTACCGCATGGTCCCGACGTAGATAATTGTATATAGATAATATTAAATTTAAAATTCAAATAATGAAATGGTTTATAATTAATATGGTGGAAGCTGACGACGAAAATGTTTGCTTACCTGTTTAATAGCTTGTGGCTCTAAAGGATCACTTTCATAAACACAAGTGAAAAATTTTCTGCTGAAAATACTGTTGATAATTTCTTTTGCTTTTTTCATTTCTTTAATTTTCTCTCTTAATTCAGGCGTTTCATTTTGTGCCTCATCAATCTTAGCATTTTTGATTTTTTGTAATATGTAGTCTGTGAGTTTACTTAACGCCTCCACGTTATCTTGACATTCAGAGATCCTTAATGCATTCGAAAAAATAAAAGATAGTTTGAAAAAAAGTAACACTGTTTCCCTTACATAAAAGCAAAACACAAAACATAAAAAAACTGTTAGCTCTTTTATAATGTTTGAATTTTTAAAAAGGTAACGTGTCGGTCGGTCGGTCAGTCGGGCGGTCAGGCTGTCGGTCGGTCCGTCGGTCGGTCTGCAAACAAAACATAGTACATACTTTTTTCCTTGAATTAGTATGTGTTTATCTGCATTTTTGAGAGCTTGAGCAACCCTAAATATGAATGTATTTTATTGTATATATATATATATATATATATATATATATATATATATATATATATATATATATATATATATATATATATATATATATATATATATATATATATATATATATATATATATATATATATATATATATATATATATATATATATATATATATATATATATATATATATATATATATATACATATATACATATATATATATATATATATATATATATATATATATATATATATATATATATATATATATATATATATATATATATATATATATATATATATATATATATATATATATATATATATAGATATATATACCGGTCAATGGTAGAGGAAATACGCAAAATTCTCATATCCTCTCACATTCAGTGGAGGAAATAAACACCGTGCGTATATCCCCTCGCGTTTGATAAGAACTAAAATAATATCTATAAATATCAATTAGGATTAGGTCAAATAATATTTATTTCAAATATATTTTGAAATGGATGAGAATTGCTGCATAAACAAACAATTGAAGTTTTACATTAAGTCCAAGCAGGCGACTTTTTTGTGTTGATAGGCGGACTTCTGGAGTCGGTAGCGGGTTTTGAACATGTTGTACAGATTTAAAGCTTCCTGGGGAATTCAAAAAGCACTAAATAATGGCGAAAAGCAGATAAATTGTCTTTCAAAGGCTCATGTCACTGCATAAAATTTTATTTTTTAAAACTTGTTTCATTAGTGAATGGATCAAGGCATTACCGAGGCCTATATATGGCCTACGTGATGTAGGTATAGATGTAGCAATATTGATTATATAATTTCTGTAAGGGACTTTTAGATGGAAAGTCCGCCCAAATGCCCAGATTTATGCCCAAACGCCGCTGCTTTAAAGCTTACTTAGCTAATTACAAATTTATAAAAAGGATCGAAATGGATTATGTTTAAAAATATTTCAACTGAGCGTTTAAATAAAGAAAATCGCCCTCTCAGTAGCAACATATAAAAATTAGTCTATTAGATTTTTACTTATTCTTTTCCTTAAAGTAAATGATAATGTATGATGCAATGTGATTAATATTAATACTCTTATGTGTTTTTTTTAAATCAAATGTAAAGTTAGAGATAAGTGTTAAATAAGCCTCAATTAATTAAAATTGTTAAAGGATATAACAGCATAAAACCTAAATTTAAAATTTAGATGCCAATTTTTTTGTATTTTTCTTTGTTATTTATTTACGTTTTAGTTTGAGAAAACCATCGAGAATTCGATGCACAAAAAGATACAGTCAGACCTTATCTCTCATACAGATTTGTAGTTCTCCATCCACTTCCATTACCCTTGCTAACTTCATGTAGCGAGAATAATCAAAGCTGTTTTTGATGCCTGTGTGACGGCAGTCTCTGGCCATGTAATCCCATTTATAGACATCAATGCCGTTACGCCGATTTGAGATAATCTAAAATTTAGAAAATATGGTCAATGTCAAGGTCAATGTCAAGGTGATGGTGATGGTGATGGTGATGGTGATGGTGATGGTGATGGTGATGGTCATGGTCATGGTCATGGTCACGGTCACGGTCACGGTCATGGTCATGGTTATTGTCATGGTCTTTCCTTCTAGTTCAGCCGAGGTGAGATCAAACAGATAACAACCGTGATACTTTTTTATTATTATAGCAACCAACCTATCTAAAGGTTACTGTAAAACGTAATCGCTTATATTTCCTGCTGGGCGTGGGAACAAAGTATCTTATATCAGAAAACAAGCAATGCCTTAAAATTGTCTGCGTGCCTCATCAAAATTCACAGAACTACACCGTTATGTTGGAACTTTCGTTCCACTAATCCCTAATTAATCTAAAGCACGCTTAGCAATATGTAGGCATGGTACAGCCAACAGTAACAGAGCCACTAAATTAACAATTTTGAAAATTCAATTCTTACTTCGTACAGAAACGACTGTTTTTCTTTTCTTCCTTTGTATGGCCATCTCTTTAATTAAAAAAAAATATATTTATTTTTATTGATAAGTATTGTGCATAGTCGATTAAATTAATGCCACAGCCTTAAATTAGATAGTAAATGTGGCTTATTTTAAAACATGCATGTTTTTTTTAATTAAGCATAAATTGTAAATTTCAATCAAACTGACTGTTGAGCCTGTGGGTTTGACGATACCAATAAGTTCTTTGATGAAGACTATGTCATCTGGCGATAGCCCATACTCTTCTAGATTCAGTTTGTCTATGTCAATCTTCTTTTGGTCTAGCTTGTCTTGATATACGTTGTCTTGATTCAGCTTGTCCTTATTCAGCTTTTCTTTATTCAACGTGTCTAAAATATGTTGAAACATTTCGCCAGATCGTTTGCCGTGCTAATAAAATATTACAAATCTTGGTGTTAGTTGCTTTTTGAAAACTATGTTGTATACAATATCTTTATTAAAATTTGAATTCGAAATGTAAATATCACACAACTGGTTTACTCAAATCTCACAAAAATATGATGTAAAATAAATACAAGGAACACAAATTTTCAGTTTCTCTATTTTAAATTGACTGTTGTTTACATACAGCCACTCATGAAGTCCTAGGGTTCAGAACAAAATGCCATAATATATGGTTGTTTTTATTTAGATCTTCAAGATAGCTTTTAATGGTTATAAAAATTGACCATTTACTTTCTGTTCTCGGTTAACTTTAGGCAAGAAGCTGTCACTGTACAATTTGGAAAACGGCCCTTGGTCTAAAATGAAAAAAATAGACTGCTTAAAATTAATTAACAAACTATTGTCTAAAAAAGGCATACATTAAACAATAAAAAAAAATGATTTGAATAGTACTTCACTTTTCTAATACCATTTTAAATAACAGATGAAATTTCAATAAAAAACATATTATAAGACAGACTTGTAGGCATAATCTATACAAATGGTTGCTGTATAAAAAAATCACTAACCTAAATTGTAACACAAACCAGCTATTTCCAAACACAGAATATCTTTATCAGTTATTTCTGCTTTTGATAGCCCACGCACATTATCTTTTTTATCTTTGACTAGCCGCTTTTGTAATTTTCTTGCGAATTTGCCAGCCAAATAGTACATTCTTCAAAAAGGAAAAATGATTCAGTTAAAAGAAAAAGACAAATTAACCTAACAAATTATATTAATTTGAGGAAAAATAGGATTGTTAGTTTTTAATGTAACCGACATTGACCTGATTTGTACAGTATTTCTCATATATATATATATATATATATATATATATATATATATATATATATATATATATATATATATATATATATATATATATATATATATATATATATATATATATATATAAAACAAGTGTTTAACAAATTTTGAACATTAGGCTTATCTAAATGAGAAGAGAAGGTGTTAAATTTCAGCTGCAATAATATTTCACTGTCGCATCCTGCTATATTTTATAACATTCAGTAGATTCCAATAAGTATGTTTATTTCTTGCATTGGTTAGAAATACAAACCCCAGGGAATGCTCGAATCGATTGTGATTTGCTCCTGGGTATAAGAAGTACAACATTCCTGCCTGCTTTATATATCTCAACCTCTGAAACTGTTGAGTGTTTATGATTTTCAGGCAAACTTCATTTATTTTAATATGGCCATGGAGGGAGTCGTTGAAAACCTGCAACAACATTTTTAAATATATTTCTTTCAATAATGTGTTGATATTGAGTCCATGATTCATTTATAAAATAAAGGTACTGAAAAGCATAAACTAACTTTCAACTTTTCGAAAAATTTATTAGCATTTATTAAAATCTAAAATTTAGGAATACTAAAACTTTTTTTTAATAGCGGCATGTGTTAAATCATGATGAATTTATCAAACTTCCGCGGAAACGAGATCATAAAATTAAGAAAACATCTAAGGCACATCCGGCTACTTAACAAAAACTACTAATTTATTTTATTAATGTAGGTAAATATATAGAGTTCAAAAACTAAAAATTAAATTCTTACGTACTTTTGAACTTGCAGTCTTTAATTTAAGTTCCTTACTTTCAGATCTAGAATCACACAGTTAATAAAATTAAAAACATAAACTGTTTCTGTCAATCAAAACGAATTACTAAATTACAGAAAGTCTTAGTGGCGCTTGTGACATCCATTTTTATAATTGTTTTTATTATGAAGTTTTATTTTGAGCATGCTGTCGTGAAGATTCAAATTAGGTTTAGATTTAGGGTCAGGGTTAAGGTTAAGTGTAGCTTTATGCGAAAGTAATGGCTAAATTCGCGATATTCGTAAGACCTAGGGCAAGCACATTTATTACAAAACACACAAATAGGCCAATTTTGACCCACCATTTAATTTTCTATGTCAGTTTATTACGTCCAAATGTCCAGTCAAGCCTTAAAATGGTATCTAAATTAATCTGCAAAATTTTCCTGACTTCCGTATTATTCCGGCAAATTTGAGAAATGGAGTATTACGACTAATCAAAGTCTAAATATTTTTTAATATTAATTGCAAATTATTAAATTATGTCAATAGTAAAGCATTATCATGAATTGCCTTATTCATTTAACATTAATTGTCGAGTCCGAACAATATTCTCTTATGTGTGAAAATAAAAGTTTATTTTAAGAATATAAAAGGTCATGGTCAAGTTCATGCACATGCAAAAATGGTAAGAGTTTTGAAAAGTTGCCTTTTTGAGCTTGTATCGCTATTGTTCTCAGTTGAATTTGACACTGAAAATATATGAATTATTACGTGATACATATTGCACATTAAATCTTTCATTAGTATTATCTAAATTGTCAACTAAAGTGTATAATTTTATTTTTAAAGTTTTTTTAAATTATATTTTGGTAAACAAAATTTGTTGATTAAATGTTAAGCCTACTTACCTGTGCCACTTTTTTGTAGTTCTTCATAACTCTCCTTTTGTGAGTAGATAAAGTATATATATTTAAGGCCAATAGATTATTACACAATTATTAATGATTGCTCTGAATAAATTATGTATGTTTAAATTCAACTTCAAACTTTAAAATTATGTGAAAGAACTGTGTGTAAATAAGATCACAACATGCACAATGGTTTTAAAACATATCCAGTTTAACTTTACATGTTGTAAGTAGAACATTTAATCGTTAACAATATTGAATGTTTTAAAGCTTTACTTTTAAGTAATTTGTAAAATGTATGACTTCTTGTGATATCTTTTAATTATTATTTACATAATTAGCTATTGTTCAATTACTTGTATTTTGGAAACATACCTTTTTTGCTTTAAGCCAGGACGTTGTGGCATCAACTATTGCATCTCTTTTAGTGTCATTTATTAAAAAAATATCAATTGTGAGTAGATCTTTGGCGCCTTCTTTAATAGATAAAACTGTGTTTGGCTGTAAATACAGTTAACTTTTATATTTAAACTAAAAGTGGGATAAAATAAGAAATTGATATTTATATTTTCATGTAGCATATTAAATAAAGATATGTTTTAATATAAATTATGGTGCATTTACTTTTTTAAACTTGTAATTATTTTTTTTCTTTGCATACATACTTTGTTATCGGTCTTGATTAATACGCATTCTGAATACAGAATTCCTTTTTCTTCCAAACGTTCCAAGTTTTCTAAAGTTGAATCTGAAAGCTTAAAATAAATTTTACTACAGGATAAAAATTATGTATGCATTATGCTTAAACACATACAAAGTTGGTCGTAAAGTTAATTTAGTCAATTCAACTATGGTATTTAATTTTTAATCAGCTAATTTTTCTTAAAAGTGGGTGAGAGCTCCCCTAACTATGTTCGTATGTTAAAATATGGTTCGAATAGAATGTTGCTATAGCAATAAGTTTGTGCCATAACCGCTCAAACGTTGATAAAAATCTACCAACAGGATCTAATATTTTATAGAAAGTTTATTCCACATAAATGAATAGGTAATCAATGTATTGATGTTTGAGAAACCGGAATTAGAATACAATACCACTTCTGTGTCAACACACATAGAAAACACAGACATACAGCCCAGGCAACAAAACTGTGTTTACAGGAACCAGGTATGTCTAACACGTCGACTTTTGTTAATTTTTTTTTTTTTTTTTTTTTGCACGACTAAAGTACTTTCCTTTTGCCATACTGAAAATAAACCTGGAGTGATCTCCCCTAAATTTCTCGAATATTCTTAAATGTCACTACGGGAGATAGCAAATCACGATATAGACATGGTTTTTAATCCATTTTTAATTACTTAAACTTTTTAAAATAGAATAGAATCTCGTAGAAAAAAGAATAGCACACCAAGTGAACGCCAAATAAAATGCGTATAATAGTCAGGGGCGGAACTACAGTGCCGCCAGACCCCGCAATGCGGGGGGGCCCACGCCATTTAGGGGCCCAGAGCCGACCATAATAAATCTTTTTATAGTTAAAAAAAGGTAAATTTTCTTTCATTTTTGACTTGATGGTTGTTTTGTAAAAAATTACTGTAGCTGCGGTTGTATTATCTTTATTCTATATACACCACCCCACGCTCCTGTTTCTTCTTTTTCCCTTTGTTTTTAAACAACTTTGAAAGCCGAGTCTTTCTCCTACAATTAAACTTATCAAAGATAAGCAAATGTTCAAACCACTTCCATGACTTATTTCCCTTTTTTAAAAAAAAGTCAAATAGGGGTGATCATAAGCTCCTTTTAATAGATTTGTACTAAACAAATTAAAAAGCAATTACTTCTCTTAATTATTATTTTTATAAGTAATTACTAAAGAATAATATTGTATAAAAGTTAAGTGTATTGAAATGTATTAAATCAATAATATTTTAAACATTAATAATATAACTTCAAGAATAAACATAAAAATAAACATAACACGAGACACCATTACTTATACAAAGCTTTCATATTTTATATTATTTTGACCGACAGTATGATAAAACGACTTCTGTCAAAAATAATTAAAATTGATGTTCACAAAACACGCTTATGCACTTACACACATGACATGATGTTGAAATTTTTTTTATTGATGTTTTTCAAATCCCGAACAGGACAGCAATGAGTTTCCTATGTTCGTATTATGTGTTTGCATATATATATATATATATATATATATATATATATATATATATATATATATATATATATATATATGAGGGCCTAAAAAATTTTTGTTGCGGGGTGGCCCTTTTTTTCTAGTTCCGCCACTGATAATAGTGCGGAATATTATTAGTACTTTATAAATTCACATGCGTCTTTTGAGAAATAGGAAATAGCGACAATTACTACTTCCGGTAAACGGAAATTACTCAAAATTTAACAAAAGGCAGAGAGTTAGATATTTTACTTACTTTTGAAATTTTATTTATCTGAAATAGTACTCAAGTTAAAGGCTTTTGAAAAATTCAAAGTAGAAAAAGTTCCACTTCCGGTTATTGGAAATCGTTCAAAATTTGGTCTGGATCTATGATTTTGGTAAAATACTTATATATGAAATTTCATCAACCTATCTGTAACGGTACTCAAGTTATCGTGTTTACACACACACACACACACACAGACACACATACACACACAGACATACGGACAAGATTGCAAAATATGTTTTTCCGACTCAGAGAGGTGTAAAACATCGAGATTTACAAATATATATATATATATATATATATATATATATATAAATAATTAACTAATTTACATTAGAAACAGTATGATATTAGATGGCAACAGATTGATTCAAACCTTAACAATAAAATCCATTTCTTCAAGCTGTGTATTATTGTGGTCTCTTTTGTATCTAGCAATCTGTCGTGTTATTTCCTTTACAACCTTTTGATATTGAATGCAATAATATATTTCTTCATGTATATTTATATATATATATATATATATATATATATATATATATATATATATATATATATATATATATATATATATATGTGTGTGTTTGTGTGTGTGTGTGTGTGTGTATTACACAATATTTTAATTTCTAGTGTTTACGCATTTTAGCAATTATATCTTTTGACACATATTTAGTTTTCCATTTGATTATATCCTACCTGGATTTCTTTTAGCCAGTGTTTACAAGCTGCTATTATTTTCTTTTGTTTTTCTTCATTTGTATCACGCATATAAATTCGCACAAACGCTTCTGAACCCCCAGCACCTTTAAGGATTCTGCTTGCCTAAAAATAACATAGCACCACGACAAAAGTTACGCCTCTGCTATGTCCTTTAGCTTGTAATAGAAACAATTTGATGTAGAATATTATTTAGTTTGCGATTATTTCAATATTTACCTCTATCTTGTCGATCGACACAGCGGTATTGGGATCATATTTTGAGTAAAATTTCATGTTTATTAAAGGATTCTTTTCTTGAAGTCCAAGGTCGAATGAGGTTACCTTTTGTTTTAATAAATATGAAGAAGTTTTAAACAGGTAGGCTTATATATGATTTAACCCAATCTATATATATATATATATAGGGGGGGGGGTTATCGTCCTTAACGACCTACTGATAGTGTTTTAAAGCAAGTATTTTCTGTGGTAGCAATGGTACTGTCGAATTCACAAATTATGAATTACTGAAAAATGGAAAATAAAACAACTAAATAGCGGCGTATGATATGCCGCGGGTCGGCTCGTACAAAATATTACTTTGAGAGGTTTGTATTTTTTAATTGATGTTAAATTTATTGTATGACAATAATTGCTTTAATTTTTAACTGGAAAGGTGTGGTTAATACCTGACAGACTTTCAAGCGTGAAATACCTAGCAAATTTTCTCGTATACTTAAAAACATTGTATAAATAAAAATATGCTTATATATGTTATATATATATATATATATATATATATATATATATATATATATATATATATATATATATATATATATTGTTACAACCGTAGGGGCGTATATAGCAGGTGTAGGGTTGACGACAGACGTGACCCAGATTGAACAGGTCTAGATGGAGACAATCAACGAGGCACGTGTTAGAATTAGGTTACATTTACGGACGACGGCATCAATGGGGGTAGGTGTAGAAGACACGTATCTAGTTGGCCTGGGTGACCGTAATGGGGGTAGTATATTAGCAGGGTCTGACAATTTAATCAGGTACCCCAGACCTGTTGGCGACATTTAATTAGGTTAGGCTTGAGTGGGAAGTGTTTGTGCATAATTAGCCCCGCACCTGGACATTTGTGAGTCCGTTATTTAAGGAGGGGGAGACGGCAGACTAGGGGACACACACAGACTCAGGGAGACTCACACTCACGAGTCAGAACACGACACACACTCGGAGACGGACGGACTCGTCTCGGATAGCTAGGTCTAGAGGAGACAGACATGGGGCGTCTCTGTGAGCTAGTGGACAGCCAAGAGATGCCTGTACTGTAGTAGACCTAGGCTAGTTAGACAGTTAGGGACAAGTAGGGTAGTCATACTAAGAACTTTAGTTGTTTGTAGCTAGTTGTATATTTCTGATCGTTGTACTTTCGGTGGCGGGTTTAACTTTAAGTGTTGTAATTTGTGGAAATAAATGTAGATCACTGAAGTTGGCGTTTATTTATTTTTATTTTTCTTCTTGTTTACGATTCCCTGACTAGTTCGAAAGGATTAGAGAAGGGAGTCGTAACAATATATATATATATATATATATATATATATATATATATATATATATATATATATATATATATATATATATATATATATATATATATATATATATATATATATATATACGTAACTTAAATTCCGCATATTTGGGCCACCAGTATATTTGGGCACCCTTTAATTTGGGCAATATTTTTAAAAAAACTTACATTATCGGCTTAATGGAACTAAATACCCCCATTAGTGTGTGTACTGATTAAGCGTTGTATATGATAAGTACGTGATTAACTTGCCTTCAGAATGAAGTCATCTTCTGTTAAAGCACCTTCCATACTGCCGCCTTTTTCAATAATCTGTTTGGTTATTGCCTTTGAAGACTGTTAATTGAAAAAAATCAGACACGCGTGCAACTGTTTAAAATTCATGTGTAAAATTATTTTTTTTTTTATTGTTTTTGGGTAAAGCTTAGACGATTATAAAACAAAATATAATCACGCAATATACAATTTAATTTGCCGATTTATAATCTTCGGTTTTTCTTTTATAAGACGATTCATCATAAATTCCCTTATTACATTAATCATAAATATATTATGAATATTAATATGAATATTAACTATCTTGAAACAAGCTTTTGTCAACCTAGTTAACGTCTTTGAAATAATGCTGTTACATTCCTCTCGCTGAAAACCAGTTTTACTGTAAAACTACTAGTATAGCCATATATTCACACCTTTACATTTAGTGTTTCCACCTCAAAGCCTTGACTTTCTGTGCTGTCACCTCCAGAAATCACGTAAGCTTTCTAAAATAAATAACGTATGTTATAAGAAAATAATAGTTTCGCTGTACTGTCGGGAACGGTCTAGAGAAAACACAAGGAAAGTAAAAACGTTCACAGTCAAACGGAAAACAAAAAATCCCACGACCGTGTCGTCACATGGAACATATAGAAAATTTTCAAAACGAAACGAAATATGTACAACTCTAATGCGGGAAAAGTACACACAATAAAATGACTTTATTGATTCTAGAGTAAACATAGAATTAAAAAGCCAATTGCGAAAAACATTCACAGTAATAATGAAGTCAAAAATATGCTGCTCGATACTAAAGACACTAACATAACCACCTAAAGTATTTGTCTAATCACTAACATTACCACCTAAAGTTTTTGTCTAATCACTAACATTACCACCTAAAGTATTTGTCTAATCACTAACATTACCACCTAAAGTATTTGTCTAATCTTAAAGGGGGTCCAGAGTATCTTTCAGACATCTCTTGGGGTAGAGTTGAAGAGCGTCTACCGCCCCCACCCCTCCCCCGGAGAATTCAATCAGCCAACCCCCATCCCTCCCTCCGCGAAAAAATTTCAAGTCCCCCACCCGGAGAAAAAAAAAAGTATGAAAAAAGCACAATCTTCATGATTGAGGTCAGCAAACAGTTGGAGAAGTGTCTAGATTTCAGAGGTAGGATCTACCTTGTCTTTATAATATACAAATGCGAAAAGTGTTTATTTTAAAGCTACACGAAAAAGAATGACGTCATTGATTTAAATTAAATAAATCAAATGCCAAAGCATAATGACGTCATAGATACTCGGTAATAAAGACACTGACATTACCGCCTAATTTGTCTTAAAAGTGGTCTGCATGCAGAGTTACTTTCAGGCGTATCTTTTTATAGGAGGATAAGAACATTCCCCCCCCAGTAGTATATTAGGTCGCTTTTGGACCGATTTTTTGGCGGAGGTGGGGATGGTGAGGAACAATGACATATAGGAAAATACTCGGGAGCAGGATGTGGGGGTGGCGCAAAGACATATAGTAAAATACTCCCAGCCTGGCGCCGCGGGATGGTGAGGGTGGGTGAGCAGGATGCAGGGGTGGCGCAAAGACATATAGTAAAATACTACGCCAACTGGGGTTGGCGGAGGTGGTGGGGAAGTAGGTCACCTTTTGGTGACCTTGTGACGTAATCATTGACCTTGTGAGGTAATTAGTGACTTTGTGACGTCATCATTGACCTAGTTACGTAATTTTAATGCGTTTTTTAATGAGTTTTAATGAGTTTTTAAAATTTTAATTAGTTTTTATTAACGAGTTACGTAATTTAATTACTTTGATTGTATTTTTATTTTGTTTAATTTGTTTGTTTACTTGTTGTTTAATTTAATTACTTTGTTTATAGTGTGTAATTTTTATTAACGAGTTACGTAATTGGATTTTAATTTTTTAAATTTTTTCAAATTTTTAAATTTTTTTTTAAAATTATTAATTTAATTTGCTTATTTGTTTACTTTTTAATTATTTTTTATTTTGTTTATTTTTAATTTAATTTTATTTTATAATTAGTTAAATTATTATTAACTAGATACGTAATTTGATTTTAATTACTTTGTTTAATTTATTTATTTGATATATTTCTTTTCTTTGTTGTTTAATTTGTTGGTTTGTTTATTTGATTGTATGTCTGTTTTTAAATTCTCCCCTTCAACGAGCGTGTACTAGAACAGTCTTTGTATACCAGCCTTTAACCAGACATGTAACACCTGTTACGTATCGACCCGCCCGCGAAGTTTTCTCACCGCTGCCCGTTTTAATGCGAATGTATTGATCGCAGCCGCTGGCCCATCACACCTAATTAAATTTCTGTTATGCTTCACCGAGTTTCCCCCGCTCGGTTGACAGCTGTGCAACAGCTGTTGTGCGACAGCTGGTGGTGTAATTAGGTTGACCAACCGGACATTACCTTGTTGGTTTTCTAGTACGCGTATGCTACACGTATATACACACACACACACACATACACTAAATTAGAACAAAAATCTTCTTATATTTTATTTGTTTATTAACGTTTTTCCAATTCATCAAAGGCTTTTAAAATTTCATCCTGTAAACTCAACAGGCGCTCAAAGCAGACGCGAGTCATACTAACACCAGAATTTGTAGGAAAATTAAGATCGGTCCCATCTATAAGCTCTCTAAGATTTAAAGTGTTTTTGTTCATGAATTGGCTGACAATCGCCAATTTAAATCCGGTGTGATTCATCGTTCGTATTTCCGTCACTTTATTGTTACCTCTGGCCACAAGTATCCAATCTTCATTAGACATCTTGAAATAATCTTTTATAATTAGTTCCAATAATTTGAAGTGTTAAACGTAATATAATACGATCGTTAATATATTGACGATTCGCTGACGCCGAAAAGGGTTGTAATATAACTTTTAAATTTGCACCGCGCGTTTAATCGAAAGAGCTAAGTAGTTATCCGCAAAGCTACCGTTAAGTGTGGCGACAGATGTTACCAAGCGGGTGGTGGTGGTGGTGGTGGTGGTGGTGGTGGTAAATTTGCTTAAGATTATAAACTTCAAGTTTTAAAAATCAACAACGTTATACTACGTCTAAGTTCGATCTGGGGTTGTGTAGTTGGATGTAGCTGGAACGTTTAGTTTAGTGGCTGGAAGGGGGATGGATATGTAGCTCAATAGATCAGTCGATGGCGCGGCTGTCTCGTAGGGTTGGTTGTACACTAAAAAGGAATACATGTGAGTACTTATTTAGAAAAAGGTTTATTTAAAGGATATGTAAAGGATAATTCATACTATTCACCTTACCTCGGTGTACGATACAAAATTAAAAACATGTGACTACGTATTTAATAAGATCTGTAATGAAGTAGGCCTTGTTGACTATGACTGGTTGTCCAGGTGTTGACATGATACACTTTTTTGAGATACACGTACACACAAACACACACACACACACACACACACACACACGCGCGCGCGCGCGCGCGAAATTCATACTAGGTCGATAAAGGCGGAGAGAACTTATAGGTATACATTATCATGGTGACAACAAAAGCGATCCTTATTTTATTTACATGAAAGCGTGTTTTCCAAAAAGTGTCACTATGCCGTTGTCATTTTCGCAGCGGGGTTTATTTTAAGTGCACCTCGTGCACGTTTGTTTACATTTTAAAAGACGTATCGCTTGTCTTCCCTAATAGAGAAACGAGAGGAAAGACAACTGTTCTAAAATTAGAACAGCCTTGTTTACAGCCACGAGTAGCGTCCCTTGTGAAAAAACTCGCGTCAGAATCCTTAACTAAACATTCAATTTCTTTAACAAGTTAAAAAATAATTTAGGAAGACAAGGGTTAACAACATTAGACGCCACCGTTTTTGTTTCCTGTGACGACAAGGCACAATACACTTTTGTAGTTTATGTCTCAAGTAGAGGGGTGGGATATTTTTTCTTTGTAAGCGTGTTGTAAACAATAGGTAGAGGAAGCGATTACTAGGTAAGAGGGGAGAGAACGTGACGTACATCGCGATATTTGAAAACATGGCGATGTTTAACCTCAACCAAAAAAGGCAATGAACCTAGAAGGAAGACGAATATATATCTTAGTCTTGCAGCAGATTACCTTCCCATGTTCGCTTTAGTATTACAGTTTTCAACAAACTTCTTTTTGACTTGAACTTCTTTAATTTTTAAGAAAGTTTACTTATACATAAGACATTACGTCTAATGACAATTTTTTATTTTTACCACTCAATGTATTTTCTTTTTCTATATCTTACATTGTCATCTTAATTTTTGATCACCTTAGTAAAAATTTGCTTAAGATTATAAACTTCAAGTTTTAAAAAACAACAACGTTATAGTACGTCGTGTCAAATGACACACCGTTTAAAATGTCTACATTTAAAGTTCACCAATATAATGACGTAAAAACTAAATATGATATGACGTTAGCATATATATCATTCAATCTAATCACTCTAAAGTACAAATCAATAATTTTTATTGATTAAGGGGCTGGGTGAGTTATTTTTATCACTATTCGCCCTTCCCCTTCCCTTTGTCCGCAACCCCTTTCCCCTTCTCCCATCCAACCTTGCGTCATCACACTAACCTCAATACCAACCGCTAGATAAACAGACCGTACTACTACCCACACTATACCTTGGACAGACAAAGGCCGTATGACAATCCTACATTTATCTACACTCAACTAATATCACAACCCCCTAGAAACCACTCCAACAGACTGGGATACATAACTTGTAGACACCACTCCTCGCTGAATATCTCTTGCACCCTAGCCACCTATGTCCGCCACCCTCGCCCCCGTCCCTAAACACCCGCTTGATAAACAGACCGTACCTCTACCCACACTATTACTTGGACAGACAAAGTAACAGACAAACATTTATCCCCCTTCGTTTACTGTCACAAGTGACAACGTTCCCATCCAACTCCGAAACATCCATGTACCAATTTTGAAACCTGTCTTGTTGAAAACAAAGACCGTCCCACTCTAGTGTAAACTCTACCCCGACCAACTCCGAAACAGAGATGGTCCCCGTTTGAAACCTGCCTCGGTGAAAACAAAATCCTTCCCACTCTAGTATAGACTCGGCCCCTAACACTTCCAAAACATCCCTGGACCAACCTTGAAACACGCCTCGGTGAAACCCAAACTCCCCCGGCGCTAGTTTAAACTCTACACCAATCGATTCCAAAACATGCCTGTAACAACTTTGAAACCGGCCTCGGTGAAAACAAAAACCATCCCACCGTAGTATAGACTCGGCCCCTAACACTTCCTAAACATACATCTCCCAACTTTGAAACCACCCTCGGTGAAAACTTCACCGACCCTAGTATGGACTCTATACCTACCGATTCCAAAACATGCATGTTCCGAGTTCAAAACCAACCTTCACTGACACTAGTATGAACTCGGCTACCAACAATTCCCAAACATGCATGTACCAACTTTCCAACCTGCCTCAGTGCTAACAAAATTCCCCGACCCTAGTATGAACTCTACCCCTGTCCATTCCTAAACAGGCATGTACCAACTTTGTAACCTGCCTCGGTGAAAACTTCACCGACCTTAGTATGGACTCTACACCTAGCGATTCCAAAACATGGATGTACAAACTTCGAAAGCACTCTCGGTGAAAACTTCACCGACCCTAGTATGATCACGGCCCCTAACAATTCCAATGATGCATGTACGAACGTTGAAACCACCCTCGGTGTAACCAAAACACATCCGTCCCTAGTGTAAACTCGGTTACCAACAATTCCAAAACATGGATGTTCCGAGTTCAAAACCAACCTTCACCGACCCTAGTATGGACTCTACACCTACCGATTCCAAAACATGCATGTTCCGAGTTCAAAACCACCCTTCACCGACACTAGTATGAACTCGGCTACCAACAATTCCTAAACATGCATGTACCAACTTTGTAACCTGCCTCGGTGAAAACTTCACCGACCCTAGTATGGACTCTACCGCATCCAACTCCTAAACATGCATGGTCCGAGTTCAAAACCCAACCTTCCCCGACACTAGTATGAACTCGGTTACCAACAATTCTAAAACATGCATGTATCAACATCACTCTGTGTTAACAAAACTCCCCCGACCCTACTATAGACTGGACCCCTAACAATTCTAAAACATACATGGACTAACCTCGAACCCTGGCTCGGTGAAAACGTCACCGACTCGTGTATAAAATCTGTCCCAACCAACTCCAAACCTTCCCTGCGCACCCGAATAAAAATAACTCACCCAGCCCCTTAATCAATAAAAATTATTGATTTGTACTTTAGAGTGATTAGATTGAATGATATATATGCTAACGTCATATCATATTTAGTTTTTACGTCATTATATTGGTGAACTTTAAATGTAGACATTTTAAACGGTGTGTCATTTGACACGACGTACTATAACGTTGTTGTTTTTTAAAACTTGAAGTTTATAATCTTAAGCAAATTTTTACTAAGGTGATCAAAAATTAAGATGACAATGTAAGATATAGAAAAAGAAAATACATTGAGTGGTAAAAATAAAAAATTGTCATTAGACGTAATGTCTTATGTATAAGTAAACTTTCTTAAAAATTAAAGAAGTTCAAGTCAAAAAGAAGTTTGATGAAAACTGTAATACTAAAGCGAACATGGGAAAGTAATCTGCTGCAAGACTAAGATATATATTCGTCTTCCTTCTAGGTTCATTGCCTTTTTTGGTTGAGGTTAAACATCGCCATGTTTTCAAATATCGCGATGTACGTCACGTTCTCTCCCCTCTTACCTAGTAATCGCTTCCTCTACCTATTGTTTACAACACGCTTACAAAGAAAAAATATCCCACCCCTCTACTTGAGACATAAACTACAAAAGTGTATTGTGCCTTGTCGTCACAGGAAACAAAAACGGTGGCGTCTAATGTTGTTAACCCTTGTCTTCCTAAATTATTTTTTAACTTGTTAAAGAAATTGAATGTTTAGTTAAGGATTCTGACGCGAGTTTTTTCACAAGGGACGCTACTCGTGGCTGTAAACAAGGCTGTTCTAATTTTAGAACAGTTGTCTTTCCTCTCGTTTCTCTATTAGGGAAGACAAGCGATACGTCTTTTAAAATGTAAACAAACGTGCACGAGGTGCACTTAAAATAAACCCCGCTGCGAAAATGACAACGGCATGGTGACACTTTTTGGAAAACACGCTTTCATGTAAATAAAATAAGGATCGCTTTTGTTGTCACCATGATAATGTATACCTATAAGTTCTCTCCGCCTTTATCGACCTAGTATGAATTTCGCGCGCGCGCGCGCGCGTGTGTGTGTGTGTGTGTGTGTGTGTGTGTGTGTTTGTGTGTACGTGTATCTCAAAAAAGTGTATCATGTCAACACCTGGACAACCAGTCATAGTCAACAAGGCCTACTTCATTACAGATCTTATTAAATACGTAGTCACATGTTTTTAATTTTGTATCGTACACCGAGGTAAGGTGAATAGTATGAATTATCCTTTACATATCCTTTAAATAAACCTTTTTCTAAATAAGTACTCACATGTATTCCTTTTTAGTGTACAACCAACCCTACGAGACAGCCGCGCCATCGACTGATCTATTGAGCTACATATCCATCCCCCTTCCAGCCACTAAACTAAACGTTCCAGCTACATCCAACTACACAACCCCAGATCGAACTTAGACGTAGTATAACGTTGTTGATTTTTAAAACTTGAAGTTTATAATCTTAAGCAAATTTACCACCACCACCACCACCACCACCACCACCACCACCCGCTTGGTAACATCTGTCGCCACACTTAACGGTAGCTTTGCGGATAACTACTTAGCTCTTTCGATTAAACGCGCGGTGCAAATTTAAAAGTTATATTACAACCCTTTTCGGCGTCAGCGAATCGTCAATATATTAACGATCGTATTATATTACGTTTAACACTTCAAATTATTGGAACTAATTATAAAAGATTATTTCAAGATGTCTAATGAAGATTGGATACTTGTGGCCAGAGGTAACAATAAAGTGACGGAAATACGAACGATGAATCACACCGGATTTAAATTGGCGATTGTCAGCCAATTCATGAACAAAAACACTTTAAATCTTAGAGAGCTTATAGATGGGACCGATCTTAATTTTCCTACAAATTCTGGTGTTAGTATGACTCGCGTCTGCTTTGAGCGCCTGTTGAGTTTACAGGATGAAATTTTAAAAGCCTTTGATGAATTGGAAAAACGTTAATAAACAAATAAAATATAAGAAGATTTTTGTTCTAATTTAGTGTATGTGTGTGTGTGTGTGTATATACGTGTAGCATACGCGTACTAGAAAACCAACAAGGTAATGTCCGGTTGGTCAACCTAATTACACCACCAGCTGTCGCACAACAGCTGTTGCACAGCTGTCAACCGAGCGGGGGAAACTCGGTGAAGCATAACAGAAATTTAATTAGGTGTGATGGGCCAGCGGCTGCGATCAATACATTCGCATTAAAACGGGCAGCGGTGAGAAAACTTCGCGGGCGGGTCGATACGTAACAGGTGTTACATGTCTGGTTAAAGGCTGGTATACAAAGACTGTTCTAGTACACGCTCGTTGAAGGGGAGAATTTAAAAACAGACATACAATCAAATAAACAAACCAACAAATTAAACAACAAAGAAAAGAAATATATCAAATAAATAAATTAAACAAAGTAATTAAAATCAAATTACGTATCTAGTTAATAATAATTTAACTAATTATAAAATAAAATAAAATTAAAAATAAACAAAATAAAAAATAATTAAAAAGTAAACAAATAAGCAAATTAAATTAATAATTTTAAAAAAAAATTTAAAAATTTGAAAAAATTTAAAAAATTAAAATCCAATTACGTAACTCGTTAATAAAAATTACACACTATAAACAAAGTAATTAAATTAAACAACAAGTAAACAAACAAATTAAACAAAATAAAAATACAATCAAAGTAATTAAATTACGTAACTCGTTAATAAAAACTAATTAAAATTTTAAAAACTCATTAAAACTCATTAAAAAACGCATTAAAATTACGTAACTAGGTCAATGATGACGTCACAAAGTCACTAATTACCTCACAAGGTCAATGATTACGTCACAAGGTCACCAAAAGGTGACCTACTTCCCCACCACCTCCGCCAACCCTAGTTGGCGTAGTATTTTACTATATGTCTTTGCGCCACCCCCGCATCCTGCTCACCCACCCTCACCATCCCGCGGCGCCAGGCTGGGAGTATTTTACTATATGTCTTTGCGCCACCCCCACATCCTGCTCCCGAGTATTTTCCTATATGTCATTGTTCCTCACCATCCCCACCTCCGCCAAAAAATCGGTCCAAAAGCGACCTAATATACTACTCCCCCCCCCCCCCCCCCCGCGCTGGAGAAAAAGTCTGAAAGAAACGATATCTGTATAATTGAAGTTTAGCGGCCATAATTAGGAAACGAGCCTAGATAACAGAGTCTACATATAGTCTGTGTAATCTAAAAAATGCCACCAGTGTTTCTTTCAAACATTTTTTTTCTCCCATGGGGAGGGGGAGATGGTTGCGGGTAAAAGACTATTTTCTTTATAAATTCTATTTCGTTATAGGGGGCGTTAGACGTTCATCGGGGGCAACGCCTCTTCCCCCCCCCCCCCCCCCCCTTGAAAGAAAATCTGAATAGGACTTTTGTCAAGTTTGAGCTTAGGTGCAAGGTTTACGATGATGCAGAAACTATATGTAGATCAAGGTTAAATCTGGATAAAAAATCCGTTATCAATTATAGTTCCGGTTAAATTCAAAGATGAGGTAGTGATTTTGGTTTTGGTTTCGGTTTAGAGAAAAGACAACACTATCAACCTAGCGCCCGTTGTATTTCTCTCTCAACGGGCCATTTATCTAATAATAAGAAAACAATTGTATTGTATTATCTGAAAACAATAATTGTTTACGTTTTCTAAAATGAATAACGTATATTATAAGAAAACTATTGTATTATATTATCTAAAAACAATAATTTTTTTGCGTTTTCTAAAAAAAAAATTATTAAAAAAACTGAAAAACTGAAAATAATACTTTTTTCGTTTATCAACATGTTTGTTTATGAATCAAGAAGTATGTTGTATAAAAGCATAAAAATGTACCCTAATACATGCTCTTTCCAGTGGTGGACTCTCCCATACACATTTGTAAAGGTCTCTTTTTAGAATACGTTCCACCAGAGCTTTAGCTTCTTTCACTTTTGGTGTGTCATCATCCATGTCAAGGATCTTGAACAGAATGTTGTCATCAAGCTCCATGAAAGCTCTCATGTTGTTGGTAGATTCTATCACTGTGTAAGTCTTGCTGTAATTTGTAGAACTTACATGGGTTATACTGATAGTAACATTTATTTCAATAAATTATATAAAATCGTCGATGTTTCTTAATACATGTATACTAGGTTATTATAGTTTAAATAAGATTATTTTAATTATAATTTTCAGGCAACATTAAAACAAGTATTTGCATTTCAATTAATCTTTTAGGCAAGCATAATATTCCGTTATGAATGTTGAAGACTAGTCACTAAATTAATACTTACCCTTCTACATTTATTTTGAAATCATCTTTAACTTTTAACATAAGTTCTGCAATCCTTTAAAATAGTTAATAATTTCTTATTATTATTTAAATCTGTAGATTTTAAATATTAGACATGTTGCTTTTTATAATAGAGAAAACTCTAAAAGCATTTTATCATGAGTTTTGAAATTAAAGCGAATGAAGTTAAAAAAGGAAATTTTACTTTGTATGATATGTGATAAATATAGTGATAGTTATAAATAGAAATAAAAATGAAAGTATCTCTGTCCTTTACACAATTCTATTCATCCCAAAAACGTTGGGAGGTTGCTGAGTGCATTATAGAAACGATTTCCTCCTTTAAATGTTTTGTTTACGCGGATATGCTCATTACAAAATCACCAATATCCTTTTTTTTCGTCATTATGGGTTTCTTGCTTTTTTGGACATTTTGTTTATTTTTTGTATTATGAAAATATTAACTTAAATGAGAAAACAAAATGTGTGTTTAAAATATCATTTGTATGACCCTATTAATTAAACAATTATCGTTTTTACCAATCTGCAAGCTCTCTATGAAAAGTGTTTATCCGTCATCATATTGTATTTGGAATCATTTGAAAGCTATATTCCTCATGTATTTGATAATCGTGTTTTCCGCCATCTCGGAAACACCCAAAGATTACAATCGGCTTTACAAATTACACAGATATGGTATTATTTTTAACCTACTTTTCCTTACTTTTTGCTGATTTTCTCTGTTCGCAGTTTTTTAACACTAAAGTGCCTACTACCTTTTAATTTATTACACAATGCCCACCACATTTTCAGTAATTGTTCTTCGTGCAAAAATAAAACTTTTCTCACGAGGCAAGTGTGATGGCTTTCATGGAAAAAAGTTTATGGTAAATAATATGCAAATTTTTTAAACTTTTGAATACTAAAAAGGGTACGATTTTCAGACCTTAAAAAATTCTGACCAGTAGCTCTTTCAAAACGTTGTCGTGATAAAAGTAAAATTTGATTGCTATAAGTCCATAAATTAAAAAAAACCTTAGCGTTTTTTAAAGTACCAAAAATTCAAAATGGCGGTGGGTTTTTTTCGAGTTTCATGACAACCAAAATTGTTTTCAACCCTTTTTGCTGTTCAATACTTAATTTTGTACCAAACGTGGTAAACTTATTATCCAAAAGGCGTTATATCTTAAATTGTAAAAAAATAGAAAAAAAAACAGAGCATATTCACTTAAATATAAAAGGTGCCGCGCCCCAACGGTATTATTGTGCATGATAGAACCTGGGGTCCGCTACTAGAATTAACGGTTGAACTGCACCTTCAGCATCCTCAGGCGCCCTGGCAGTTGTGAGACGAGTAGAACACCGGGTTCACTTTTAAGAGTTATGGCGCCTACATTCAATTTAAAAAGAGGCCTACACTTGTGGGCTACTACAATCGCTGACTAACCGAATGAGGGATGAAAACCCCAGCCACTGTGGTATTGTACCCGGCGGTACGTGGGCGGTGTACTACTTCTACCTTGCAGAGGGCACAAACAGGTCGTCTAGTATCGTATATTTCAAGAAAGCATTGTAATATCTGTTACAAAATAGTCATTTTAACCGTTTTTTAATAACTGATATTTTAATGAATTTAATCTTGGTTTAAGAAGTATTGATGCTACTGTCTTAATATATCTTGAATAAAAATGTAGGCTACTTGTCTGTTACAAAATAGTCATTTTAATCGTTTTTTAATAACTGATATTTTAATCAATTTAATCTTTGTTTGAGAAGTATTGATGTTACTGTCTTAATATGTCTTGAATAAAAATGTACTTTTCTGCTCTACTGCAAAATGTCAACTTTAATTGTTCTTACATGATTTGTGTCGCTATGTTCACTCTGTGTCTATATGCATATTTTGTCAAAGTGTACCTGGTGGTATACACGTCTATACAGTTTCTAACTTCCTAGAGACAGAAATTAATAAAAACATTAAAGTACATAAATTTCGCGTTTAAACAGCATTATTCTTTAAAAAAATTAAAGTCTACAAAAAAAAAACGTTTGACAGTACCTCTATTTCCATACAAATGCGATTTTTCCCACTAACATTTATGACCCTTGCTAGGTTCATGTAACGTTTGTAGTTAAATGTGTTTTCAATACCCAGGTGAAAACAATCTCGGGCTAGGAAATCGAAAGTGTGAGCAGCGATGCCGTTTAAAATAATCTGCAGACCCAATGTAGAACCGTGTAAAAAGCTGTTTGATTCAACTTAACGTTATTTAGAAATTTAGAAAATAAGTATCAAAATACGTGAGATTAATTTAAACTAGGTAAAGTAAAATATTATTTTGTGTTAGTAGATTCAAAGAAAAGGACAAGCATTAAAATAAGGAATGCACAATTCAAAATAAGTAGCCTACTAAACTGTTTTTTAAACAATGTTGTTGTAACTATTGCTGATTCGAGTGTCTCGAAATATTATAATTTAAATAAAAAGAAAATACATAAACCCCTGTGATGTTAATACGGTAGATAATGAAGTAAAATTGTAAATCGTGTAACAGTTACCCAGGGGTAATGGCGCTGGCTACCCAGTCATCTATTTGTGTCCAATAATAGTATTTACATTCATATCTATATTTTCAATCGGGAAAGCATTTTCAATGTAAATAATACAATAACAATTTTAACACAAAGTTACCTCTTCTAGAAATTCTTTACCATTTTCTCTTCCAGTTGTCATTGCCCCATCAGCAGGTTTTTTCTGATGGTAATCAAAGTTTAAATTAATAATAATATTTTTAAAATATTCCTATTTATAATTTTAGCCTAAAGATAAAGAGGATTAATTTTCTTAAAATACTAACAAATATCATCTGCTTGATGAAAAATATATCGTTTTCGTCTAAACCATATGTATCAAAGATTTTCTTAACTTCTTTGTTTTCAGTTATATCTTCAAATATTTTTCTGGAGGTTTGTTTAACCTGAAAAATAAATGTCAACATTTAAAATGTTCATTAATTTTAAAAATGCCCCATGATGTAATGAGCAACAAAGCATTTTTAATTTTAATGGGTACTAAATAAATTGTAATAGACTCAATAAGATAGCATAAAAAGAATCATTTGACATCCAATACTGCATTCGGCCTTTCTCATAAAGGAAAAACTGCTCAAATCTCAATATCGGTACTCAGATTTTGTAAAGTTTTAACCAAAACACGTCTTCTAATCAGACTTATTCAGTGTCAGCGATAATATAAAACAACTCTCATACTAATATTAATTGTATTAATTGTTCCACAAACGCACAAAACATATGTATTGAATTTAAAAATCATAACATGTGTATACTAGCTATTGTTCATACAATGTAGTGAAACAAGTACTAACATCCCACGGAATTTCGAGATTTTCAGGCATCAGTGTGTCCTCAAACATATGTGAGAAGGGACCGTTTCCTAGCAGATATACAATTGATGGTTAACATTAATGTGCATACAAATTTATGTACAATATATATATATATATATATATATATATATATATATGTGTGTGTGTGTGTGTGTCTGTGTGTGTGTTTGTTTGTGTGTGTGTGTGTGTGTGCGTGTGTGTGTGTGTGTTTGCGTGAGTGTGTGTGTGCGTGTGCGTGTGCACCTATGACTTCAAACTCACCCAAACCACGACAAAGTCCAGCTATTTGCACACAAAGAATATCTTTTCTATTTATTTTAAGAGATGGCTGGTTTCTCTGCAAGGTTTCAGCGAATTCACCCGCAAGGAAACACACTCTAAAATAAATAGATTTTTTTTAGAATTCACACATGCATTGCGACCCTATTTGATTGGATGTTGCTAAGAAAAAAATAGTTCTTGTGTCATGAATAAGGGTTTTAAAGGTATTTTGTTAGGAGAAGGGGCAAAGATGGTTGAGTCGTAGATCTGTTTTAGGTGTCAGCTATTAGGAGTAAGAGTGACAGTGGAGTGCGGGCGGTGTATTAATATGTCTTTTTACTTTCTCGTATACATAGATTTGCAATTTTGTCCGTATGTCTGTGTGTGTCAGTGTGTGTGTGTGTATGTGTGTGTATGTCGGTAAACACGATAACTTGAGTACCGTTACAGCTAGGTTGATGAAATTTCATAAAGAGGTATTATATCAAATTTGTAGTTCTATATACACTTTTCAGCGATTTCCGATAACCGGAAGTGGAACTTGTTCTACTTTTAGTTTTTCAAAAGCCTATAACTTGTGTACTGTTTCAGATAGATTTAAGACCAAATGAAAGATCTAATTTTCTGCCTTCTATCAAATTTTGAGTAATTTTCGTTCACCGGAAGTAGTAATTTACGCTATTTCCGTTTTCTCAAAAAACGCATACGAATTTACAAAGTATTAATAATATTTCGCACTATTATACACATATTGTTTGCCGTTCAATTGGTGCACAATTCATTTTTCTACGACATTCTATTCTATTTTTAAAAGTATAAGTTATTAAAAATAGATTAAAAATCATGTCGATATCCCGAGTTGTCTTCCCACGTAGTATTCTATAAGAATATTCTAGAAAGTTTAGGGGAGATCACTCCCGGTTTATTTTTGCAGACATAGTGAAAAGCTAATGGTATTAGTAACGCGAAGGTGGTTTTAATACTTTTCTGCTGAAATTGCGAAGAGTAGAGAAATGGACGACTAAGGATTTGGTTAGGGCTTGTTTGTGCACTACTTTCTACCAACGCCTAAAAAAATAAAGTTTGTATGCATTAGTCCTTCTAGAGTTTTATATTTACCAATCAATACCTAGAAGAAAAGTATGTGAGAAAAGATGTAATACAAACCCTATACTGTGCTCGAATCTGTTGTGAGCGGACCCAGTGTTGACATAGTAGCATGTACCAAGTTGTTTGAGGTAGCGAAGTCTTTGGAACTGGGGTGTGTTGATTATTGCCACACATACTGGGTGTATGCTCATGTGCCCGTGTACCGGATCAGTAAAGTGCTAAATTTGTTTAGAATATTAAACTTTGAATAAATTTGGGTCATAGAACAAGTTTATCTTGTGATTGTAAAAAAACTGTATTTTTATTATGACTTTAACTTTTAATTATTTTTTTTTCAAATTGGCTTTCTATGTTTCATGATACGTGTTCAAGTGCTTTCAATATACACGATATCTTTCGTTTCTTCACATCACAAAAAGCAAGCGTCCCATTGCAGTCTAATTGTAATACTTTCAATCATGTTAAATTGTTAATATATTTGTAAATGTACATTGTGTATTTTACCTCCATGATAATGTCCGATTCTCTGTAGATAAATATTTAAAAGAAAAAAACGGTTATCTTTAGGTAAGTAAAATATGAAAGTACGAGCCAATGTAACTTCTAAAATGTAACAAGATATAACCATGCTTTCTAGAATTATTGCTGCTAAACAGTATTGCTTTTTCAAGATTTTCTGGGATTAAAAACACAGTATCGAAACAGCATAAAATAAGAATGTTTAAAAGAATAAAAGCAATAGATATTTCAAAATACTACAAGATTATATTTGAAATCTTAAAATTTCTTACCCATTTTCATTGTTTGCCATATAATTTTTATCGGGCGGTGATTGCTTAACTGTTTTAAAATAAGTTAGAAACGTAATATTTTTAATAATTTAGCTAAAACGGTATGATGAATATTAAGCTATATATATATATACCTGGTAACAAACCTTGTGAGTATTTTGAAAACATTTTTAATAAATTTAAATAAAAACAGAAACTTCATTTCATAAATTTCTTTTCGGCATTGTCATGGAGTAAAGGAAACATTATTTATATAGCGCAATAGTCAGACGTAAGCGCAAAAAATAGCGCTAAGGTAATTCACAAACAGCAAACATGTGGTAGTTATATATATATATATATATATATATATATATATATATATATATATATATATATATATATATATGATATTATGTATGCTTTGTTCAGGAAGTTAGAAAAAGCTATTGTAAACGTTAAGCAAAATTATACAAAATCTTAACGAATTGCTTCTGTTTTAAGCGGAAATTGTGGTTTCTTTCAACTTTTAAATGTTTCTGCAATGTAATTGGAAACATATGTTTATACTGCATGTTTTTAAACAATGCCCACCAACAAATTTGAAAAGTAAATGGTTATTCGTTGTGCATTAAAATATGAATGATCTTTTATTAGATTATTTTTACGCGAACTTATTTAGATTAATTATCGGCTACAAAATGACCACAGATTTACCAGGAATGTATTTGAAAAGTAAGAGTGTATATATAATTCATGGTACTTAACTTTGCTCATGAGTTTAAATGCCTTTACAAGTTCCATAGAGGTTTTATTTCTAGTACCTTAAAGCAATTTTCTCGGAAAGCTAATACTGAACATCATGTACAAGTACAGCAGTTCAGAATTAAAGGACCATTCATATTCCATTCATATATATATATATATATATATATATATATATATATATATATATATATATATATATATATATATATATATATATATATATTAACATTAAAGCTTAACAGTAAAAATAAACTCTTAATTATTTGTTTATATAAATATTTTTATTTTTATTTTTTTTATTTAGCCATATATAACAGTTTTATTAAAATCAAGATTGTTTCTTGTGGGTTTTTTTGTTACATTAACCACAAATATGTCTTAATTTAGCATATCACAGGCTTGTTATTTTAATTTAACTTTTTAACTCTGGCGTACAATTATGCATATCCCTTGCTGTTTGTAAGCCAACAACCTTGACACTTTGCTCTTAAATATTAAAATTAGTACAAAATCGTGACTTCTAAACTTAGCGCTGACGCTTACATATGATATAAGTATAAGAAGTTTTCTCGGAATTTGAAAGTCTAATCAGTCGCTTTAAGCTGCATTTAAACATGGCTACATGCCAATGTTTTCTTAGATACCACAACAAATGTCTCCATGTTGCAACATGAATAACTCGCTCATATTACCCAATATAATATCTTGGCAAAACCTGAATGTAAGTCTACTTGTGCATTGGGGAGGCTAAGAAGTTGTTTTTTTTTTTTTTTGCTTTTGAGATTTTCCTTCTTTTATATCAACGTTGTGGGCGAAACCGATTTTTTCATCTCCCAAACATATATAATAATAAGCCGCTGCCTGTGTGTTGTATAAAAAGTATACTTTAAAAAAAAAATAGAGAGTATTTATTAAGTTGGTAATTTTTAACAAAAAAAAAAACTTTTAATTTTTTTTTTATTTGCGATAAACATAAATTATAGATATATTTATATACCAAAGAGAATCAAATAACGGCTAAAGTATTAAATTTCTATATAAATTATATTTTGAACAGTCCTGAGGTCGGTGCACGTGCTCCGGCTAAGGGGTGTCGTTCTCTCCCCCACCCCCTCCTACCAGGCGCGATGGTTAAAATAAAACACTAGTAAATTCATATCAATGCCAATGTGCAACATCCGACTAATTCAAGATCAAAATGAACAGGATGCAATTATTTACATCTATTGTTTTAATTATTTATAAATACCTAATAAATCTTTTCTGCTTTACCTTTTTAAAGTTTTGTAATAATACGTTTTCCGAGAAACTGAGTGACATAATCTGTACTGAAATGTATAAACTTTTATTTAAAATAAGTTTTGTAAGTAATATCGATATCTGGTAGTAACAATATCAGTTCAGCTTCGCAAATTTTTAAGAACGACGGACAACAAGGTATGGACAGATAGAGTTTCTAGATTGTATTACAGAAATATAAGTTAAGGGGTCGTCCATAAATGACGTCATACCAGTGTGTGGGTGGGGGGGGGGGGGGAGGTGGGGAAGGGGTTCGGACTTGTGTGGGTGAGTGGCGAGAGAGAGTTAACTTGTCCTGTCGTATTATAACCAAACTCAAATTTGGCTCCTTGAATGTTTTATTCAAAAACAATTTATAGAACATCTTTTAACAAGTAGAATTGCGACTCTTGCCATTGATAAAGTAAGAAGATAATATGATAAATGATAAATCTCTATTTACATATTTGTTTCATTTGATCACAAACTGATTATAAACAGTTTATCTAGTTATTACTTGTGAGGAAGAAGTTTTGGGAAAGCGACGCTTCAAGCTGAGTCAAGCAGTTCATGGTAAAATGGGCCCATCTGATGAAACCTAATCAAAAGGGGTTTTGTTTTAAAGGACATAGCACCTGCTATGAGCCTCCATATAAACTGCCCGCCTCATAATGGCTCCAAAATATGTATCTTCTTTAATAAAGTACTTGTCCTATTTACGAGTTGATGTTTTATGAGTTTTATGTATTTTGGTTGAAGTTATTTCTGTCATATTTTAGTTTTGTAACAGATAGATTTCTTCCTCCTCCTTTGCCAGTCACCTAAACAAGTGGACTAAACATTTTATCTGAGTGTCCAACAGTTGGATAATTACACAAATAACCATCGGTTTTGCAGGTATTAGTTTAAAAGTGGATGAAATCTCCACCACTTCTCAAACTCATATTTCACTTAATTTGTCATTCCGGGGAACCATTCCTAAATTCACCAACAGGTATCATTTATAGCGCTATTACAGCGCACCAGGCATCAAAAAGTTGAAACACGTCTCCAACGTGAACTGATGGTGATAAACTTCAATAAAATAAATGGCGAGAATTCACATTGAATGACAGAGAAAGAATTTGATGCAAAGGGTAGGCCGTTCCCGTTCCACAGGAAAAGAAAGTCCCTTCCCTCCCTGTGTACTCAATGCAGAAACATTCAATTCTATGTGGAAGATCGATGAAGCTTAACGTTTAAAATTATGTTGAAAATTGGCATATTAATAATATAAATAATTTATTTATTTTAATGTTAGCTCTGATAATAATGTTGCTAAAATCTTAATCATGTATGCAATTATAAATGGTCGGTTAAGTATACCTGTTGCTGAGATTATTATTAAACTGTTTGTTGTTAATTCAAGATTTGCATACTTGTGCTATGTTGATGTAATTCTTTAAACAAAGTTACGTTTGCTATTAAAAAAAACTAAATCTTCTATAAAATTTTGCCTGGATTTAATTTAATATATCTTGTCATTTTTCTACATTTTTCGGTAATAGTAATACAAATACTCTAATCGGTTGCATTTTAAATACTTGATCTGTTTAAATTCTGTGTAAGAACCGACATCTGAGTCTACATAGCTCTGATGTATACCTGAATTGAGCCGGGAAAAGTGAAGGCCTGGGTATAGTGCCTAGTGTGAACCACGAAGTCATCATATAGGTTACCATGGGAAGGTGGAGCTTTGTGTAGGCTTTTTGTGTATTTGTGAGTTTTTTAGCTGATAATAATAAAGTTGTATTTAATTTAAATTGATAATACATGTAATACAATTTTATTAATTATATTACAAGTTTCCTTCGAGATGCCATTCATAGAAATGAACATGTACTAAAGCAAGGCAATAACAGTTATTTTAGTCCACATAAAGGCTTATGCTTAGCCTTCCAGATTTATTAATAAAAATTAATTGCCACAAATAATATAACAGGTAAAAGTTTCATTCATATATAATGTAGATCTACTTGAAAAGGCTGATTGGTAAAAAAGCACAATGGAAAAAAAAACATTTTTCTGCATAGGCTAATTCTCTATACGTTTTTTCTGTTGGCGCATTTTCCCATTCGGCATTTTTTGCGCTCATTTTTTCGTTGTGTATTTTTCTGAGATCCAAAGAGATAGCACATATTAATGGTAAGAAAGTATGCCAATAAAGTGGTCTAAGAAGTAATACTTGTATGGTTAACTAAATGGCATTCCATCTATTTAATCTGATCATCATGTTGTATTTTTTTCGTGCGGTATCATGTATAGCTTCTTATCTGGATGACTTATAT